CGGGCCTATCGATCAATTCTTCCTTTTATTCTTTCCAAAGGAAAAAAAGATGCATCTTTTAGCTTTGTGAAATCTCGAGGAAAAAGGAGAAAAATTTCTGTATCATGTTATTCTGTATTCGTGGAAGGCTTTATGTGCTACATATTATTTTTCTTTCTCTTGGCTTTTTTTTTTTTTTTGAATGATATCCCCAACCTGCATTGCTGGCTTAAATGGAATATATATTGTTATCGCGCCTTCGACTCCATCTTTCTTTTCTTTCTCCTTTCTTTCATACCTTCTGGTATTTCAATCATACTATGATATGGGAGGAAAAGCTTTGTTCAACTTGCAATAGGCAAGGATATTTGCATGTCTTGGTCTATCGGCATTGCTTTGGGGAGTTTTGATACGCCAAAATCAGCTCTATAAATATAAAGCCGTTTTTTTTACAACAGAGCTACTTGATTTGACACCGTTCAAACGTCCTCCCCTATCCGTCCACACAGCCCTTTTGAAACCAAACGCCAAAGTACAGGAGGAAGAAAGAAGAGCAGAAAACCATGGAGGGAGAACACTATCGAGATGAAGGAGGGGGGAAGGAAAGGGACGTGAGAGAGATTGGTGTCCCTAGCTCAGATCCATGGTTTCGCCGTTATCATTGGTGATGGAAAAGTCAACGGCGCCATCGTCGCCAATGAGACGCTTCTCCGACTCGGAGACGAACTTGATGCTGCGCGAAGGGTCGTAGAAGAGCTGGAAGCTGCGCTGGACATCGTCGACGCTGACCTGCTGGGCCTTGCGCTTGGCGGCGATGAGCTGGGACGTGGTGATGAGGTTGCTGGCGTAGCGGAGGCCGGCCTCCTGGCCAATCTTGGAGAGGAGTGCGAGGGCGTCGGCGGACAGGTCCACCTCCTCCTCCTGGGCACGGATGGTGAGGATTTGCTTGATATCGTGGGCGGCGTAGGGGTGGGTGTTTATGATGACGATGCGATCGAGGAAGTCGAGGGGCAGGCCATGGGGGCTCTTGTAGTCGGTGCCGCGGATGCGCGAGTTGCCGCGGTTGCTGGCCATGATGACGATGGGGGCCAGGTCGTCCTCGAGCGCGCGGTTGATGTAGGCGTACGACTCGATGTCGAGCATGTGCACCTCGTCAATGAAGAGGACGCCGGGGACGATCTCGGCCTTGCCCTCCTCCTTCCACTCGGCCACCTTGGTGTTGATCTGGTCGCGAATCTCGCTGCGGATCTCGCCCGTGTCGCCGGAGAAGAGGGCGAGGAAGCCCTGCGTGCGCGAGTTGATGACGTCAATCTCGTGCAGCGTCACCGTGTGCACCACCTCCTTGCGCTTCTGCAGCTCGCCGTCCGGGCACTGGAGGAACTTGGTGTCAACGCCCATGGCGTCGTAGTCGCGAGAGCGCGCGTACGACCGTCCCAGCTTGGTGATCTTACCCGACGACTTGTCGATCGAGATGATGTCGCCCGCCATGACGCGCTCCTTGGTCATGGCATCAATCATCTTGTTGCCCATGTCGTACACAGCCTCCATGTCCGTCGTCTTGATGGTCAGCTTGCCCTGCTTGGCGCTGCCGGTGACGCTGCGGTCAATCTGCATCTCCACCACCTCGCCTTCCATGATCTCGCTCTCCTCCTTTATCCTCACGCCGATCGACTTGCGGAACGCCTGCTCGAGCGCCTCCGTCTTGGACATTTCGAGCGAGAATATCTCCGACGCCGCCAGCGATGTGAAGGGCACGTCGGGTCCCAGCGACTGTGCCATACCCATGGCGAGGGCAGTCTTTCCGGTGCTGTGCAGCAGTGATGCATTCATGTTAGCCCAGACCCGTCCACGCGGCGCGTGCTTGCCGGCAATCCTTGGCAGAACTAACCTGGGAGGGCCGGCGATGAGGACAGCCCTGCCGGCAATCTTGCCATCCTTGATCATCTGCAAGATAACGGCAGCGGCCTTGCGGGCCTTCTCCTGGCCTACCAGACCCTGGGAGGCGTCCCTAGGCTCAAGAGTCGTGGCGTCGACGCCGAGGCCGCGGATGTGGGAGTGGGCGGCGATGAGGTTCAGACCGCGAAGGTCCTTAGACTCGGACACAGTCATGACGGGCTAGGAAGAGCAAGCTCTGGTCAGCATGGGAGGCGGGGGAGGAGGAGCGTGCTCAGCCGGAGGGAGGACGTACTGCGGCCATGATGGGAAAGCTTCGAAAGCTTCGCGCAGGAAGCGTGTGTAGGATCGGAACTGGGATCGGGATCTCGAGATGTAGAAGTTAGGATGGAGAGATCGTTGATAACCGGTCGTGTTCAATGGGCAGCCGGATGTGGTGGGCAGATGCCTTGATTTTTCTTCTTTCTGTTGTCCTGATCCTTTTGACGAATCCCTTGCGGCCTGTAGGGCGAAAGAAACACTGCCAATGGTTCTTTGCCTTCTCTCGGTGAGCCAAGCGCGAAAAGAGCTGATTGCTTAGTAATAATTCGGCGACTGTATAGGGTAGATATATTAAGCGCGTAGCCGTCGCATCGGGGAAGGCGCGTCCCCGCGTTAAGGACGTACTTGGACTCCCCCACCGAGTGCTCGCCCGTGGAAAGAGAAGGAGCGACATGAGTGCTTGGCACTTGCCAGTCTGGCAGGCAATCGTCAAGTGATACGCAGGGTAAGGGTGATACTATTGGCCTCAATTATAGTAGGCAAAAAGCCTTATGCTATTATTACTAGTGCTGCTACCTCACTCTGGTCAATAGCTGTAAACGCAAACAGCTGATGCATATCAGTAGCCGACGATGACCCCGACAAGGACGACTTGACGCTCAGGCCATCAAAGGCAGGTTGCTCCTGCATGCTGCCGGTGATAGCTAATCATCAGGGGAACCATGGCGTAGAACATGGTTAGAGATGACAGAAAAAGGAACGACGTATCAGGGGACAGGGATGGTGACGAGCGAATGCATCCTCGCTTAGAAGCTGAATATAATGTTACTACTAGTACGGTACACTGATGACTGACTTCAAGGAGGGAGCACGGTGTTGTCATGGTGGGGAGCCGTTCCGCCCATACAGTCGTTGGTATTGGCGGGTAGCACAGTGTGCTTGTATGTGCCAAACATCAAGCTTCACCACACATCCTAGCACATGTCAACTTGCTTTTCCGACCGAAACTTTTAAAACTTATCTCGTACAACTTGCAATCTCCTGCTTCAAAGGTTTACCCATCTCACCCGTTCTTCCTTCTCTAGCCACTAAACGCCTCATTCAAAGGCGATAGACCCCCCCCCCCCCCCCCCCCCCCCCCCCCCTCAAAAAAAAAAGAAGGAACAGAGGAAAATAGACCCGACAGGACTCTTCACCTCTCTCCGCCCCGGCGCCGTGTAGCGCTTAAACTAACTGTGGGCCAACAACGAGGACCCTTTAACAAGAAGAAAGAATATCAAAACGACGTGGCCAACGGTATACGTTACCTTGTCTGGAGTCTTTTTCTTTTCTTCTTCCGTGCCTTGTCTGCTTTTCGTCTACATCTTCCCTCCCCTCGCTGGTTTGAGTAGAGGGGAGCTGCTATGAGACGACTGCCGTGAAACAATTGAGCAGCAGCAGCAGCAGCCGGCAGCACCCTGGAGGTGACAAAGCCTCCATGCGGCGAACGGACGCCCACCGACCGTCGCCACGCGATGAGGAGAGTCGCCGGGATCGTAGACGAAGCGATGTCCCCCAGCTCTCCCGAGTCAGCTCCGCCGTCAACGCCCCCGTGTCGAGACGCAACGATGTCGTCGATGCTACTCGCTCTCCGGCGAGCTCGGTCAAAAGGACCATCACACCCGCAGACGCAGGCCCGTTCACGAACGAACCAGATAGCACGTCCCCCTCGGCGCCGGCGACGACGAGGGCAACACATCACACCGGAGACCAAGGTCAGCTCTCCGATATCAAGGCCTTGGCCGACCTACTCGCTCAGCGCTCTCTTCAATACCAGAGCAAGGTGGACGCGCAGAGGAGGCTCGAGCAGGCCAGAGCGCGGACCGAGAGGGACACGGCCTCAAACCAAGAGTTTTCCTCCCTGCGCCGCCTGCTCAAGATGACGCAGAAGGAGTCGTGCCAGCAGATAGCAAATGCCAACACCAAGGGCGATGATCTGGACCGCAAAATCCTCAACGCCTTCACGACCTTGAGGGAGAAGTTGGCCGCTGCCGACAAGGCCTCTGGGGCGCAGCAAAGCGGCCTCACCGCCGTCAACGACTCTCGACTGCAGGAGCTGGAAGCCTCGCTGGAGAAGAAGATGGAGGACAAGCTGGCTAATCGCAAGAGGAAGATCGATGACGAGCGGCAGACGGAGGAGGTGGACATCATCCGGCGCCTGGACTTGCAAGAGGGCAGGCACACGGACCTCGTACGCCGCCTAGAAGATCAGGCCACCCGGATGAAGGCGCTAGAAGAGAGCCACCAGACTGCGCATGCAGACCTCATACGTCGCCTGGAAGAGCAGGCCGATAGGATGAAGCAGATGGAGGAGAGCCACAAAGAAGACCGGCTGCAGCTCATGCGTCGCCTGGCGGAGCAGACCGGCGCGATGAAACAGATGGAGGCCGATTACAGAGCCGAACAGACGAAGCTCACTAAACGCGTGGAGCAACAGGCATCGTCGATACAATCCGTCAGGGACAAGAGCGCATACCGGCAGACGGCACTTACTCAAAGCCTAGAGGAGCAAGCCTCCATCGTACAACGATATCAAACGGAGCAGAACAACGCGGTTGGAGAGCTGCGTAAGCATACCACCGAGGTGCAGACTAGAGTTCAGGAGCTACCGGTGGTCAAGCAGACTATCCTAGACACCACGAGCAAATTGGCCGACCTCTCTGGAAAGGTTGACAAGATGTCAACAGCGATGCTCGAAAAAACTCCAGCTCGGACTGCATCGCCGCCGCCAGCGCAAACCCAGCAGCAGCAACCGCGGCAGCAGCTCCAGAACCCGACGCCGACCCCAGATCTCACCAGCGCCTCCTCAACTAAAGACATAGGAGCTAAGGAGCTGGAGATGCAAATGTCCATTCTACAAACCATGTTCAAGTCGACCATAGGCGACGTGCGTGCCATAGAGGTGACTGTGTCCAGGCAGGGGGTAACGATCGAGAGTATCTCCACCGACGCCAAACAAGCCAAGGACGCGATCAGACGTCTGCAGGAGATGCAAGATGAGCTCAAGCAGCAACTGCAAAAGCAACCTGCTGCTTCCGCCGCAGGTGCTTCCCCCCCACCCGCGCCTGCCGCCCAGCAGTCGGCACTGGCCCCCGAACGCAGACTGATCCAGGAAATGATCGCGAACGGCCTCGAGGACTACGACGAGAAGTCCCGGGGCAAGTGGGAGCGCATCATGACTGGATTCGATAAAATAATGGACACCGAGACGGCCAACCGCAACAAGCTAGAGCGGGGAATCAGCGCGTCGCTAGGCATGCTGACGTCGCGCGTCGACGGCATCGACAACTCCATGCCCACGAAGCCGGGCTCGTTTGACTCGCGCATCACGGCCGTCGAGACGTCCCTTCACCAGATCAGGGGGCTCCACGACCGCGTCCAGGTCCTCGAGTCCCGCTTCGCGTCAAAGGTCGCCACGGACCTCCGCATAGAAAAAGATTTATCAGCCCGCATCAGCTACCTCAACCAGTGGCGCGACAACTTCTCGACAAACGACCTCGTCGACCGCATGGTCTACCATATCGCCACCAACATCCCCGGCGGCACGCACGCCCAGCTCAACAAGCTGGGCGACCGCGTGTCCGCCGTCGAGCGCCAGCTGCGTAGTGGTAGCAGTGTCGGCGATGGCATTAAAGACGGACACCCTGCCAAGAAGCGAAAGATGACGGGGTCGGCCTCGCCGTCTGTGGCGTTGTCTGCGCCGCCCGCTCCCACTACCACTGATAATACCACTACCAATGGACGCCCCTTATATGTACCCACTTCGTCTTAAGGGAAAAGAAGCTATCAATAAGAGTTCCTTTATTTTCACGTAAGATAGGAGGTGTGTTTGGGGGAGGGGGGGGAGCGGTTAAGGATCAGATTAAGAGAAGAGATACCATGGTTGTATTGTTTTGTCTGATGTTTTGTTACTGTATATGGAGAGCATGTTATCTGAAGAATTTTATCACTGCCATATAGAGCCAATAGTTCAAATTTTGTTGAAACCTTTTTTTTCTTTCAATTCGTCGCCGTTTTTTGTTTGTATTTTTTAGATGTCTTGCTATCCTAGCTCTCTATCTTCTGATGCAAATGACGGAGTCAATATCAGAACTTATCCGGGAGTTTACATGCTAGAGATGATCATGTCAGCATATATCAAACTTTGATGAGAGCAAACAAGAAGTGAAGCATATGCCAAACATGGAAGAGGAGAAAGAAAAAAAAGTACATACCGTTCTACGGGGCTGAGACCCAGTAGAGTCATGGCATTGTGCAGGACGGTGCGGGAGGCGTCGTACAGGGCCATGCGGGCCTTCTTGAGTTCGGGCTCACTGCCGATGACCTGGAGGTGGTCGTAGCTGCTGCTGACGGCGTGGGTCATGCGGAAGAGGTAGGTCAGGACCGTGGTGGGCTCGAGCGTCTTAAGCGTGTTCTGGAAGACGTCGGGCCACTGGGACAGGAGGCGAACCACGTTGATGGCGTGCTCCTCGGTGAGCAGCGACAGGTCGGCCGAGTCGAGGTCCGCGTCCGACAGGTCGGCCCTCCTCCTGATGGAGCAGAGTCGCGAGTGAGCGTACTGCAGGTAGGGGCCCGTGTCGCCCTCAAACGACGTCATGGCGTCCATGTTGAAGGTGTAGTTGTTGATACGCTTGCCCGTCATGTCCTGGACCATTACGCTGCTGATGCCCAGGATGTCGGCAACCTTGTCCGGGTCCTCGATCTGAGCGTACTTTTCGGTGTTCTTCCTCATGACCTCGTGCATGTGGTCGCCGACGTCGCGGAGAATGTCGTTGAGGAACTTGACGGTTCCGCGGCGGGTGCTCATGCCCTGGACCATGCCGAACGTGATGTGCTGGCACTTCTGGGCCGTCTCCTTGTGGCCGAGGAGCTCGGTAATCTTGAAGAGCTGCTTTAGGTGTAGCTCCTGCTGGCTGGCGACGACGTAGAACATCTTGTCGAAGCCGTATTTTTCGTAGCGACCCAGGAGCTCACTGACGTCTCGCGTCAGGTACAGGGCTGTGCCGTCGCGCTTGCGGAGCACAGTCTTGCCCAGCTGCTTCCCCTCCTTTCCGGGGACCTGCTTGGTGAAGTCGACGATGACGGCGCCCTTGTCATCCTCGGTAATGCCGCGCTCCGTCATGGCGCTGGCGTTCTTGGCCATGGCTTCCTCAGTGACCTGGCTCTCACCGCTGTACTCGTCAAAGTGGATGTTGAGGCGGGCATACGTCCCTTTGTACCTCTCAATGCTCAGGTCACGGAAGTGCTTCCACTGGGAGAGAGCAGCCTCATCGCCGTCGACCATTTTCTTGAAGTAGCCGCGGGCTTGCTCGTCAAGGCTGTTGGCCTCGAGCTCGGTGACATCCTTGCCCTGGGCCTTCTCCTCCTCAATCTTCTTCTGCTCCTCGGAAAGCTCGCTGTTGATGCGCACGTAGAGCTTGAAGAGGTGGTCGATGGGGTCCCTCTTGAGTTCGGCCTCATCTCCGTACAGCTGGAAAGCAAGGGCCAGCAGACCGTACTGCTTGCCCCAGTCACCGAGGTCTAGTCATACAAGTTAGCCTTATTTGATCTACAGTCGGCGAAGAAGGATGTAAATGTCACGGAGGGGGCTCACAGTTGATTCTGATGACATCCCATCCTGCAGACTGATACAGGTTGGCGAGGAAGCCACCGATAATGGTGGACCGGAGGTGGCCGGCGTGGAAGGGCTTGGCTACGTTGGGGGAAGAAAATTCGACGATCTGAGGGGGCCAATGTCAGTAAAGATCAAGTGCGCTAAATCGAATCTCCTAGATGGACGGCGAGCCTTGCTTACAATGCGCTTCTGGCCTTTGCTGGGGTCATTGGGGTCCCTGAGTCCGTCGAAGCTAGCCTTGCCTGTGGTAATTTAGAATCTGACACAATGCACTTCTGTATTGAATATCGACGCATCAGACATACCGAAATCGGCGCCCTTCTCACGGATCATCTTGACGACGCTCTTGGCAGCAGGAGCACCCCTGATGAAGAAGGAGAGAAAGGTCTTGCTGGGGACGACCTTTTCAATAAGAGGGTCATCTGCGGGCCACTTTTGGGGTGTTTATCAGAAATCATCATCCTTATATGCTTTCTTGATATATATATATATATATATATATGTGCGTGTGCGTGCATGTGTCTGTGTGTATGTGCCAACACCCCACCAGGATACGCGCGATGCTTGCGATATAGTGGGCAGGGTGGTGAGAAGTGAGAAGTGAGTACTGTCTGCGTGACGTACCTTGGAGGCCCACTCCTCGGCGAGAGCATCAGGTTTGGCACCCTTGATGCGCAGGGCCGGGACGGGCAGGATAAAGTCACCCTTGTCGAGGGTCTGAGTCCAGGCGATGACGGGGAAAATGATGGAGGTGTCGATGGAGGTAATCTTTGCGAGGACGTTGGCAATGTGAGCCCTCCACAGGTCAAGAGGGTTGACGTTGGGGCGAGCAGTGGGGTAGGCCTTTGCGACAGAGTCGAGGGATAGACCCTCAACCTGGCTGGCGAGTTGGTCTATGGGACTGGCAGCCGCCATGGCGAAGACTTGGGTGTTATCCGTCGAGGCGGTGGTGGTTGCGGCGGTTGCGGTGGTTGTGGTGAACCTTCTGAGCGATGTTGGCGTGGGTGAGGTTGTTGATGATTTTGACAATGGAGGGGCCCTCTGAGTCAAGCAGCGACACGATGGAGGGGCAGAGCGGCGGCAGCGCACAAGACCTGGTGCTGGACCCTGGGAAATGGGCTTGGAGGAGAATTTGCAGGGAGACTGCAGCTGGTGCGCTAAGCCTATCGCTAAGCCCGTCGCCCCAACCACTGGAGCCACCGCAGTCCCTGGAAGCACTGGAGGCACTGGAACTGGCGCCGCCGAGTTTGGCAGTAGTAATGAACCCCGTGGCAGTGGCTCCGACAGCGCTGAAAGAGCCCGATGGGACGGGCGTGTCGGCGTGGGTCCAGCCCGTCTGGCAATACGCGACGCAGCCAAGCTCAGGCTGCCGCTGCTGCTGATCAGACTACGGTTCAGGCTGGTGCTTGGGACCAGAGCTGCTGCTGCTGAGCCAAGAGGGAGGAGGCGGGAGACATTAGCACGCAGAGTCATGAGTGCCTCTGAGAACGCTGGAGCATCCTCTGTGACTTGACCTGAACTGTCTGGATTGAGGTCGGATGAATCATATGGACCGATGCATGTATCTCAGTGTAGGCTCCCCTGATCTGCTACGAGAAAGTTGCAGCGCTTTGGGATGCCTGCTACTGGTATCAACACTATCGACTCCTAAGGCTACAATCGGCGCGTCGGGTCGGTCACGTGCTTCTATACTCTAGCAACTGTACACTTACGGGGCATTTACACGTCCATAGACTCACCGCTTGGTCCTGACTATATAATGACAACCTGGCGCGAGGACAAGGCTTACACTGAAGTTTATATGGGTGTTCCTTACTCTGTACGGGTATTAGTGTCATACCTTTTCGCGGGTTGCCGGTCAAGCAGAGATGTTATTGTCGGTTCTGATAAGAACGGTGTCAAAGTCGACATCACGATGATAAATCGGAATAGGCAATAAACCAAGGCAAATAAAGCAATAGTGGGTGACCACGCCAAACCACTGTCAAATCACTAAGAGGCAGGACATGTGCTACCAGGTGTCCATTCCTTCTTCTCCATTATCTTTTGTCCACGTTGACACTTTTGTAGTGAAGTTCGGCTTACCTAATATACGTGCGATTGTACTATGATCATTAGCTACGTACGTTACCTCTTAAATAAGAGAGGTCAAGCTGGTGGTGATATACAACACTGACAAGATATCCGATACTGAGTAGTAGTAGTAGTAGTAGTGCAGATTACAGTATCTGTAGTAATAGTATTAATAGTACTAGTAGGTGTTAGTGGTAGCAGACACTCTGGTGACGTCTATCTAGGCTTTATCACGGCCAACGCGGAGGTGGAGTCGCTGCTGTTATTTCAAGGTGATACAGGGCGCTAATAGAGCCCAAGGGTCGTACAACGAATTCAGATGTACGAGCTGGTATCTAGTTGATGATGGTACGGTATAATAGCAGGAGAAGGAGATAGGAAAGGGTATCAAGATAAAGTTAATTGAAAGATGAATATATTAAATACCAAAAAAAAAGGTCCTATTCTATCTATTATCCTATAATCCTCTCGTTGGTGCCATCATCATGTCGCGGACCATGTTTACTGTATCACAGAGTGTCGGCCTAAAATTGTCAGCCACACAGTCGCGCCCACCCAAAACACTCCAGCGCTCGCTCTCTCTATTTCCACTCCCGTCTTCCCTTTTGGCGCCGCCTCTCCCTCTAAACTTTCCGTTTCTCTCCCGATTACCAGAGCCTCCACCAATCCACCACCCCCACGCCCTCCATCACCAAAGAGGTCCCCATTATTTACCTCTTTTCCTTTCCTCATCCTTCTGCATCTTTGAAACACGCCGATAGGGACATCGTCCTCGGCTCCGATCTCGAAAAGGCGGTACACGCCCCGGGCACTTTAATCCAATTCCATCGACGTGTCTGCGCGCCCGCTCCCTGCCATCGTTCCTTACCCTGGCGCGTCGCTCTTCACTCACCTCGGCACCCCATCACCTTTGGGGCGGAGGGGGAGATCATCGTCAATGCGACAACCAGCCGTTTTCCCCAGGCAAACAGTCACTCCACGTCGTCTCGCCCCTTATTGACGCCTTTCCTTCTTCTCGTTTCCTCGACGTCTCTTCCGCCATTTGCATATACCCATCTTCCTCTCGACCATCGCGCACACCCATCACGCCATCACCGCCATCAATCATCTCCGTTGACCACCACAACAACATCCTCCTCGTCGCGACGCCATCGGCGTCTCTCGCCCACAGCTAGGTCGCGGCACGCTCACTTACCGTCCCGCGCGCCTCCCCGCTTCCATCTGCGGAATGCGCATATTCCCACCCGACTATGGAAGCCGCGGCCGAGAAGGTCAGGCAGCTCTCCCAATCACTCTTGCCTGAACGACCACACCAGCTCTCCCAGTCCCCGGATTGGAAGTCACGCAACCCACCCGACAATACCGGCCGTCGATGCGAGGAATGGCACGACCGTCGTCTCCAGTACATGACCTTTCTCAGCGACGCTGACCGCGGTACCCTCCTCACCCGCGGTTACTACGATATCCGCCCCGACCCGCCACCACCCAAACCCGCCCTGCCTAGGGAGGTAGGTGCGCTGGCGCGATCATCCGCTCCTAAGAAGACATTGTCGCTTAGCGACTACAAGAACAAGAAGACGACGGCCACCACCGTAACCTCACCCCTCAGAACGCCCTCTACCTATAATAATACCCCTAAGTCCACGATGACCCACCCCGATCGCGCCGCTGCGTCCGAGCCTAAGCAGCCCATCCTCATGGACACGAACAGGAAGCACGATGTGCCTAGTAGGCCTAGAGCTGATGCTGACCACATCGCTGTCGATATGAGGTACGCGACCAACAGCTTTTGCGTAATAGCGGTGGGTAGATGGAGACAGGAACATGTGCTAACAGCTACTCGAAACAGGCTGCCCCCAAAGCCTCCCTCAAAACACTCCCTCTCCACGGAACCACCAACCCCGGACAGTCGGAAACGGATAGCTGATTCCGATGACAGTTCACGACCTGCCAAGAGGTCGAGGCCCTCAGACACCGGCCGACCAGCCGACGACAGGCCGCACGGAGCCCGCGAGCGTGACGACCGTCGCGACGATCGACGCGATGACCGCCGCAAAGCTCTAGATGTGCCTTCTACCAGGGACTCACTCCCAAATGGCCGCCCCAAAGGGAAGACAGACTCGAGAACGAACCGCGCACCCTCGCCCTTGCCTCGCTCTCGTGGAAACTCCATGAACGGCACCAAGCACCCGGCGGCAGGTAGCAATCATAGCACGCCCAGCAAGGCCGACTCATACAAATCCGTCCTGCCCCCCTTACTATCTCCTCTCCGACTTGATCTCGACGAACAAGACGCGTTCAATATGGATAAGAAACGTCGCGAAAACGGAGACACAGCAGCTAAGCCAAGGGCAGGCAAGGGCACAGATACGCATACAGACTCAAGATACACCGCAGCATCTCCCGTGAGGTTACCGCCCCTCTTGTCGCCTACCTTGCCCCCCGAAATCGAAGCAGAACTTGATCGGCGGCGGAAAACATCGCCCAGGCCCAAAGAAACTGGAAGCACCAGGGACATGGATCGGTTGGACGAACCAAGGAAGACAACCGTCGAGAATTCCAGCGAGAGTACTCGTCTAGTGAAGGGTCGTAAGAGCCTGGTTGTAATGCTCAAGGTGCCCAAGGCTGTGAGGGCCAAGTTCCGTCAGCTAATGAGGCCGAGTCCACCACGGCGGGAGACGCCTGACGGAACGTCGCACGGTGCTGCCTCACAGGCAGGAAAGAGGCCGGCTAATTACGACTCGACGGGCCTCAAGCGGCCTCGGGTATCCGACATGCCCAAGGGGCCACTGCCACCGTCTACACCATCTAAAAAGGGGGCGACAGCCATGTCACGCGTCAGCTCAAGCAACTCTGCAACACGGACGCCCGGAGCTTCCGGGAGCTTTGGGGCTGCGACCAACACGCTTGCGCCGGCGTCGACGCCATCACTGGCCGCAGCGTCGTCCTCGGATCGACCAAGCATGTCCAAGGTACCGCCGCTCAAGGAGAGAGCGGACGCACTGGTCAACCTGGGTAAGTCACAGAAGCGGCTTGGGGATGGCTACCTCAATGAGCGGCCAGATTCGAGTGGCACGACGGTGGGCCTCGTTCTCCTGCTGGAGAGCGTAGCGGCCTTCATGGCCGGATTCCACGCGTACGATACGAATCGACTCATGGCGGCCAAGCTTTCCGACCCGAGCCAGTGGCAGACGCTCTTCCCCCTCATCGATATGCTACAGAAGCGCCTCGAGCAGCGCCGCAGCCCCTTCCTCTACAGTGTATCCTTCCTCCTGCAGGCCACGACATACGGCCAGCTCATCGCCGCCTGGGCCACGTGCGAAGACCCGTCCGACCGCGTCTCGCTCAAGAACGTCTTACGGTTCGAGCGCTCACGCTCTCGTGCCTGGCAGCAGTACCGCGACATTTCGGAATCGTTTGACGAGTCTCTTCGCGTGTACCCGACGCCTTGGTTCACGGCGAACGATACCGTCGCGTCAGCCCTGCACGTCCTGGACCTGTGGTGTTCCGAGGAGGGTGTTGACTGGTCTCCTAACACAAAATTTGCCGCTCTGGGTATAACTCGCCGCCGGGCCTGAGAGAAAGAAAAAAGGATACCCTGTTTTGAAGATGTTACCCTGTTTATGAATCCCCTCTTTCCTATCTATTCCCCTGGACGAGGAGGTACTTGTATTATGACGAAGAATATTGCCTTTCTTTTTACCAAACGCGTCTCCGTCTTTTTTCTCCTTCATTATCCTTTCCTAGATTCCTCCACAGCGCAGAGGTAGCAAGGCGCGATGAGTGCTGGCGTACGGTTTTGTTTTTTTCTTGGCTCTCCCTGATTCGTCTGTGCCCAGTTTCCCTCATTTTGACATGTTGCGTTATGATGACGCCATCTGTCTAATCGTTCTCTCCCCCTCTGCTATCCATCTAAGAGCAGAGAAAGGCTCGAGCAGGCTGGGTCAGTTGGAGAGAAAGAGTCGGCCATGTTCGTTTCTTACAGAGTGCGTGCGATTGGTGGGGTTTGCATTTCATGATATCCTGTTTTGAGGGGTGTGAGCGGGGTGGAGAGAAGAAGAATTGAGGTATCAGGTTACTAGCTGTGGTCGTAGTAATACGAATAAAGAAGCACCAGGAAAAAGTGTTCCTAGGAACAAGAGTGACGAGGGCCGAACTTGCGACATATTGCTGATTCTACAAAAGACATACAAGTTGAGAATGAAATGAGGTTGTATTTTTTTTTGTAATAGCTCTCTGTCTCACCATCAGGATCCTAGTGATCCCATCTATGGCAAAACGCGACTCATCTTCTCTGGCTGGCTATTGCCCATCGCTCAGAGTTATTTTGGAGTATATTTTTTGTTCTCTTTTGGTTAAATTTCCTGTTTTTTTATTGGTATGACAAAGAAAAAAAGAACTCATTAAGAGGACGACCAAAGCGTCCGGAGCATCTCTCGTCCATTCATGAGGTCGTTTTCATATTCTATAAAACCTTCACCCACTCAAGGTCGACAAGTTGCTCTAACAACCTAAACCATGACGGTCAAAAGTTGCCTGCTGTTGGTTGTGTTGATTTGAAAGGGGGGGTGCGAGGGGTGATGCGCTTATTTGGCGTCAACCTTGGCGACGTAGGAGACCAAGTCGAGGACACGGCGGGAGTAACCCCACTCGTTGTCGTACCAGGAGACCAGCTTGACGAAGTTGTTGTTGAGAGAGATACCGGCCTTGGCGTCGAAGATAGACGAGTTGGTGTTGCCGTTGAGGTCGGCAGAGACGACGTCGTCCTCGGTGTAGCCCAGAACGCCTGTGTAATGTGCTGGTCAGCAAGTGTTTAAAAAGCAAGTAAAGTGTCAAGAGAAAACATACCCTTGAGGGGACCCTCGGAAGCCTCCTTGATGGCGGCCTTGATCTCGTCATAGGTGGCAGACTTCTCGATGCGGGCCGTCAGGTCAACAACCGAAACGTTGGCGGTGGGGACACGGAAAGCCATGCCGGTCAGCTTGCCGTTGAGAGCAGGGATAACCTTGCCGACAGCCTTGGCGGCACCAGTGCTGCTGGGGATGATGTTCTGAGCAGCACCACGGCCACCGCGCCAGTCCTTGGAGGAGGGACCGTCAACGGTCTTCTGGGTGGCGGTGTAGGAGTGGACGGTGGTCATGAGACCCTCAACGATACCGAACTTGTCGTTGATGACCTTGGCGAGGGGAGCCAGGCAGTTGGTGGTGCACGAAGCGTTGGAGATGACATCGGCCTTGCCGTCGTAGGTCTCCTGGTTGACACCCATGACGTACATGGGGGCATCGGCGGAGGGAGCCGAGATGATGACCTTCTTGGCACCGCCGACAAGGTGAGCCTTGGCCTTCTCGGTGGTGGTGAAGACACCGGTGGACTCGACAATGTACTCGGCGCCAGTATCCTTCCAGGGGATGGCGGCGGGATCGCGCTCAGTGTAGAACTTGACCTTCTTGCCGTTGACGACAAGGTCCTCGCCGTCCTGGCCGATCTCGCCCTTGAAGTTGCCGTGGGACGAGTCGTACTTGAGCATGTAGGCCTGGAAAAGGGGTAGGAATGATCAGCTCAGCTTTCGAGACTTATTGAATGCAACATGAGTTGGTTCTATTGGCTGCTCATGTTACTTTCGTAACAAGTGAGCATGAGACAAAGGGGTGGCAGATTGCAGTATGGAACGGAGACCTCCGGGGAATGAAGCATAGCCAATTGACACGATGGAAGGTGTCGGCTCATTCAGAGAGAGGCTCGACCGGTTTCGGAATCATGATATCATCCATTTTCAAAGGAGGGGCAATTGACAGGCAGGGCAAGAGGGCGTAAGGAAAAAGAGCAGATGGAGGGGCAAAAGTTTTGCAATGCCCATATTTTTTTTGGAAGGTGGGGGGGGGGGGTGGGGGGGGTAGGCGTATTGGCAGAGAGGGAGGGGTTGTTTAGAGCTTTGTTTGGTGGTACTCACAGCGTACTTGGTCTCAATGAAGGGGTCGTTGACGGCAACAATCTCGATGTCGTCGTGCTCGATAGCGTTGCGGAAGACAATGCGACCGATGCGGCCGAAGCCGTTGATACCAACCTTGACGGGAGCCATTGCTGCTAGAGATCAAGAAACCAGACAGACAGTCAGTAAGAAATGTTTTTGCAGGGTGAGGCAAGGAGGGGGAGGGGTAGGAGGGGCGGGGCAGCAACAGTGGCAGCAGCAGCAGCAACTTGCTCGAGCTCTCTACGCGTCCGACGTCCTGGTCCGTGTAGAGCAAAGCACGCGGAACAGACGGGGAGACTGGCGGCAGAGAGGCTGCAACCTGAATAGAGAGGAAGGAGTGTATGGGAAGAGTATGAAGAAGACAGGCTCACCTAGTTTGAGAAAGTGATTTAAGTTGTGGTATATTAGAATGTGGATGTGTGGTGATGAAGGAAGGAAGAGAAGGAAGGAAGGGAGGGAGGAGAAGGAAAGAGCTGGAAGGGCCGGGCTCAGCTTTATGAGGAAGAAGAGGGAAAGGAAAGAGGGAGGACCCCTCTCCCCCGAGACAGCCCCAGGGAAGGAGCCCCGGGCAAACAAGCCCCAAGCCCGTAATAGCAAGCGAAAGCATGGCGTGTATGAGTGTGGAAGCGCCGTCGTGGCAACAGACGGCCACCACCACCACCACTACCATTCACCATTCACCACCAGGGCCACCACTACGACGGGCCAGCAGCTGTTCCACCCATTTCCATCTGGGGCCCAGAGAGCCCAGAATACGGGGCCCTCCGCTACCACGAAAAAGGTTGAGGCCAGTACCAATCCGGTACTACATCACTCTTTATTAGCGGTGTCTGGCTCCATACAAGTATCAGCACCTGTTAAGGTGGTACGACAACACTTAAAGAGACCCTACTTTTTATTCTATTTCTACGAGTAGTATAATAATACTCTCATACACATGCAGAGGGTTGGTGGGGCTAAAGTGCGTGATGGGGGGGAGGCAGGAGAGGAGAGACGGATGTATCAAGTTTGCCCGCCTCATGTGGTATTAATAGTAAGTAGCTATAGCCTGTCTGGCGTTTGAGCGTCATATCCGTCCAATTCCGTCCAATGCCTCGACAACATTACAAATTGGCCGGCGAACCCGACAAGCTGTAAATAAACATGGTTCACTGTGACATGCAAGTAAAGGAAAAGTCCATTATTGTCTCTGATCGTATTTTGGTCATACAGTAGTTGCATGATATGATAGACAATGTCACCCAACAAAGCAATGGTAGAGTGATGCACTTCTCGTACGATGATGCTCTCTTCTATTATCTCTCCCTCCTCTCCCCTGCGTTATTATACTGCAACCTGTATCCATGGTAGCAGCAAAAGACCGAGCAAGAAAGGTAAAAAGAAAAGAAAAGAAAAAACTAGTGTTTTAGCACACCTCTCCAGCGACGTAATACCCATGACAACCAACAAATTCCAAAGAACGCGGCTGCATCGGCTGCCCTGAATTTCGCCCCTCTTTCTCACATCATGTCATCTCCACGCCCATAATACCTTTTTTTTTCCTGCCCCTCTCCTTACCAAGGCCTAGGGGGGGGACCCTGCTGGCGCCCATATCATGATACTATTTACTCCGTAACACTCTTACTCCATACGTAATAGTAGGGTGACTCTTCCTTTTGAGAGGGACAAAATTAACAAAATGAAACTACGATGCGCGGTTTTCTCGTCTAGGATCTCCCTCCCTCATCTTATCGTCCCTTTTCTCTCTCTCTTGCACTTCTCTTGTTCCCTTCCACCCAATGTGGTCAAAAAGCTCCGCCACGGGGTGGAGTGGGGGGACCTCTTCTCACGCACAGTAACAAAAGCCTCTTTTCTGGAACGGGGGTTGCGAGGAGAGCCTCAAAAAGAGGGGATCAAGGACTTAGAGAAAAACAGGGAATTTTTTTTAAAGGTATAAAAAAGAATAAGAATGGGATGAAAGAGAAATACGTCAACAAATTCCCGATACACGGTATTATTTTTCTTACTGACCGTTGCTGCCCGGCCCGTTTCCTCCCCTCCTCCTTGCCCCTCCATAATATTAGTAGCTCCTCTCACTTACCCCTCCATGGGAGAAGGAAAAAAGAGAAATATCAGGTGAGCAGCACAGATATCAAGTCGGTCCTTTCCCACCGCGACAACGGCGACTACGCCAACAGCACAACGAATCATACCATGTCAACTGTTTTGTATTTGAGCGTAATTAACCTGATAATGGAAAGCCTTATCATTGTGTATTGCTCCAATCCTTTCCCTGGCAGCCATGGATAAGGAAGTAGCTGGGTTGTGCTGACATTACATGCGAAAAAAAACACTACGTAGTTGAATAATGAAACAAAACGAGCCCGAGCAAGTAGATGGGAGAAAAATCACTCATCCTCTTGTGTGTATGTCTGATTGTGTTTTGGGGGGGTTCGCCGATGTGCGGCGGTCCTTTACGCAACCCCGCCTCCTCCCCGATGTCGTCCTCTCACCCAGCCACACATACCGTTGTCGAGTCTTGGTGATGGCTTCACTCTGCAAAACAACTTGTCCATCTTATATAAAAAGGGTTGTCTGCCTTATATGTCCCCTTTTCTTTTTTTAACTTATTAGATCCTACCATCGATGGGTCCCGTCCAACCCACCCTCCCCCCTGGCCTGTTCTCTGACCATACAGGACGCAATCCTCCTTCCCCGCGCCACACCACCACCAACCCACGATAATCGTCCGGGCTGCAGCCACCCCATATTATTCCTCGGAGCATCACGGGCTCCATCTCGGCTCTGTCTCAGATTCTTTCCCGCCGCCCGGGAACACCCCAGCGGCCCTTAGGAAGAAGGGGGGTTTCGATCGAGGTACTAATACTATGCGGCTTTGCTTGCCGAGGTGGAAATCGGTATCATTGTCCACGCTTGTCCAATAATAGCAACTATCTCTGTTCGTTGCACACCCCTCCCCCCCCCGTCTCCCGTCCCTATCCGTCCCCCCGGCCGGGGCGCTTCTATCGATCCATCCCGGGGGGGGGGAAGGGCTCCAACTCGGCTTGCCATGGTACGAGCAGACGGGCAGTATCGGATGTTTCAGGGACGAAGAAGCCGTTAAAAAGCCCGGTTCGGCTTGTGCTGTTATGTGTGCACGTGCAATAGCCGGTGCTAACACCACCCCCGTACCTGGGTTGTACCTTTTCTTGCCCCGTTGCTTGTTGCTCTTGTTTATCTGGCATTTGTTTCTTCTTGTCTCTTGTCTCGGCTCGGCCATGGCACGGCACGGCATTGGCATGGGGCACGCTCATGCAAACGACGCCCCCTGTCTCCATTCCGCTCCGTCTTGTACCGGCCGAAACTCGACTCCCTCGCCAAAATATCCGGCGTCTTGCCACGCCTTCATAGTCGGCCCATCAAACGGGCCCTGGACCCCGCCACCATCACGCCCATCCGTCCACTTGAACTCCCATAAGATATCCGGGTCGCTTGCAGTTGCACCCGTGTTGTTGTCGTCATCGTCATTGTGGACCACTTTTGGCTCGACCCATTCTTCTCCCGTCTCACGCTGATACTCGCGGATCAGCACCTCCCTCTCCTGGTCGTAAATATCGCCGTGGTCTCGGCTGAGGAGCTTATCTGCGGCCTCCGTAATGGCACGGATATTCTCCTTGATGCGGACTTGTTCCGGATCCTCCTCCTTCTTCTTTCCGTCATCCTCCACATCCATCCCCCCCTTTTGCTTCTTGAGTTTCCACTTGGGTACCTTCTTCGTCTTGGTCTGGCTCTTTCCCAGTCGCGCAAGTGCTTCGAGCGGGGTCTCAGACATCTCCAGCCGGACAATCAGATCCTTGAGAAGCTCGGGAACCAGGATGCTGTCCTCGTCGATGCGCCTCTGCCGCGCCTCGGCCTCTCTCCGTTTGTGGGCCTCTGCTGCTTTCCGTATCTCCTTCTTGCCCGTCCCGTCCAGCCACTTGTCGTGTTCGGCATCCGGGTCACCTGCTCGCCGGATGTAATTGCCCGACTGGTCAAAACGACCTTCTTCCATCTCGTTCTTCAGGTTGAAGGCTTCTATCTTGGGGGCGTTACGCCGCAGTCCACCCGCGCCGACCTCGTCATCCACATCTTCCTCCTGTGCGCGCAGGTCCACGTCGTCCTCGTCGTCGCTGCTCTCGTCTTTGTCTAGGTGAGAGTTGAGACCGCCGGCATCTTCGTAATTTTCCTCTCCTTGGATTTGGTCATCCTCCATATAGTGTACTTGTTTCTTCTTGTGGCCTGATTTGTCAAAGTCGCCATTGTCGTCGAGTTTGCCCTCACCGCCCCCATCTTTGACCTTGTCGTCGTCGTCGCTGGCGGCAAACATGTCTTCATCACCGTCGTCGTCCCTGCCTGCCGCCTCCGGTTTTTGCGGAATATCGCCCCGCGCATCGTAGTTGTCTAGCTGCTCGTTGATGTCGATCTTCCCCCGCCTGCGTTCTTGTGCTCGGGCGTTAAACGTCTCGTTGTCCGAGTCGCTGTCGTATCCGTCAATGTTGACAGCGCCGCGCTTTGTCGCGCCGGTGCCACCGATGACGTCGGCATCGAGAAAGGCATCTTCCTCCCGAGACTCAGGTGCAAGAGTTGACGGATTGCGCACGTCAAATTTGACCCGTTTCGAGCTCACTCCATCGTCGTCGTCCTCGTTGTGGTGTGTCCGTGCAAATTGCTCGCCGTCACGGCGAGGACGCGCCGCGGAATATCGCGACGCCATTATTGTCGACTGATGGGTTTGCAGTTTCTTCCAATGCAGTGATACGGGATTCGGACGTTGCTTTATGCAATCGTCAACAACAAATCATGAGTTCAGAATGCCGGTGTTTGGCGGGGCTAGAAGCGAGAGAGCTTTGGTGTTTTTTTTGCGCCACACTCTAACCTCTAGCATACGCCACATTTCATCATCCAAAACTGCGTCATGCGAGAGCTGCCTCCGCGCTACGCCCCACGTCTCACCAACATCTACTCTACAATAGCACGTAACTGCCATCAGTTCTGCAGCACAACTTGCTTCGCCTTGAATAGTTTGCAACGATAGTTTTGCTGCCGCAGTGAAAGAGATATAGCAGGGTTCCTTGCCTCCGTTACCTTGTGATATCCTGCCAGCGCTTGACCGTCTAGTCTCTGCTGGAAGCTTCGACGGCTACGGTGTCACCCCTCTGGACAATCCCTCTACCGCACCCAGATACATCCTTCAGAATGGTTAGCAATTTCGCCATATTTTTCCAGACTAGCCCACCTGACATTCTTTCTCCAGTACTCGAGCTTCGGCGGAGGGTTCGACCCATCGGACCCTAACCAGCTGTTCAACATGGCCCGCCATGGCCGACGACCGATCATCCAGCGCTTCGACGAATACTACCGATGCTACCCGGTCATTATGGCCCCCGGGAACGAGCGGCCAGAACTCAACTACGGGTCTAAGATCATCCTACCGCCATCAGCCCTGGACAAGGTGTCCAAGCTACATGTCCAGTGGCCATTGCTGATGGAGTTGATCAACGGCGAGAAGGGTCGGCACTCGCACGCCGGTGTCCTCGAGTTCATTGCAGAAGAAGGACGAGCATACATTCCTCAGTGGGTACGTTGACAGCCCCCCTCCCCCCCCCAAGTCCTGCCATCATTGCGCACGCTAACGCCCGTGGTTATATGTGTAGATGATGGAGACGCTGGGCATGGACGTCGGCGACATGATACAGATCAGGACCACATCTCTCGAACTAGCCAAACTTGTCAAGCTGCAGCCCCAGTCGACCAACTTCCTCGACATCAGCGATCCCAAGGCCGTCTTGGAACGGGCATTCCGGAACTTTGCCACCCTGACAAAGGGCGACGTCTTCAACTTCGAGTACAATGACACGGTCTATGACGTGGCAGTGCTCGACGTCAAGCCCGAGACAGAGAAGATGGGTGTTAGCATGATCGAGACAGACGTTTCGGTTGACTTTGCCCCGCCAGTCGGCTACGTCGAGCCCGAGAAGAAGAGTGGCACCAGCACACCCCGTAGCGGACCCGGCGGCGGTCTGCCAGCCGGAGGCGTAGTCCACCACCAGGGCACCATGGCCCAGGCCATCAACTACAACGCCCTTGCGCCCTCGGCAAACAGCGTGCCCACAAACTTCTCCGGGGAGGGTCAGCGTTTGGTCAAGAAGGGGGGCAAGAATGTGGCCGCCGCGTCCAAGAAACCCGAGGCCGCCGCCGCCGCTGGCCCCACTACCGACGCCGCCAGTCTGCCTGTGAGGCGTGCGGGCGGTGGTCATGTAGCGCTGAGACTAGCGCCCAACAAGCTCTTTTTCGGGTATGAGTACAAGCCTCTCAAGACAAAAGAGGAGAAGGATGAAGAGACCAAGAGTGCGTCCAAGCCTCACTTTGCGGGGGCGGGACAGTCCCTCCGCGGCGCTGTCAAGAGAAAGGGCGAGGGCGATGATAAGGGTAAGGCACCGGGAAAGAAAGGTACTGGTGAAGGGAATAGACTGGACGGTCGGAGCCCCAGGTAGCTTCATGTTAGTAATTTGGCTGTGCGCACTGGGATTATTGCTTAATACAGGTAGTAGTAGTGCTACTATGAAGATACCGAACAAAGCGCGGCTTCTATTATACATGGCTACTCGGGATGGAAATGGCTCCTGTGAAGATGTATCTGATGGTTTTGCCATCTCAAATTCGATTCCGTTTCCGTATGATACTCTTCTTCCATGCCATTTGTATGTCTAGTGTATTATCTCCAATACCAGAGTAGAGCACAGAGTATTTATCCACGGCCTTGTTAAAGCAACCCTAGCTGAGAGTCATATGCCGCCTCTTTTTGTGATATGGAAGCCTGAGTTCAAAAAATTCTCTAGGAAGATAAACATAACGTAATCACATGCCCTAGATAACCTCTGGTGATGCTTTAAGCCTGGTTCACGGCTCAGTCCTCCTCAACCTTGGGAGTGACATCGACCTTGAGGGCTTCAGCTTGGGCGAGGGAACTTCGCATTGTCAGAGGCATTCCTCCTAAGGTGGAGATAGAAGACAGGTGAAACCAGTGGAAATAAGGAAAATGGAACATACTCGTAATCCTCCTCATACTCCTTGACAGGAATAGTAGCGGACTTGCCCCTACGCTTCTTTGTAGGCCTGGCAAGCTCAGCAGCAGGGTCGTCGTCATCTCCCTCGGCAGCGAAAGCATCCGTACCACGCTTGCTGACCTTCTTTGCGGAGCCAAGATACTTGACAGGTGAGGCAGGAAGGGCTGGAGTGCCGGGCGTGGAATCACCGCGACGCTTCTTGAAGTCGCGGAGGATGGCCTTGGACCAGTGTTGGCTGGTCTCATGAATTAGCACTACTGATCATATCCATGGTGGACGCAGGTTGGTAGATACGACGATGAAGATAGAACAGAAGCAAAGGAAGAAGAAAGGAGTGACATGCTTTACGGCCTCGCGGGTGAAGGTGTGACCCCAGTCGGTCATGTACTCGTGGATCTTGGCCCAGTCGTACTTGGGCTTGTCGCCTCCCTGGGAGAATAGGACGGCCAAGGCGAGGTCGAGCTGCTCGCTGGGCCCCCATTTCTTTTCTTTGCTCATCCTTGCGGGTGTGCGAGCTCGGGTTTGGATGGTAATGTCGTAGTGGAAGTAGATGGGTATATGAACTGATATTTGGCAATGGTAGGGGCGAGATGAAGTGTGGATGGGGGGGGGGGGGGGGGGGGGGGGGGGGGGGGGGGGGGGGGGGGGGGGAGTTGACGTGATACTCAGGGAGAGGACCGTAGGCATGCGGGGAAGACGGGAGTGAATAGAGCGAGAGGTTCATATGGGAGAGAAAACGAAACACGGAAACATCAAGGTGCGATCTGGCAGTGCAGTGCATCGGGCCTACGATAGGGAGAAGGGAATCCCCCGAGTGAATGGAGAGGCTAGGGTTCGGTTTGCCCTCGGTTACTGTACGGAAAATGGCCACAGATAGTGTCTGTATAGCTGGGGATATCTTATGTCAAGTTGAATGGCAAACAGATTGTAATTATATCCCACCATGTGAGAAGTTGAATCTCATATGCTGCTCGTTTGTAATATGGAGTATGCTATTACGAGACTGACTGCTGGGTATACTCTGGTGATGTAAAATACGGTTACTGGAGAGCTGACACGATGTATGAGAAGGACGAACTTGGATGTGAAATAGCATAAGATTTTTGTATCGTAATGCCGTCTTTCCGCTGCAAAGCCGTTTTCCACGCACATGCCCTCAAATAGCTAGTGCATATGAAGTCAAATATCTCAACACTCCTGGAAAAGCGATAGGCCCCGTAGCTCTATGCTGAGCTCTCTTAAATTGTTGTCAAAAAGCCACTCGTCCGTTCTCGTAGCTCCACGCTGTAGATAAGCGCTGTCTTGACCTGTTCCAAGAAAGCAAGTGATGCGAAGAAAATGTAGAGCAAAAGATATAAGGAAAAAACCCGCTAGCTGTTGTAGTAAAAAAAAAGCAACTGATGAGAACGAGAACGTGCTGTTGAGCCAGACGAGAGCGCTCATGCTTGTCAAATCTGGGCATCGTCATCGATGTCCTCATTCTTGTAAGGGCTAGACGAGGAATAAAACATGATTAGAAGACAAGGTCATGCTTCGAGCAGTGCAGAGATGGAGAAAGCATACGTCAGTGTCCTCTTGGTCCGCTTGGACTTGGGCTGAAGTTCCTGATCAGAGAGGCCAGAATCATCCTTGAAGGCCTTGGTGAAGTCGACGTCGTCGTCATCTTCATCATCGTCGTCATCGTCGTCGGCGGCGGACTTGCGCTTCTTGGGAGTGGCCTTCTTCTTGCCCTTGGTCGGCGAGGCGTTGTAAGACTTTCTTGGAGTTCCAGGGGTTCCACCAGCTGCCGCGTCAATTCCCGAGGTGTCGCGGTTTCTGCGCAACTTCTGTATGTGTTGGCTATTATGTGGTCAGCGTCAATGTTCTGTGCTTGAATGCAACATGTGATGAGGATAAGAAAGTAGGAGGGGAGGAACATAGCAAAGCAGGGGAATGATAGATAGACAGAAAGAAAGAAAGAAAGAAAAAGACATGGCGGTACTTTATGGCATCGTAGGAGTAAGAGTAACCCATATTCTTCATACGTTCGGTGACGTTCATGAGAAATGCCTTCTTGGGCTTGACCTCGTCGAGAATGGCGAACAAGAGAGATTCATGGGAGGAGGCATCCCATCCGCGTGCGGGGGCCATGTTTGGCATGATGCGAATCAATGAGAGGACGGGATTATATGGCGTCTGCAATCCATATAGAAATGGTGACATGAGACGGAGAGAGGGAGAGATGAAGGTGAGTTGGTGGGATTTTTTTTTTTGAAAAAGAGAAAGGAAAGGAAGTGAGTGATAGGAGTGCACAGTTAATGGGCGGTGTGATGGGGGCCGTGAATTTGGAAGTGCTATGAATTCCATCAGGGGAACAACAAACACGTCAAAAAGCCACAGGGAAATAGAGAATAAAAGAAACAGCGGAATTAAAAAAAAAAAAAAAAAGTAAGGGAAAAGATAACTGGAAAAGATAGAAACGAAAAGAAAAGGGAGAACACAAAGAAAATAAGAAAGCAAATTTAGCGCAATGCTGATTCGGAAAAAGTGTATCCCTTGGCAGATAGACCAGCCATCAACTTTTGAATCTCTGAAGAAGGGATATTGATAGTCTGAAAGACTTCAATGAGGATATCCTCATGGACCTTCTGATCCCACTTCTGGGTGTTCCGGGGAGCCATGGCTGAGGTGGGAGTAGGATACGGAGTGATATCAAGGAGATGTATAAGACTCCTTGCAAGAGTGTAATGGTGTGAGGAGGACGTTTGAAGCTTTGAATGGATAGGGATAACGAGACCGATGAAAAGACTGGACGAGGCTTGCGAAGGATTTGTGAAAGATGAAGTGATCTTGTATCGGGGAGAGGTAGGGGGGGAGTTATATGCTTTCATTTTCACTCCTCAGCTATCACGCGACGGTCCGACAGACAACTGTGGAATTCACTCGAACCAGCGGGTAAAGAGAGGACGGAGGAAAACAATCGAGGGGAGATGAAAATATGAGGGGGAAAAACAGTAGGAGCCATACTATTCTCGCGAGGTAATGGAGGGAATAGAGGAAATCTTCGTTTCTACTCATCGTATGGCATTCCAGGTCATGCTGTGCCCCTGCTGGGCCATGTACTCCGGTATGGCCTCACGGACTCCCTGCGTCAGACCGCGAGAGCCCTCGAGAGCTTGGTAGAGGGATATAACGAGTTCGCGGAGGAGCTCGTTGTTGTCCCACGCGCTGGATTTGCTCCACTTGGCAGGACTAGACATGGTGTCTCTCTTTCTCGAATGGGGAGGATAGAGGATGGCGCAGGTTTGTATGGAGTTTCAAGACGACGATGACGACAATGCTACGATGATGTTCGTCTTCATCGTATTTCCAAGTGCGCTGCCCGACTTTCAAATACGTGTCCTGCATCTAGAGCGGGGAAGAAGAGAAAAGAAAGAAGCGGCCAGTCCAAGCTCAGGGACGGAAAACGGAATGGCGAACAACCGTCGACAGCTTTCTGTCAACTCTGGACGTCCAAAGAGGGCTTGCCACAAGTGGCAGACAGGTGTTCTATGCACCGCTGTCCTTGGGGGATACGTCTGAATTGTCATGGATGGCCCAAGAACGGCTGGCCGTATCAACTGCTGGAAAATATCTAGAGATCCTAGCTCGTCGTACCATGGAACAAGCTCTTCAGTGCCCCCATCCTCTACCTCCACTGCGCCTCGGATCAAACGATGACGGCGGGTCTAGAGGTGTGATGCTCTCTTTCTCTTGCTGCCCTTTTCATTTCCCTCTTCACCTTCCAGCGCAAATGAGAGAGATGCCATTTCAGAGAAGGAGCTCGACCACTTCGACGGCAAGTGATATTACCACGGGGCAGATAGACGTTAGTGTATGCAAACTTTGTAGATACCTTATTCCATTTCGTTGTATAGATCCAGAACAAACGCTGCATATCGCCCGTTAAACAGACACGCGCAAAACAAGAAGAACCCCGACCTCGTTCCTCTCCCGAGACTGCCAGTATAATACCTTCCCTGCCCCTCTCAAACCCCGTCCCCATTCTTTGCCTTTCATGTAACCGTAGAGACATAAAGTAAAACGAAAGCCTCGGCAACTCCTGACCTGCTAGTCGGGGGCCATCCATGACAAAGCTCGTCACATTCGCCAGTATGTGACAAGAGACAAACACCTTACACCGTGACCGTGACCGTGACCGTTTTACCCCTACTTCCAGAGCCCAAACCGAATCATCCAAGCATTTCTCCGTTGCCATCTTGACCATATATCAGCCCCTATGCTTCTGCATAGTCGAACCTGAAAGGGAAGGATTAGCATGTTTGCTGCGTCGGTTGCTGTTCTTGTCGCTGTCGAGGGGGAGACAGCAGGCAGGGAGAGCAGAGGAAAAAAACAAAAGAAAGCTCACTCGGCGTGATACGACTCCGGCCCACCCGTCCCGTTATTTGCATTGGCCAAAGCCAGTACCGGATCATCCTCCAACGGGTCGTGCTGCCCAAATTCCGCCTCATCTAACCGCTGCCTCTTAGCTGGCGGGCCCTCGGGATCCTCCTCCTCACCCTCGCCGTCTTCCTCTTCCAGGTTGAGCGGTTCTGGAGCGACCGAGTCGTTCACCGGCGTCGGTTCGTGCGATGATACAACTGCTGCTGCCACCGCTGCCGCCGCCGCAGTCTCTGCATCAGGAGGCTGCTGTCCTGGCGACAGATGTTGTGTGGAGGAGTCCCGGCGATGCTGCTGCTCGGCCGCTGAATCAGGGGAGTGGTGGAACACGTGTTGCTGCTGCTGGTGTTGCTGGTGTTGCTGAGGTGTCGACTGCGGCGACTGGAAATGCTGGAGCGGCTGACCTGGCGGTGGCTGTGGCGAGTAGTGAGTGTTGTGAGATTCTAGCTGCGGGTGCTGATGGTGGAAGCGGGGCGTAGAGTGGACATTGTACTGGGGCGGCAGCTGTTGATGTTGCTCGTGAGGGTCGATGCCGATGTCCTGCGGTGTCGGCGGCGGCTGGTGCTGCTGGTGCTGCTGGTGCTGGTGCCCTGGGGTCGAGGCAGCGGCCGTGAGCTGGGTCGAGGGGGACAAGCTGTCCGTGGTACCTGGAATCGCGGTAACTACCTGGAGGCCACTTGTGATGGTTTGGATGGATGGCGAAACCTCACTGCCCGTCGACTTGCGCGGCCTGCCCCTACCGGGCCCTGGTCTCCGGGTGATGGGGTTCAGGGTCGGGTCGACCTTCTTGGCTGTCTCGTTTCCGTCTTCATCCTGCTCAGCCTTGTTCTGGGCTCGTCTGAGGCCTTGGAAGTGTTGGCTGAGGAGGAGGTTGGATTGGTCAGAATGGGAGGGATTGATATGAGTTTGCGAAATATAGTGGTGAAAGGAGGGAGCACAAGTGAGCCATGGCAAGTTGCTTATGATGAGATTGAGAAGCGTGTTCTTGCTGTTGCTGCTGCTGGCCGCACTGTTTACATGACAGATATAACAAGGCTCATCACGCGATGATATAAAAGAGTGTGGGAAATGAGACACGATGAAGGGTGGAAGGATGAGTAGTATAGAAGTGCAAGATCAGACTCACCGGCAACCTTCGTTTGTAAACCCATATCCCATTCTCCGCATATAGTTACCGATTGTGACCCATTCTGACCCGCTAATGACTCCTATGTTCTTAACGGACAGAATGGTGAAGAATAAGTCCTTGTCGGCCCGGTCATTCCAATTCTTGTTATTCATACTTGAAACACACTCACTCACTCACTCACTCACACACTCTCCCTCTTTTTTTTTTTTCTCCAGAGCCCCAAATATTCCCTTTTTCAGAGTGGTTAGCTGAGCCTGTTCTTGACGGGGGCTTGGCCGGGGAAGCAAGAGCGCGCGTGATAGAAACTGTTAAAGTTACGGGTGGATCAAGGTCGAAATTGATAGTGGACTATTGGCCGTCGAGGGGCGATAGAAGAACATTTGGAGGCTGCACAGCACCGTAATGCTGAGGCACGTGCAGCGTCGGAGGGCGGACAAGGTATTTTCCCGGAAAAACAGGTAAGACGGCGTTACGTCGCATACATGGACTGCATCGGGGTTTGGCACTGCGGGACAAGGTTATTGCACTCAAGTTACTAGAGAAGAGCTACGTATAATCCGACCACGAAATGAATTGTTAAAGAGGTGGTTTTGTATAATTAATCCCATTGTCGTGTAAGATGGTTAGTATTAACCGAGGATGCGCCAGGGCTTAGCCGAATACAAAGTGCGAGGATGTCAGACGCTTGTAGCAGCCCGTCCGAAGAAGACCAGAACATTGGAACACCACGATATCAGACGTATCGCTCTGTTTTGTTTTTCCTTCACTCTTAAGGAAGGCTAATTCAAAAACATTTCTCACAGCCAATTCTACTTCTTACTCATCCTAAGAATGAACAATAAACAGACATTCTTCGTAAGCTCCCTCTGTGTGTCAACCGTGAAAACAAGGATTTCGAGTGATGGATATTTGCCATATGACTCAGGCAACAAGGCAACAAAGTTCTTTTGTCAACACATGATTAATTACGTACCCCTTCTCCCCCCCCCGGTTGGCCGGGAGGGGGAGGGTCTTGGCCTAAATGAGCTCACGTGCTTTCGTGACAAGCTGGCGCTGCTGGGGTGGTACAGTGTCCCCGCCAAGGTTCGCGCCCGTCGCGTCTCCCTTCCCACCTCGTCGTATTTTTTTCTCTCTCTCTCTGTTTTGCGCCGCCGTCCCTCCCCCCTTCACAACTACACGCAGTCTCAACCTCGCTAGCCTGACCGTGTGCAATCTCGTAACTCATCTATATGATTCTTGATTGATTGGTTTGGACCTCTAGGAATTCTCCCCGAGCTGATAGCTTATGTTGTTGTTGAACAGGCATTGAAAAAAAAAAAAAAGTACACTGCGATCATCATCACCACACCACAGCCTCCCCCCCCCCCCCCCCCCCCCCCCACCACGGTCGAGAGACGGGATGGGAAATCGGTCCACACCAACTTTGCTGCGGTAGGTGAGACTAGGCTAAGCTCCGTAATGATGCTTCACAACTCGGATGGTCCTTGCGCAAGGGGTCGTCATAGAAGGAATGGGAAAGAGAGAAGGGAGATCCGTCTCGGGAGATGAACCATCATGAGGTGCGACATGATTTCTCTAGAATTCAAGGAGCACTGCTTAATACTAGGTAAAAAGCAAACAATGAATGGAGGTGGCATTGTCGTGTAGGAGAAAAGAATCGACAATAATCCTGTACGACTGGACCCGAACTAAGCCGTATGGTAGTCTCGTTCTTATATGCTTTGCCGTCACTGGTCGCTTTCTTGCTTTCTTCCCTTTCTCATTCTTATTGAGAGCTGCTGCTAGTCCTATAATAGACTCTGATTATATTATATGATAGCGCTATTACTCCGTAGATGCTCACAGGAAAGAGTGGGATGATGAGTCACAGGCTTAGCTGGGAAGCAGAAAATGGGAGAGGTAGGCGTGGCGTTTCAAGCTGGACCGTACGGAGCACTCATACGGCCATATCTGCTCATTTGACAGTACAGTGCCGGATGTTTGTGTGGGTGTTGGTACCTATCTTTGCAATTGCAGACGATGTAGGTTTGATTGACCGTAAAGAGCGGTCACTTGCCCGTAGTCTGCTGCATGATGCACCTTGTTTTGTTTCTTTGTATTTATTTCTTCGCCCTTAGCCATCGCGTTCTTTTATTGACCAATGTCTTCTTTTCCCAGCATATCTGTTGGAAGTTGGCGATGGTTACAGGGGTCTAGCTTAGCATACTGTAGCGGAGTGGATACCACTTTACGCGGTATTGTCATACCACCCACACCAGTGAGCCTTGTGCCGCAGTGCAGTACCTGTCTCCCACCACACCCCCTCAATGCACACACTTAATAATAGCCTTGCTTCACTGAGCCGGATTACTAGGCAACCATGGGTGGACACGACATTTTCATCTCAGGCATGATTCGCCACGGTTCGACAAGCAGATATGTACAGATTACTCGTAGTAAAACTACTGCTACTGCTACCAGTACCATACATACATACATGTTAATCCCTGCTCAAGCTCTGTCGTCCATCTTGTCGACACGACGCACGACGCACCCCCCCCCCCCCCCCCCCCCCCCCCCCCCCCCCCCCCCGCTTTCTCTGAGCCTTGAACCACCATACTGCTGCTATAAGTGGCATGTGGTCGCCCCTCCGTCAGCTGCCTTGTTCTATTCCTTCTCTCTCTCTTGCTTCTTCTTTTTCTTCACCTCTTATCTCTCGTTTCCTTCTGCCAATAATATATCACATTATCTTCTTTCTACTCGCAGCCTCATCCTGCATGTCAAAACCTTCTCGCCCTCATCTTCGTACATCATCACTCTTCATCTATGCGGCCTAACTTTTCTTGATTCACGCTTCCCTGCCTCGAAGCATTCATTTTTCTGCCTCTCTTATAAAGGTTCACTCATCCGGTGAGTAAAGGCCTTTCTCTTTCTCTTTCTAGCCTTGCAAACGTCTCGCCAACTTCCATGCTGAGATTAGGCAGCCAGGTTGTCTATAGGTCAACGCCCACTTTCGACCACGACGTCGACATCCGCACCTTCCCATCACCATCACCATGTCTCCCAACAACGGCGAGAACGCAACGGCGCGCTTTCTCTTTGCTATACTAAAGCAGAAGAACCTTAAAGATGTAAGCACTACAACCTAGCTCTTCCCTACCACCATCAGACAGACACCCTGACCTCTGTGTGTCTTCACCAGATCGACTGGAACCAGGTAGCTCAGGACCCGGTCCTGATGCAGCCCATCTCCAACGGCCATGCCGCCAGGATGCGCTACTTTCGTTTCAGAGCCACTGTCGAAGGCCACGAGGGCCGTGTAGCCAAGACCCGGGCCGGTGACACAGCGAACAAGTCTCGTGCGTCCAGGGCTAAGGCCAGAAAGGTCAGCTCCGAGTCGGTGCCCGAGTCGAACACCCACAGCAGCGGTGCTGTCCGCATCAAGAAGGAGTTTGATTATCCGACGAGGACCTACCCCATGTCCAACTGCTCTCCTGCGTCAATCTCGGTCTCTGCGGGGGCATCACCTTACCTCTCTGACTGCCATGACGACTTTGGCACCGGTCGATTCCCCACACCTTGCAGCGATGATATGACCAACCACATTCACACCCAACGTCAGACTGTCATCGATCCTGCTGTTACCATCGAGGGTGGTGGTAACATCCCGCACAACGCGGCCTTGTTCACTCCTCTGTTCTTGGATCCGGGACACCCCAACAACGGGAGCGACAACATGCACTCGCCTGCCTTCTCTTCCGCGTTTGACGATGCAAGCATCGATATGGTACACTTCGGGTCTGATGCTGCTCGTGTTTCACCCGACATCACAGCTCCCTATATGATGGGTTCCAACGACTGGGATCAGAGCCTCCAGCACCAATTTTGATACCCTACCCTTGTTTCTGTGAGAATGAAAGGGGGGAAAGCCAAGGTGGACAGCTTACCTCCCTGTGTATTATGACTTCTATCGAAAAGGAAAAGTACGAGATATGGGAAATATGTGGCGGACTGGATACAGATTCTAAAGCTTTGGTGATTTTTCTTTCTAGGTTTCTTTTTTTCTTTTTTTTTCTTCTTTTTTTTCAACTTGTTTCCTTTTTCCATTTCTATTCCATGGCTATACGACGATAGGTTTCAAGGACAAGGCGTTTGGTTTGGCACTCCTTCAATATTACAAAAACTACTCTAGCAGTCTTTTCCCCTTCTCTTCCAGTCACAGCTAGTATACAGCAATCAGATTGATCTCGATGTAGTACTGGTATGTGCAAACACATGTTACTACTAGTATCAGTGTGCTGTAATATCCCATCGTTGGCACTGCCTGTATGCAGTTCTGCACTTTTAATGATTATCAACCCGCGGCTTTAGCTGATATAAGAGGAAAGGGAGGACCAAGTTCAACATTTCGAACCGAGCGTCAGAAGTCTGCTCGCGCTGGGGATTATCTCTCTAGTAATAGTGCGCTCAGTCGTTTGTAACTTTTGGGTCAAGTGTAGGCGATTATCCCATCCAAACGATGCCTCTGCCTCGATCACCTGTTTTGTGTGGCCAGAGTGAGCGGATGGTGAGATGAAGCAAATGCCCTTCCCCTGTTCACAAAGCATTCACCGTCGATCACCCTTGTTTGACATCACTCAACCCTTCCTTGTTATACTGCCCGAGAGAACCAATTTCTCTCTCACCTTTTCCACTCCACAGACTCATCTCTCAACTTGCCATCCTCACACGCTGACTACCCAAGCACCATCAACACCATCGTGCCCTCGGTCTCCCTCGCATTTCCCATCCGGATTGTCTCACATAAGCCATTCCTTCTATCTATTTCTTCTCTGAGCCCTACGCTCTATCATCCGGTATGATTACGCTCTGCCTAGGTTACACATGAATAAACAACCCAGCGATGCGCTGACACCTACTCAAGACTATCGCAACCATGACCGACGTCAACGATGGGACCAAGGCCCCCAGCTCCGCGGAGGCTCTGTTCTTCTTCGCCATAGTCAAGCATACCAAGAACAAGGCCGATATCGACTGGCAGTCCGTCGCAGCCGAGCAAGGTTTCAAGAATGCTGAAGTCGCCAAGGTAAATAAGCCTCCAATAGCCACGCCCATCCCCACGTCACGCAGCACAGTGCTCTACATATATTACCGTCCTGTATCACCAACCCACCTTGTCATTTTGACTCACACTTCTTCTTATGCATGATGAAAAGGTCCGCTTCGGCCAGGTGAAGCGCAAGTTGGGTCTCAACTCTGACACGGGCGTCAGTCCCAAGAAGGCTCCCGCCACCCCTCGCAAGCCCAAGGCTGCCGGTGGCGTACGCAAGAACACCAAGAACAAGGCTTCGGTCAAGGCCAAGACCGATTATGCGGAAGACGATGACAGAGATGACGTCTTCACCCCCAAGGTGACTGCTTCCAAGAAGGAGGAGGTCGGGGACGACCACGTCGCCATGGAGGATATCCAGACCATGCCGTTTATGGATGAGCAGGATGCCGATGCGCAGCTGCAGACTGACATGGATGCTATGATTAACCATGATGAGCTCTGGGCTGGACATTATTAGTCATGACATCTGGGGGGCAAAAAAAAAAAAAGGAGATCCGAGCTCTTTTTCCGGAAAATTGATTTGCTTTTATTAACGAATGGAAGATGAAAGAGCGTTTGCTATACCCGCAGGGTGAATGCCCTACCCTGCATCGTGGAGAAAGGGCAAGCAAGACACGGGAATATGGATATTTCTTGAGCCAGGACATCATTGTAGGAAGAGCAAAGTTGAGGTCTTAAAAGGCTCATTTCAAGTGTATTCGTATATCCCAATCTCAATTATAGCAAACCCTTATGCTAGATCCTAAACGTCATGGCATTTCTATCCCCCACTTCTGGGGTCGTTCAAGGGCTCACTCCATGATATCTACCAACAGTTACTGATATCTGATTGACAGCCGACGACGAGCCTTACAACCCGTTGCAAGTCGACAAGGTTCACCGTCGCCACTTATGTGGGTAGGGGGGCTTTCGTCTCCTGACCCTAGCATCACGGGATGGGAAGACTTTACTCTTGTATAAATCCATGTGTGTAAACGATATGATGGTAGCATGGGAAGACGCTCCAACGGAGGACTTAGTCGGAGATGTACGTTTCCTGTATCTGCTCCGCACTCAATTTCTGCCCGGTGCACTGGCAACGATATAGACAAACGAAGATACATGGGACCGGATGATATGCTTGAAGCATACCTCATATATGAACTCCCTTCAAATACCCTTGCTAAGCTCTCCCTTTGATTTCCGAATCTCATAGTCGAAATCGGGCTGGAATTCGGCATAGAGGGTATCCTATATATGACTGTCAGCGCGTGCAGCGGCACTCGACAACGAGGGGGGGACGTCGCGAGAGAAGGGCAAAGGCTAGTGCAGCTAGTACGTACGGGATCGGCATTGACGTTGGCGGTGTACTGGGCCTCATCGTGACCGATGATCTTCTTGGGGAGGTTTGTGCTCTCAGCCATGATCTGTACCTCGCAGGTCCTCTCGAGTGCGGTGAAGAGGTAGGCAGCCTCGTCGACGGTGGCCCCTGCGGTGAGGAGGCCGTGGTTCTGCAGGATGGCAACGCGGTTCCCGTCGCCGAGGGCGGCGGCGATGCGCTCGCCCTCCTCCTTCTCGAGGACGACGCCCCCAAAGTTCTCGTAGACGGTCTGGATGCCGTAGAAGGTGCAGCTGTCCTGGTTGATGATGTCGACGGGACGACCAAAGGTGGACCAGGCCTTTCCGGCGGGGGAGTGCGTGTGACACACGGCGTTGATGTCCGGGCGGGCCTTGTGGATGGCGCTGTGGATCATGAAGCCCGCCGCGTTGACGGGCCGGCGCGCACCGCCGATTACGTGGCCCTCCTCGTTGATGTGTACCATGTCCGAGGCCGTCAGGAGGCCGAAGTGGACTCCGAGGCTGCACTCTGCTGTCAGCTTGGCTTCATGAGCAGCGCCGGGGGGCGGGAGAGCTGGGGACGTCCATACGGGTTGATCCAGAACGTTGAGGGGTCAACGGGGTCGCGGACGGAGATGTGCCCGGCCGTACCCTCCGTGTATCCCTTGCGGGCGAATACCCGGAAGGCACCGGCCAGGTGCTCGAGCTGCCATCGACGCTTCTTGTAGGGGTCGTCAAACTGGGGGATGCCCTCGACTTCGTAACCGCCAGTCGCGCAGGCACTCAGGGCGGCTGACGGACCCGGGCGGGCTGTGGCGGTGGGCGCTTCCTGGGCGGGAGGGATGGACCGGGGTGAGCTGGCCAGGTTGAGGGACGCCGGCTCAAGCGTTGTGACTGTCGTGGTGGACATTTTGAAGTCAAGGTGGTTTAGGTATGACCAGGTTGGATGATGTGCGGGTTGTTGTATGTACGAGTATCAACAAGTGTCTTTCTTTTTGAAAGGTAAGACGAGAAGCTGTCTAACATGTTGTCTATTTGGATTAAGATGAGCTTGAGCGGAGGCAAATATATATATATATATATATATATATATATGTATGTATATATTTGAAAAAAAAAAATTACCCCTGCGTGCTTGAGGATATGTAATACAATATCGACATGCGTATCGGCGGCGAAAACTAGTAGCCCCCCCCCTTCCCCGCGATTGGATGTGTGGCGAGTTGTCATGGATTCAAGGGAAAGAGTTGGCGTGCCTAGTACATACTCGTATATCAAGTGATCGCTTGATGTATTCGGGTTTCCCATTTGTACTATCGTACCTCGAGATGTTGATACGGCATAATAATAATGCTCCATCTTTGGTTCGGGCGGAAAGAGTGGGAACTAGACAGGCAACCATTGAGATCTGTGCATCCGAGATTAGTCGACTTTGACTTTCTCGGAAACTCATGGCTTTATGTAGGGCTCGAAGTACATAAACGACATAGTAGTCGATTAGTAAAGAAATAGATTAATTTGTCTCCCAAGGGAGAAAAGGAAAGCCATAGTGACGAAGGGGGTATCCCGAAAATTCGATTAGGAAAGATTCATGAGAGCGGAGCGGGGAGAGAGGAAAGTGGTGGCGCCGTCATATCGCAACCTTTAGATCGTTTCTCCACAGTGCCATCCTTGCTTTCTCCGTCTCTTTCCTTGTTGATGGAAAGTTTCGGTATCGCTTGGCTTTCCGTTGCCGTCTGTATCTGTCAAGTTGCCCTTGGCATAGCTGCCCCCGGAGTAACATTACTTTTGCGGAATCTCCCTTGTCAATTACTTGTATCCATTGATAAAGGTCACATTTTCTTGTGATGTATCGCCAGTAATCTGTACTTTGCATGATGATTATCTATATAATACAATACTCATGTCTACGGAGTATCATTATCATTACATGCTCAATTCCATCCCCGCCACTTACACATGTTCCGTAGTCTATGGTCGAGCTTGCATGTCGGCTACTGCATGGCTATGCAACACCACAACTGCCTCCCGTCCATTTAGCTTGTAGGTCACCGTGGGAGTATCCTGTTCTGGATAATCTTGTACAATTTGCATCTGTACCGTAGCAGGTGCACGTGTGAAGATCTTAATAATAATAAAAACCCCCATATTGGTAAGTACACCATTAAGTAATATATTCTTGGCGGAACAACAAACCGTCTAGTTTTATAAGCGAGATCCGAAGCTAGACTTGATACCATCCACCACCTCCTTGGCGGCCCGTTCTCCGCTCCTCACCGCACCCTCCATGTAGCCCTTCCACTCTCCGGCCGTCTCGGTGCCGGCAAAGTGGACGTTTCCGAGTGGCTCGCGCGACGAGGCCGAACCGACAGTGCTGAGGAGGCCAGGACTGAGACTGGTAGTGGGGCAGTGGTGTCCGGCCCACGGGTCGGTCGCCCAGTCGTACGAGATGATCTCTTGGAACTCGGAGGCAACCTTGAGGTGGGAGTCGTACAGAGTGCCGATCTGGTCGAGAAGGGACTTCTCACGTTCCTCCATGCTCTGGGCGGCCCAGTCGGCGCCGATCTGACCGGCCATGAAGCAGGTGAGGGCGTACTTGTCGTCGGCCGGGCTGCTGGTGTCGCGGATCACGCTAGCGGGGCCTGAGAAGGACTGGGTGAGACCGCACAGACCCTTCTCAACCCAGAAGGGCGTCTTGAAGACGGCAATGGCCTTGACGTAGAAGCCACCCTGGGCCGTCCCCGACCAGGCCTGCCTAGCGAGGTTCAGCTCGGGGACGAAGTTGATGCTGCGCAGTGAGGGGCTCGGCGCGGTGACGATGACCTTGGAGGCCCTGTACACGGTACCGTTGCCGTCGACGACATCGACGTGCCTCGTCTCGCGCTGGACGATGTCCGAGACGGGAGTGCTCAGCTTGACGGTGCCGGCGGGGAAGGTGGCTGCTAGACGCTGCGAGAATGCCTGCGTACCCTCGCGCACGCGGAGGTGCTGGCCTCCGCCCTTGCGGTCGGACCTCATCTGTAGGAGACCGCCGCCGGACCTGCAGTAGTTCAGGAAGAACAGTGCCGACAGGTCAGCAGGGTCGACGCCCAGCATGGCGCGCGTCCACACGGTGGCTGTGCGAACGGCAGTCTCACTGGCCTTGTTCCTGCGCAGGTAGGCTTCAAAGGTGAGGGAGTCGAGCTCCGAGTCCTTCGGGTTCCACACATCCAGCTTCTGGCAGTCGGCCTCGCAGAGGTCACGGATGCGAGCCACGTCTCTCTGCGTTGCTTCATCAAACTGCAAAGACCATTCATGTCAGTTTTGGAATATTATGTGTTTGAATTATTCTCTCTCTCTCTCTCTCTCTTTTTTAAAAAAAAGAAAAAGGAGAAAAAGAAGAAAGAGGCTTACCTTGGGCAGCTCGCCGTAAGGGAAACGGTGCACCTTTCCATCCAGTCCCTGAAACACACAGTCACCGGTTGTGTTCTGCTCAATGAGCTCCAGGTCGAACTCCCTCGCCAGGCTGATCATCCTAGTCTGGTTGACATCGTTGATCCAAGCAGCACCAGAATCGGCAATGCCCGCTCCCCCGGGAAGAGGCTGGCTCCACGTCTTACCACCGACCCTGTCTCGGGACTCTAGGACGACTGTGCTGAGGCCAGCCTGCAGAAGCTGGCGAGCAGCCGACAGACCGGACAGGCCGGCGCCGACAACAACCGCATCGACAATCTGGGGTCGCGTGACGTTATCCAGAGCCCTGGGAATGGAGATGTTCTTCTGGCCTGCGATGACGACGGCGTCAATCTCGATCAGACAGTCGGGCGCAGCCAGCTGCTGCACAGGGATCAGGGACATGGCTGTGCGGTGGCCGCGCAGGAACCGCTGGATGTGACGGGTGTGCTTCCGTTTGGTCGGGTCATAGTTGACGATGTAGACATTGAGCTTGGCGATGTCTTCGATGCTAGCACCGGCGGAGAGGACCACCTTGCGCAGGTTGTGAAGAGTCAGATGGATCTGCGACTCGTAGTCGTCCGGGACCTTGCCGTCCTTGGTCGAGCCGACCTGGCCAGAGATGTGGATGACCTTGTCACCGGCATTGCCGATGGTGGCGGGAGCAAAGTACTGGCTGGCGGTGTTGACAAGGTCAACGATCTCAAGCGACTTGCCCATGACTTTAGTGTCTCTCGGCACGCGCGTGTGTGTGTGTGTCTATTGCAGATATCCTGTTTTTTTTTTGTCTTTCGACGGGGAGGAGAGATGTGATAAGCCTGATGATGATGACCCGTGCACGATTTGGAGGGGTGATGGAGTGATGTTGAATGTTATAGGCGTGACGCCTATGGGGGCAATCAGCCAAGAAGATGCCGGGGACTCAGTATTAATGATGGGGACAGATTGAATTGGCAGAGGAAAGTATTCCCGGTGCTTTTTTTCGTCTCTGGGTCTAGATGCAGTGATTCGCGGATTATCTTAAGATATGACAGCCAATATGTACCGGTGGGAACGTTGATTGAAGCAATCCGTTCCCATATAACTTGCCTCTTCTCCCTCACCGCGACATGCTTTCAAGATACGTCGGCTGGTTCGTCGGGGACAGACGGATAACTTCACTACTGACAATAATACATGTAGTAACGAGTCACTTTATCAACAGGGAAAGAGGAGGCGACAGCGCATGGCAAAAGTAGGCGAGTCCCACTTCGGTCGACCGAGTGGAGTTGACAGCTCCATCCCCCGCCCGTTCCCGCCGACATCATGGGATCCGTGGCGTCGCTGAATGGAGCGAATCCGAGCGATGCAACGGCAATCTTGTATAGCAATGCTGTTCAAGTGTGTACTGATTCTTTCCCTTGACGAGTAGACGTTGGTTTCATTTCAGAAAATCTCCACGTAATTCAGGTATCGAGTACATGTACTCGGGGATGCACATCTACGCATTAAAGCCTGGCCCCCTCTTGCACGACTACATTTCCTTCGTCAGCTACAGATACTTAGTACAACGTCGAAAAGGATTCTACATTCGACATGGCAACGCGAACTCTCAAAGACAGCTCCCTGCTGATGGAGAAGAATCTCATCGCAGGTAGACGGGAAGAATAGGGCAGGCTGAACCACGTGATCTAGGTGGCCTGAGGCCATCAGCATAAGTAACCGCCTTCCTCGTTCCACGAGAAAGGGGGTCAACGATCGATGCATCATCCCACAACGTCCTAGTGATGAGCCGACTGCAGATAAGCCACGTTCTTTCACTCGGTCCTTTAAACCCATCTGTCTCACATGTGGTGGTTGACCGCACACTAAGCCTAACTGCACGGCTGCTGCGTGCGAGCGGCGGCGTACTAGCGGCAGACACACCACTTTAGTAGGATTCCTCCAGGCCGATGTCCCCGACGGCGTGATGAACATTGCCACGGCGCTGGATAAAACTCCCGAGATCGGCCAGGTCATATGCTCCTCGACATCATTCGCAAGATTTCCTTCACCGGCTCAACCAGGGTTGGAAGGATCTTGATAAAGCGGTCTAGCGACGCTGTCGAGAAGCTGAGTCTCGAGCTGGGAGGCAACGCTCCCTTCATCGTCTTCGACGATGCTGATGTCGACCTCGCGGTGCAGAGCGTCGTCGCCTCAAAGTTCAAGGTTACGGGCCAGACCTGTATCTGTTGGAACCGCGTCTACGTGCAAAAGCCCCTACACGACGAGTTTGTTGCTAAGCTTGTCGCTGCCGTCAACGCATTCCGCGTCGGCAATGCGGTTGACTCGAGCATCACACACGGTCCTCTCTTATCAACGCCGCTGCTGCAAACCGGGTCTCCGATCCTGTCGATGATGCCGTGGCTAAGGGAGCCAAGGTCGTAATCGGCTGGACGACATCTTTGTGCCTCTGGAAGCCGTTCAGAGCTTCGAGACGGAAGAGGAGGTTGTCGACTCTGCCAACCAGTGCGATGTTGGGCTGGCGTCGTACGTATTCAGCGAGCAAGCCAGGCGCATCGCGCTTGTGGTTGAGAAGCTGCATTCCGGCATGGTTGCTGTCAACACAGACGTCGTTTCGGATTCGGCCGCACCGTAAGTTCACGTCTCTAGACCTCTCTTCCCAACATTAACACGGTCTCTTGTAGTTTCGGTGGGACCAAGCAGTCTGTACTAGGCCGTGGGGGCAGCCAAGTACGGCATGGATGAATATATGCAGATTAGCACAGTTGTAAGGGGAAACCATAACATTGTTCATCGTCCTCGCATCTAGAGAAATAGGTCAGCCACCCCAATTAGGAAGCATGAGGACTCTAGAGAGAGGAAACAACGATTCCACGAATGTATTTCCGGCCAGTACGTCATTACTTCCAACCCCTCAGTGCTCCCTTCCAGGACTTTGGTTCGGTCCGTCTCCCCGGGCCCTTGCCCCGCCTCCAAACCCAGTAATGACATGCCGATCTCCCCATGGGGAGGCTCCGGTTGCCTTCTATTGGATGAGGCCTGATCCCGCGTTCAGTACCCGAGACCAGCTGCCGGATAATAGAAAACAATATATATCCTGTCCCCGCCGATATGTGAATCGTCCGGGCCATTCCTGTGATGTAGGTGAAGATTCGGTGACATAAAGAGAGCAGGTGAACGCCTGGCATGTCGAACATGTTGAAGAGTAGAAGAATACTGAATAACAATACAATACACAAAAAGCATCATGGGCAGTCACCTAGCACATCATCTGTTAGAGGCAGTACTCACTCACTGGATCCTGGTGACCTTTGCTCTCTTGGCTGCCAGACTTTTGCGCAATCACTTCCACAACGGCCTCAACAAGTATCCAGGACCTCTTGTCGCCTCCCTGACCGACTGGTGGCGCTTCATAGACGTCTACAAGCGTCGACCGGAGCTGACACAGCAGGGCCTACATGCGAAATACGGCGATGTAGTCCGACTAGGTCCCAACACCCTCTCATTCGCGGACCCGAGTGCTTTGAAATCGATATATGGCCTTAACAAGGGCTTCACAAAGGTGACACATCCCCACCACCACTGGTTCAGTAGATCCTGACCGATCACGCCTGCAGTCCAACTTCTACACCGTGCAGCAGGCCGTGGTCAAGGGCCGCAGCTTGGCCTCCCTCTTCAGCACTATCGACAACAACTTCCACGCCCAGTTCCGTCGCAGCGTCAACTCTGCTTTCTCCTTGAGTTCCCTTGTCCAATATGAGCCCTTTGTGGACAACACCACCAAGATCTTCCTCAACCAGACCGAAAGTCTATTTGCAGGTGATCCCGAAGGCTTCGACATTACAAGATGGCTGCAGTTCTACGCTTTCGACGTGATCGGGGAGATCACGTACAGCAAGCGGCACGGCTTCATTGAGAGGAACGAAGACGTTGACGGAATTATTTCCTATCTCGGGGAGCTATTCCTCTACGTCGCACCGGTGAGTTCCTCCTCCGGTAACGCTCATACTTGTAGTGCTCTGGTCTTGCTGACTGTTTCGTATAAATATGTAGATTGGACAGATTCCCTGGTTGGATCTTCTGTTCCTGAAAAATCCCCTATACTTGAAGCTCTCGCAACTGGGCCTTTTCGACGCGACTTTCCCGGTGGCCCGCTTTGCACGAGCCCGCATGGCCGAGCGGCTGATCCCCGAGCTCAAACCCGAAGCCAGCCACATCGCAGACCCATCGGCAGGTCCGGCGATGAAGAAAGACCTGCTGTCAAGATTTGTGGAAGCGAGGGAGGCGAGACCGGAGTTCATGACAGACAGCATGGTCCAGACCATGGCAGTGTCAATGGCGTTTGCCGGCTCCGAGACGACGGCCATCTCGCTCTCGGCCGTCTTCTACTATCTGCTTCGCAATCCAGGCTTCTACGACAAGCTGGTGCAGGAGCTTGACGAGGCTGCCAGGTCCGGCCACTTTGCCGATTGCGAGACAGGCCTCGTCACATTCGCGGAAGCCCAAAAGCTTCCTTTTCTTCACGCATGCGTTCAAGAGGCCTTCCGGATGCACCCCGCCGCTGGCCTTCCGCTGGAACGCATCGTGCCGCCCCAGGGAGCCGAAATTGCGGGCCATTGGGTCGAGGGTGGTACCATCGTGGGCTGCTCGGCATGGACGATCCACCGCCGAGAAGACGTCTTTGGAGCAGATGTCTACAATTTCGACCCTGAAAGGTGGCTTCCCCACCCTGACCGGGACCCTGGAGAGGAGACGGAGCGGATCAAGAGAATGAGTGGAATGATGTTTCATTTCGGAATGGGCAGTCGCACGTGCATCGGGAAGAACATCAGCCTCCTGGAGATCTACAAGGTCGTGCCTAGCCTGCTACGACGGTTTGATGTGAGTCTCCCCTCCACGCATAGGACCCAAGATTGAGCTCGACACCCGAAAGACACCTAGAAATGGCCGGGACTACGAAATCTGACAAGATTGAACAGATACAGTTCAAGAATTCGGACACGGAATGGACAATAACGAATGCCTGGTTCGTAAAGCAATCCGACTTCAATGTTGTTTTGAGTCGAAGGGAGATTGTGCAGCCCGCTACAATGATACCGCGGGTAGGTTGAAGACATGCATGCGTGCGTTACTGGTGACCTTTTTTTTTTTTCCCCCTCTCTTCACGCTGAAGATTATGCGAGGCATCCTACGGTATTATCCATCTTGTACAGAAACCCTCTTCTCTCCATGATATAGTTTCGTTACTTTTGACTGTAATTGATCTATGCAGCCCCAGATTCTATAAGGCCTTACACATACGGGTTTCCAGGCTGGAACTCGGCCTTCCAGAGCCCCTTTGATTCCTTGGCCTTCAACTGTAGGCCCTTCATGAATCCGTAGAAGATGGTCAGTGTGGGCGCGGGAACACCGAGGCGCTTGGCCTCGCGTACGGCCTCGCCCACAAGGTTCTCCACCTCCATCAGGTTACCCTTCTCCAGGTCCTGGCACATGCTAGGCTTGAAAGCGGTGTCGTTGGGGTCCTGGTGCATGAGGGCGTCGACGAGATCCTCCTGGAGTTGAAATCCGTCCGCAAGAGCGATGGCTTGGATCTCTGCAACGGCGGGCAGGATCAGGTCGTCGATGATGTGCTGGCTCATGCGCATGCGGGGGGTGTCCATCCTGAGAATGGAAGCGACCGGGTTGAAGGTTCCGTTGTAGGCAAGCTTGCGCCAGCGCACCGCCTTGACCTCGGGCTCGTAGATGATGTCGAGCTTCCCGTCGGGGTTGTACAGCTCCACGAACTTCTTGGCAGCCTCGTCGGCCACCTCCTGGGGCACCTGCGGGTTGGCGAAGGCACCGACCTTCTGAAACTCCGGGTCATCGTTGTAGATCTTGGCCGGTGCAGTCTCGGTGGCGCCGGTGTAGACGACGCTGCTGATGAGAGGGTTGGTGGGGAAGTGCGCGATGAGAGGCTTCTCGATGTTGATTCCGTTCTGCGAGAGAACGATGGCGGTCTTACCCGGTGTTACGGCAGGGGCGATGATTTCCGGGACCGTCGGGGACACGTCAGGGATGTTCTTGGTCGTCACGACGATGTAGTCGAACGGGGGAGTGCCGTCCTTGGACACATCAGGGACGACCCTGGAAACTGTCAATATATCAGTGACCGCACACACACCCGTGCGTCTGACGCACCAGTCTCACTCACTAGCCGTCGGCCTCCAAGCCTTGATCTGGCCCCATTGAACAGAGTCGATGTCGATGCCATCCTTGACGGCGGCGTCGTAGTTTGATCGCATGACGGCTGTCACCTCGGACTGCCCACCCTTCTCGAGAGCAAAGGCTGACATTGTACCGATGCCTCCAGTGCCGACGACGAGGATCCTGCTCTTTGCCATCCCGATATTGTCCGGAAGCACAGACTGAGCAGGGAAATCTTGGTTACTCAACCTCGTTAGAGAGCTAATAATAACTTTTTTTTTTTTTTTGCAACGTTATGGAGCATGTGGTTGATGGTGCTGCTTCTTAACGTTACGTGTGAGAATTGTTTGCCGCGTTTCATCGTGTAGTCGAACGCGCGCCTTTATGTACGGGTACCGGGGTCGTCATCGGCTCTCACACCTGATGGCTCCAAGCACCGAAAAGACCCCGCAGCACAATTTCGCATCATTTTCAGTGTGTTCCTGATTCGAAACTAGAGCATGCGACTCGATACTCTTCCTATCAATACCGGAAGTCCACAGCGAGAACGTACACGCAATGAGGGGCAATGGAGGGGCAGGCAGAGGAGGGAGGAGGGGTCTAGGGACCAGTTTCCTTATCGGCTCGTGTCTCTATTGATAGCGACTCCCCGACTCCCCATTCCTTAAACGGGCTTGAGTCAAGGAAAGTCCCGGCTAGACTTTTCTGTTTGCGGAGAGACTCTCTGAATCTGGAAAGAGGGGCTTAAGTTGGCTCTGCATCGTCTCGGCTAGTAATAGATGATAGTGTCGTGCCGCATTCATTGTGTTCTGGTCGGGCTTCCCGGCATTCCTCAAAAATGCATGGCTTTGGACCGGAACGCAGTGGACAATGTAACGCCATGAGCGTTCAGGTTCAGTGGTATCGGTATGTGATATTGAATATTCATACATTGAGCAGGCAGTGAGTGTAACGCGTAGTATGCCATATGCCGAGCACACACAGACAACCGTAATCTTCAAACATAATGGCCGAGCCATCAATAACAGCATGATGATATCCAATCAAGTTGATTTCAATTTGAAGAAGAATGAGTTGTGCTTGAGCTGTAAGACTCCAGCTTCCACTGCAAGAGTTTTGCATCATCAGCTCATGACTAAACCCGGCGGCCGAATCGCCAGACTCTCCTTGCGAGCATCAATGACTGCTATGACTAATACAAAATCTATACGGAAGTAGGGTAGAACCAATTTAGAAAGCTATATGAATAACCATCTTCCTCTATTCTATCGCGGAAGAGGGTCACTATTAACATATTACTTATGCTCGTGACTTTGTTGCCTCTATTACTATATTGCTTCTATTTTTCTATTTCACTACTTACTTCAGACTATAGATATTACTTGATAGACCTTATCATCACCTATCTCACAAACCCCTACCCTAAGGGAGCCTCGTTGTCTACCACGCATCCGCCTTCTCCCCCACTCTGTATCCACTACGGAAGTATGGATAGGCAAATATGTGCGAGAGTCGGCAGTAGCACTAAATAGTAATGACGCACAGCTGGTTCTGCCAGTAGTGGTTATATTACATACTCTCCTTACGTGAATGGCCACGAAGCCATAGGTCGCCCCCCCTCACCCCCATCTATCACTCTTTCGCTCCGACCTGCCTAGGATTTCTCCCGCTGTCCCGCATGAACCCAAACTCCGCTTATGCTCGCTCACCCGTCTCCGTGATATCCTTACCCCCGTGTGCGTGACGCCGTCGTTTCGTCCGTGCCCCGAGCTCATCAGGCGCCCCTGTCCCTCAGTACTGCATCGAAGCAACGACGTACATAGTATGTCACACGTGACCTTGAAGGGGAGAAGGACTGCTAAGAAGACCTTCACCGGGTGCTGGACATGTCGAACTCGAAAGATCAAGTGTGATGAGGGAAAGCCGGCTTGTTACCAGTGCACCTCCAAGAAATTCAGCTGCGAAGGCTACGGTGTCAGGCTCCTGTGGATTTCGGAAAACCATGACCTCGGTTCTAGTCGGAGGCTCCCATCTGTTCAAGGCGGGAGATGTCGAAGGAGCAAAGTGGCTTTTGGTAAGTTTTTTTCTTTTTTTTTTCTTCTTTCTTCTCTTCTCTTTCCTGGTCTGCATTGTACAATGTTTCTTCGAGGTCATTATTGATACTGATGACAGCTTATCGGGTGGAACAGATGTTAGTCAGAAACCGCTGCAGCACCATGAGGTTGACAACATCATCACCTCCATAGATGCATTCGTGCCTGCCGATCAGGACCAGGTCTCGAAGCCTCTTTTCATCCACAACTTTGGAGTGTTTGAGATCTCTTCAGACAGTGCCGTCACCTCTCCGACCGTAGCGGTGGGAGTCGTAGACAACTCTCAAGTCCATGACACCGGTGAGAATCGGTGGCAGTCTGGCCAACACTTTGTCGATGGAACTTCATATATCTTCCCGGAGGGTATGTACGGAAGCCCCTCAACAAACGAGTCAGCAGGATTTCCAAACGACGAGGACAGCCGTCTACGTGCTCCGGACCACCATCAGCATGGATTCGCCCAAGATGACCCTGGGAATGATGATCTAGCGTCTCGGAGCTCCCAGGTGGCCGATAAGGCAGAGAGGAGAAGCCCGTCACTCGAAAGGTACGCCTGTTCACCATACTTCTTCACGGTTCCACCTGCACTCAAGTCATCACCATTATCCGATACAGAGCGGTTTCTCATGCACCACTACATGCATCGAGTTGTGAACCTCTTTTGCGTCATTGACAACCAGAAGAGCCCTTGGAAGCTCATTCACCTCCCGCGCGCGCTGCAAAGCGTCGGTGAGCTGAACGTCAACGGCTCTAGCACAAGGATACGCGACGCGCTGAGAAATGCATTGCTGTCCATCAGTGCTTTCTGCCTATCCAATGACGGAACTTTGCGCAGATGCGGCCGAGACGCTGCGGCCTGGGCCCATCGGGCGACTCAATACCGAGGGAAGTCGATAAAGCTGTTGAAAGATTCCGTGGAGAAGGATCTGCATGCGCCGTCACGTCCCGGATACAAGGAGCTCCTGGCCACCATGCTCTCCATGGTCACAATCAATGTATGCCCCACTGTGCATCAGCACGCACCAAGGCAACCTTGCTAATTACTGGCCGCGTTGAAGGTTATATCTGGAGACACAAGTACCTGCAAAGTACATCTAGACGGTGCCTTGCGCCTGATGCGCTACGCACGTTCGTGGAAGACGAGGTACTCGTCCAAGGCCCAGTCACTCCACCGCATCTACTTCTATCTACGGACGATATACGAGAGCACCGCGGTGGACTATGCTCTGGAAAGACCTTCCGACCCATCGCAATCTGTCGAAGCCGGCGCAGCTGCTCTTTCCGTTCTCGACCCGCTAAGTTTAGGTACTCATCAAAATGACAGCAGCATGGACACCTGCTCCACACCATCAGCGGTACCGGACCCTGCCAACATGACGACATGGGAGTGCATCTACGGAGTTCCCCTGACGATGCTTGTCCTCCTGTCCAGGACGACGCACCTCATCTCCAAGCTGGATGCGTTCCGCCAGCGCTTCCAGACCACGGCGATTCCAGAGGAACTGGCTGCGAAATGCGATGAGCTGGAAATCACAATCATGGACCTGCTCGCCCAGTCGTCCGAGACGCAAAGGGGAACCAGCGAGGAGACTCCGAGCTCGACAATCATCCGAAAGACGACCAGTGCGTTCCACAACGCGCTGATTGTCTACTTTGCACAGCATGTCCGGCTTCTTGGCTATCGTTATCTCCAGCCGTATGTGCAAGAGGTTCTCAACAGCATCAGGGACATTGAGACGATCAAAGCAGAGAAGCAGATCCTTGCTGCTCCTCTATTCTGGCCGGCATTCATAGCTTCCAGCGAGGCGTTTGATAACCCCATACAGGCCGAGTTCAAGGACTGGTATCGTAATGTCGAGGTCTACGGCATAGAGTCTGTCAGGACCGGAATCATGGTTCTCGAGCAGGTATGGGCTGACGGGCCTACAGCGGGGAGGAGATACACAAGTCAGTGGATGGGCGTCGTCCGGAAGACAGGTCTCAGGTTAATGCTGAGCTGATCAGCAGACTAGGGCTTATTGTTTGGGGATGAAGGGTGGGAAACGAACAGCTCATGAGCAGCGACGCTGTTCTAGGCTCCAATCATAGACCTACTTCGGACCACATATCTATGTTTAGTTGTGGTGTGGTGGGGAAATACTATCTCATCTTATAAGAGAATGACTGCTGCTTGGAGTCTGAGCCTTCATTGAGTTTGGGTACGCTCAATGCATGTATTCTCCAAGATGCACACTTCCATCTCGAAGCAAGGCTATATTATACTACAGAAAGCACGCCACTATCGAAGAAGAAGAAAAGAAGAAACATGCCTCTCAAATACATAGATACCGGGGTCCGGATGGCAAAATGCGACTACAACTTGGCCAGGACACCGTCTGGCTGCAACAGGGCCAGATGGCCCTTTGTGATATCCGCCACCGAGCGACAACTATGTATGTCACGGTATCAGTAAGTCAAGACTTCCATCAGTTCACGGAGGGTAGACTACTTACCCAGCAAGCGCCATACACGTGATAAACTCGTCGTACAGGATGTCAAGAGCGAGCTTCACGCCCTTCTCACCAGCGTACTGCACACACGTATGTCAGTAACCTGATGCTGTAAAGGTAAGATATATATCACGCAGCATCGGAAACTCACTGCAAGCCCCCAGATTGCCGGACGGCCGGCAAAACAGAAATCGGCACCAAGAGCAATAGCCTTGAAGATATCCGTTCCTCGGCGGATGCCACCGTCAATGGCAATCAGGATACGGCCCTCTGCCACAGGCGCGCAGTCGCGCAGGGCGTCGAGGGTGGCGGGGGAGCCGTCGAGCTGGCGACCGCCATGGTTGGATATCACGACTCCATCGAAGCCATGTTGGATCGCGAGCTCGACGTCTTCGGGGGTGTAGACTGTGTCCCACCTGTCAATAACCTCTCCCCGGAGAGACATGGTGGGGATGCATATTGCTAGACCTACCTCCCTTGCCCCAGATCTGCATCTTGGTGTGTTTGCGGAAGAAGGCGATGAGCTCTGCCCACCCGATGGCGGTCTCTATGTCGGCCCATGTCAGTATCTCGAAGCTGGCCCAAGGTGTAGGGTCAATCTTACCGTAGGCCATTGAGTCGCCGGCGTCCTCTAGGTTGGACACGTCTACTCCGGGGAACAGATTGGGGTACTCCATCCCCTCGGGGAGACCAAACGAGTTACGGAACTCGTTTAGCCTGCGGCCCAGGTAGGGAGCATCGAGGGTCAGGAACAGTGCCTTGTACCCAGCCTCTGCAACGCAAGGGACGGTGTCAGCGATTGTTCGCCCGATATCGCGACCGGTGCCAGGTACAGACGTAACATACTCTCGGCTCGCTCGACCATCTGGATCATCGCCTCCCTGTTCTTGAGCAGGCTAAGCTGCATGATGTAAGGGTTTCCCTTCCCATGGGAGATGACGCTCTCCAGATCAATGGTGGAGTAGCATGAAAGGGCCATCGGAACGCCAACTGATGCAGCCGCTCTCGACGTTCCGACCTCTCCGTCTTCGTGAGCCAGCTTCTGCATAGCAGTGGGCGAGAAGCCGAAGGGGAACTTGACCCTGGCTCCGAAAAGGGTGACGCTGCTGTCGATGTTGGAAACATCCTTCAAAACTCGGGGGCGAATCTTGTATCTGTCGTAGGCCTTTTCATTGTCGCGCAAGCTGACTTATGTTAGGGTTTTTGACAAGCTGCCAAGAGGGTGCGAAGCTGGACCTACGTGAGGAGGTCCATAGCTCCCTCATTATAGTATTCTATATTGAAGACCACTCTTCAGCACGCGTCGTGTCTGTGGGAGCCGAGCTACATTCTGCACCATGGACTTACCCCGATATGTTGTAGATAGCTTCTCCGAAGCCAGTCGCTGAAGATCATGGATGGAAAAGACCTGGGGGTCGTACGTGCGCCCACGGTTGGCCATGGTGCATGTGGGATGTGAGGATGACGCAGATATAGCGAGAAAGAGAAGAGTCTTGCAAATGGAGGGGATAAGAAGATATTGGTTGATCCCGAATGACAACAAGCGAATACACGGATAAAAGATGGGGAGGGAGAGCAAGGCAGCTATTACATTGACCTTTTAACATTGACTGGCATCCTCCCCCACACCATCACCAACAACCCCATCACTATCTCGTCCCGGAGAGACATTCCTGCAAAAAGATGGAGAAATAAAAAAGGGAAGGGGGGGGGGGGAAAGGAAGAAAAAAAAACGGCTCATACGGAGACGCCAGCAACAGCCGAATACAGTCGAGGAAAGCAGATCCAAACAGTTCCCACCTACCGCGTCCTTCTAGATTCCAATCTAGTCAAGTGGATATTACATATCAACATGCCTTATCACTGCATATTACTCCTCCTCGCGGTAGGGGGTGACTTTCCTGTTTTTTTTCTTGCCAGACCGGGTTTCCCCACCTGTCGGGAACAATTCCCATGAGACTTTCCTCTTCCTCTCATCTCTGGGAATGCCGGGTACAGCTCCAAACAGACATGGCTGCCTGATCTCTCGATACCTCAACGCCATACCGGGGAGAAAGAAGGCCAAAAACAGGAACCACCATCTGAGGGGGAGCCTTTCCCCCTCTTCTCGTTTCTCCTCGATCTGTTCCCCTTCCCGCTCCAAGCGAGGCAATGGCCAAGACCCGTTCCCTGGGCGGTTGCTCAACTTGCCGCACGTCCCACACAAAATGCGACGAGGGTCGTCCGAGGTGTGCCGTGTGCGACCGTCTGGGAATCCGGTGCGGGGGATACGACATACGCATCACCTTCAGTTTCGAGCATTGCGGGGCGCTCAATGGCAGCCAACGACAGCAAAAGAACGGCGACGGCGATGACAGTCCCGGTAGTTTCCGCAGGCCACTCTTCACAGAGGCTTATCGTCGACGGATGAGCCAGGATGTGCTCTCTGCTGTTCCGCCAAAGACAACCGACGATGTCTTGTTGCTCGTGGATTCTACCGGAGCCCGATTTGATGCCGGGGCGCCGACGGGCAAGGCCCAGGAATTGATGCGGGGGCCGTTTGGTGTCTTTAGGCCTGAGAGGGGAGTGGGCGGAAATCACCAGCAGCAACGAAGGCAGTCGACTGCTAAAAGCCCGTCTTCGCTATCCATCTTGGACATCCTGCTCCCGGACGAGCCCGGAGCCCGGAGAGAGTTCACGTCTACGTTTAGAGATGCACATCTAGATATCAATGGCGGTGTCGAACCCAGCCACAGGCATCATGACTTGCCCGGCTTCCTGGGAGACCTGCCGTCGCCACAATGCTCGAGACACTCGTCGCATTCTGGTCTTGGGCCCCGGGATCGCGTCGAGGATGTCACGTCCTCCAGTTCGGTCTGCATCACGTCGCCCTTGCTAGGCCAGAGGCTGTTTCCGTCGGCCGGGCATGCCCCGGCTGATGCACCCTCCCTCCTACACCACTACCAAACCTCGGTCATCTCGCTGTTCTCGCCGCTAAAGAACCAAAAGACACCGTGGAACATCTTGTTCTTGCCGAGTGCCATGAACACGTTGGCAAGCCTGACCGTCGGCATGATACCCAACTATGCAAGCCTGTGTATCTTTCAGGCCTTGCTCTCCATCAGCGCGTTTCACAAGGGGACCCTTTCTGCGGAACCGCACGCCCGGTACTGGAAGGATCGCGCCAACGGCTATCTGGATCTCGCTCAGCAGACTCTCAAGACAGCCTTGTATGAGCAAGGACTACTACCAAAGAGGGCAAAGTACAAGGAGACGTTGATGGCCTTGCTCTCCATGGCGACAGCCACGGTGAGGGCCCCTCCATCATGCCCCGCCCCGCCCCCTTTGTATATCACAGCACCGTGCTGACACTAGGTACAGGTATTCAGCGGACAGTGGAAGCATACCAGGTGCTGCTTGCATGATGCCGGGGCGCTCATCCGCCAACGGGGCCTGGCCAAGCCCCAGAAGTCCCGCAGGGTCCGCATGCTGCACCACTGCTACGCCTACCTCAAGATCATGCACGAGAGTACCTTTCTGGAGGCCAAGGGCTTACCAGAACCCGAGCAGCGCTCCCAGTCCGGGACAGGTCAAGAGCAGTCGCCCCTTCGGGCCAGGCCATGGGACGGTCGACTAGACTACCGGCTCCTGATGGACAAGCCCATGCCGCTCGGCGAGAACGACCTCCTCCTGGAAGTCCCCGGCCGATGGCACCTCACGCTGTACCCGTCGATATTCGGCGTACCCGAGTCGTTCCTGGTCCTCCTCTCCGAGGCCCTGAGGCTGGGGAACGAACGGCATGTCCTGCTGCAGAGGCCTGCGGAGGCGAACCTGACGTGGCAGCAGTACCAGCAGCGCACAAAGGTTCTGGAGAAGTGCATATGTCACTGGGAGGCGACGTGCAACCCGGGAAACAGCATCGAAGGCTGGACCCTGACGCAGTCCAACCAGGCACTGCTCAACAATATGCTTCTGGCGTTGAAGCACGCCCTCATGATATACTATTACAGAAAGGTGCTCGACGTCGACTCCACCATCCTCCAGGCGCAGGTGGAGGAGACGATCGATGTGCTCCTCCAGTGCGAGCAGTTGGATGGGTACATGAGCGTGGACTACTGCTCTGCTGCCTTTGCGTGGGCGGGTTTCGTGGCCGCCTGCGAGGCTCTGGATGCGGCGGTGCAGGAGAAGTTTGCGTCGTGGCTCCGGGGATGCTTCAGACGCAGTGGCATCAGGACTTTCGAGGCGGCGCTCCAGCTTGCCGAGGAGATCTGGGCTAGGCGGAAACTGGACGACGCAGGTGTCAGCTGGCTGGACATTGCAAGGGAGAAGGGCATATACATGTTTTTTGCATGATGGAAATGCGTGTATGATCTTGTACGATATCGAAATGTACGCAATGTCCAAGTGGCAGTGATTACTTCAATACCATGATATGTGACACATTACAATACTAGCACATCTCGTATCCAGAAGCGACATAAGCCCGCCTCAGGTCAAGGCCTGTGCTCCTGGAAAGAGTCGAGAGTGATCCAGGCTGAAGTCGGGAGATATCCATCGAACATGGAAACTACTTGGGAAACTGCCTAGGGCTCAAAGGGATTCCGGGAGTTGCATGTACAGGCAGTACTGCGTAGATGCATTCACTCAATTCCTGCCTCTCCATACAAAGCCCATTCATGAGCTTCTATTCATCCACTGTTCAATGGCTGACCACATAGCAACAATAGCTACACGAGTCAGCTGATTTCTCTTCCTTCTGATCCATTTCACCGCTGTCAGTCAATCGTGGAAGATTTGTCTTCCCCATCTTTAGTATTCACTCTGAACGCGCTACATAAGTCCCAAACATCTCAAGCTCCCGGACGCATCGTTAACTGGCAACGCAACACAACATAGCAAGCATCTCCCCTCAAACAATATTGAACATAATATCCCAAAGCCTAACGGCACTTTCAAGACGGGTATAGATAAGACTTCCTCCTCCTCCTCCTCCTCCTCCTCCCTCTTCTTCTACTTCTACTGCTTCTTCTTCCTCTTTTTATAGATATTTATTTATGAATATTTCATCTCCCTTTACAGAAAGCTACCATGCCTCCCAAGAAGTCCTCAGACACAGGAACCCTCTCCGACACAGAGATGCGCTTCATCAAGGCTCTGTTCGACAACATGACCCAGAAGCCCGACACCGACTGGGACAGGGTCGCCGACGCCCTCGGGCTCAAGGACTCCAAGTGTGCCAAGGAGAGATGGCGTCAGATGTCGATCCGCCATGGCTGGCGCACCGACCCTTCCTCGTCTGCCGGTGCGGGGGCTAGTCCTCGCAAGGCCGCCGCCGCCGCCGACAAGGTTGCCAAGAAGCCGGCTACGCCACGCAAGAAGGTCAAGAAGGAGGAATATGCTGGCTTCGACACTTCTGAAGATTTCATCCCGGGAGATGCCCATGGAGAATCCGGAGACGCCCAGCAGACGGTGGCCAGCAAGGGTTTAGACAGTGATGGCCAGATTTAACGTGGGCCCAGCTCTTTAACACCTCTACAGAGTACCGCGATGCATGTACGGAGAAGGCAGTCTGGTACTAGCTGGTTCGATGCTATATTCGAGGCTGGGTGTAATGGGGAGGGAGGAGGAGGGGGGGTATATTGAACATCGAGGTGTGGGTGATGGGACCTGGGTGATGTTAGCGTTGGCAGGTTCATCTCGTGGAATAGGTCAAATCGATACTTGATGAGGATCGTACTGAACGAAACATCTTTCAACTCATGAATATGTATAACTTTCACAGCTAGCATGGCTGCCTGCATACACTGCAATCCGGAGAGAATGGAGAGAATGGTGATTCTTTCCGGGCCCAAGGCTCCATCCGTCCAAGATAACCATCTACAACGTTACGGATTGTATTTTCGCGTATTCACTTCTCTACAGCCACACGACATTATCTGCCCACGTAGTTGAATCTCACCAAGCCTGCACGTCCCAATATCGCACCAACCACATGTAATATAGTATTGCTACATGTCATGTTGAACGAATATGCTCTCGCTCGAGACATGACGCGCATCAGTTGCTCTCAGAAAACCGTAGCTTCTACCTCAACCCCTCTGAAGATATCTTTCATGAACTAGGACCTCATTTTTTTTCTTTTTCAATATACCTGTAGGCAAGTTGTACCCGCTGATCACGGTGCCACTCTTCTCATCTCGCTTAACGGATCCTGTGGTTCGCTGGGTCAAGCACTTGTCAAGCACTCCAGCTCACTTTCTTCTCATCTTGGGCAGTGCAAACATCATATCTTTACGTCATTCCATACGGTAGCACGGTTCATCTTGTACCGATGGCACATGTAGGCGCAGGGTTCCAGCCTGGGCTGAGATTTCCGAACATATCCTAGGCAATGGGACTGTGGGTGTGGGTTGGGGTTGCAGCTCGCCCTCTACTGAACTGTTATGGGCTTCAGCACACGCGGCAATGTTCAGCTGACAGTATCTTGGTATCTGGGTGAAATCCGGCTACCCGTAGAATTCGGGGGAGGGTTTTCTTTCTATTTCTTTCTCTTCGCAGTTACTCGCTCCTCTCCCCAACTCTCGTTTCCTTCGCCCTTCTTCTCTTCTCATCCTTCGCATCACATCCCTCGAGAGTTGCAAGCAGATATACAGACATCCATCATAGATTTGCTATATCTTGGTAGCTGATATATTTCGGTCGATCACTACACACTTCAAACAGTAAGTGTTTCTCGCAAATATGCCTGCTGGGATACGCCATCAAGCAAAGTCCCATCCCACTCTCTCGCAACCCCATGACCGAACACGCAGATACATACAGACAAATCACGTCTCTCCGGACCACAATACTCATCTTGTTTCACGTAGAAGAGCATAGGCTATATTGAAGAACTCCTTTCCTTGACTTTCAATCTCAAAATGGCCACCAAGGTTGATACTGCCGAGCAAGTTCGGTTCCTTGTCTCGTGCATCAGGCACACTAGCAACGGAAGGGTAACGAACTTTCCATTCTACCAACCGGATAACCAACATACCTGGCTTCATCAACCTCGATCTCGGTAACTAATTCAGTCAACCTCCACAGCCGGAGTTTGCCGCCGTTGCTACAGAGCTTGGAATTGTTTCCAAGGGTGCTGCGTAGGACTCTTCTCCTCTCCCCTCCCCATACTCCGTCGGCTGATATTCTTCTTCTACATATAAAAAATTTAGCCAAAAGCGCTACGAAAGGATGCTCAAGGCCCACGGCGTCAGCAACTCGAAGCCTGCCGAGCCTGAGCCCAAGTACGGCGGCGAGACACCCAAGACGTCTCCTAGGAAGCGGACCGCCAAGGCGCCCGAAGATGGGGGCTCTCCTACAAAGAAGCGTACCATGGTCCCTAGAGACAGGCCTACTCCCATCGAGGGCAGCAATGATGCCCATCATAACGAGCCCAAGAAAGAGTGGAAGCCTGAGACCGAGACTGGTACCCAGTCTGATGCTGGCGAGGACGAGGCTCTCGATAGCGAGCCCGCTCTTTCGGGTGCGTTCACGACCGTTCGCCTCTGCTTCCCCTCATCTCGCACACACGCCTCTACTGACTGCCTTACCCTGACAGACCCTCCCTCTACGGATGAGGCCTGAACTCCTTGCCCTTGAACTTGGCCGCACATGACTCTCGTAAAGTTTCGTAGGCACCGAGCAGATGGATGGATACAACAACATTGCTGGATACAGAGTAGCTTCTTCAACACACGGAGCCCTCAACATATAATGGGAAAAAGGATCAAGGGATGGGAAATTACATCAGGTTGATGCAATGGGTAGAGAGGCACAGAATTGAAAGTTCCCCCGCAAGCCACAAGAGGATCTGTAAGTGTGATGCCTCCAGTTGTTTACTTTGATAAGTCTCATGTCGTGACAGTGTTCAACTGTATCACAGGATTCCATAAACGTCCGCATATGCCATTCCGGAGAGCCAGAGATAGTTATCTGTAGAAAATATGTTGAGAGAATAGGTCTATACAACATCTTCGGACAATAGAAGCATGCAAAGCGCGCCATTGTCGGCCCATTGATTGGATTTCCCAATGGCACTCTTCCCCACTCAACGTATATCCTCGCCGGGGTTTCTCGATAGCGCACCATTGTCGTGATCGAAAGATGCATTGTTCAATGCCGAGATGATCTCTTCGACAATGACTCCCAGCAGAACATGCTCATGCCCCCCCCCCCAAAGCCAGAACAATATAAACGCCCTACTCCTCAGGAGCCTTTTGAAGCATTCCATATTCCTCGACTCGACTCAGACATCTCCGAACCATGGTCAGAATCTTCAACTTTCCATCCCATGCGCCCTCATTTGTCTTTGAATTCTACAAAACTTCCAACTCTACTCTGAGATTGACTCTTCATCTCAACATCGCAATGTCTACAGATGCCATCCCCAAGGGCGAAGTCCTGTACCTGCGTCGCCTGTGCTACCAACCGCCACGCTCTGCATCAGCCCGCCATTCCAGCTCGGAAAGCACTGGTGCCACCAGACCACCAAGCTTAACCGCCGTCTCCACCCGCGATACAGACGAAGATGCTTGCTTCTTCGCGGTTACAGACTCCCGGGAGGTAAACCGGGAGGAGCAGAGATATATCAGCGAGATACACCTCGAACACCCGGAACTCTTGTCAACGCTGGCTTCCTCGACCAACAAAGGGACCCATCCATCCTCCTCCGACAGGCAGCTGGACTGCGCAGGCCAGGAAGTCGTCATCGGATCTGCCACTGAGCTGGACAGGATGATCACCGGGAACTACGAGAGCGACGGCTCAGGTGCTGCCACCTCTGAGACCCCCTCCTCTCCCAGCTTCGACTCCCGCTTCAGGGGCAGCGACAGCTTTTCTGACGCCGAGTCACTGGCCAAGGAGGTCCTTTCCCTCATCAGGGAGTCTGCCGAGAGGTCTGTGGCAGAGCCTCTCCGTGAGGAACTGGGCTACGTTACTACGTGGCTCAAGATCTTGGCTACGGATCACAAGCGGGCCCAAGGTCAAAACCGCTTCCTGGATGATTCAATCCGGTCCGTCGAAGAGAACACCGAGAAGATGTCCGACGCAGTCAACAACCTCCTTCCCCTCGGTCCCATGGTCAATCAGCTTTCCGACGTGGTCCCCACCGTTAAGCAACTCTCCGGCATAGCTCCTGCTGTCGAGCAACTCTGCGACGTGGTCACCAACCTCCCTGTGGCCATCCAAAGAATCACCGCACAGGCCGTCTGCCACGAGACGTCAGAGGCGATATACAAGATCATGCAGGCGCAGCAAACGGCCATGGTGGCACTTGTGGACAGGGAGGCTGAGATCAGGGCATCGGCCTCTACAGCGGTCGCAATCGACTACCATCTCCTCTCCTCCATGATTGTCGTCAACATGAACAGGCAGGCTTCCCGGGAGAGCGACCCGCTGTCACTTCGTCGGGGAGTTTTCGGGAGGGTATGGAGAAGAGTCTTTGGGAGAGGGTGATGCAATTCCTGGAGCCTTGCGCTCTCTCCAGCTGTTATGCCACCGCAATGTACCTTGGGGTATTACGGAGGGAGATCAATATCTGCCATCTCCTGAATCTAATCTAGACTTTCCGCCCTACAGCAGCATGGCCGCTTCTGTAGATGTCTACTCAGGCACTGCTGAGAGCCGGCTCACGATAGCGTCGGGAAGAGACCTGATCTATGCAGGGTGGAATGGGAATCTCTTCTTCTCCTCATCGTGAAAGAAACTCCCCTGAAGCTACCTTTGCTAGCGAGGCTAGCTCATCACTGCAGGCATGAGCAGAGACGTCATGTGTAAACGCTCTGCGTATAACATTATATTGAGAAGGTCAGATAAGCAGTCGCCTTCCTTGGCCATATCACCCAACCGTCTTCCCAAGCCGACTCGTTTCCTGGCAATGAAAGTAGCCCCTGCGTTAGCGATGTGTGCGGCCTTGGGCCTAGGTTGGTCGCGAATGATCGTCCGGCCAATGTCTAAATGTCCATTACTAACCGCTGTATACTAGTATTAACATTACAAAAGTACCCATACCGCGTGGCTTTTTAGTCCTTGTAGCAACGGCTCTCCACTACGTAGTCTTCCAGGCTTCTCTCTGTTTACCCGTCCTCGCTGCATTCAATCAACTTTCCGAAGCCTGCATAGATAGAATATGGCGTTTATACTGGAAAGAGAAAAGTTTGATCAGGCTGCTGGCTAACTCAAGCATCTAATTCCACTCATGTAAGTGTTGACATGAGACGAAACGTTGCTCCGGCGGCTGCACATGCACGTGATGATAATAATGATAACGATAACGATAAGCATACGTAGCCGCATCACTCAGGCTAAAGCGGCATCAGTTGGGGATATTACTGCATGAGCAAGGAGATAGGCCCCCTCGACATTCCAGTTCACCCGATCGGCCACCCAGGGGCTGCGTGGCGGTGGGCGTCAGAGTGAATGTCCGTCGGGCTCTTAGAGAGAATGGGCCAGTGATTGAACGCGCCCATCGAGGCAGCTTCCCGCCCAGCACTGCACCCCAAGTCACTCTACGGGTGCCGAGCCCTTGGTTACAGTGGTGGCTACAGGCTGGTGGCCTGGGAACGCAGTGCACCTGCAACACCCGGCAACTGCCGAGGTGGCTGACACTTTGGCAGGTGCCAGCACTCCGGACCAGTGCCCTGGCAGCTGTCCGCCGAAAAAGGAAATTCTCCATTGTTCAACGCTTTCTCCTGTTGCAATTCCCTCCTCGAGTAGCCACCTTGTCGAATCACTCTGTAGGTCCGACACCTCTGTTATCATGCTGCTGCTGTTCATTTTGGCCTTGTGTATTCATGTTTATATCTGTATGATCTGCGCACTCGTCCTCTTCATACTCTTGCTTTTCTGGACCTCAACGGGCTATCTATCGTTGTTAGCGCCTCTGTTCTGTTATTCTTCGAAGATGGGAAGATGGACACTGGAAACGAGAATTGCACGTCCGCCCTGAAATGCTTTTGGAGTTTCCGTTTCTACTGTCCAGAATATGCCCTCGGCTATGTTCTGCCTCCGAACACCATCTGCCTTTCGCCTTCCAGCCTTCTCTATTGTCGGGTACTTATTACGCACACATACACCCACGGCAAGAGTTTTTCTTTCTTTCCTGGCATCGCACACATCTTCATATCCCAGTCCTCGGCTTCTCTCCAAGGACAGTCAGATAAATTGTAACATACTCCCTCACCTACCGGCAAGTCACGCATGACTGAGCATGATCCCCCTTCTCCACAATGACTAACCCAGCATACGAGAGTCAACGCATAGCTAATATTAGATATCAAAACCAGTCAACTCGCTCCAGAACCACCACAGGCCATGCCTCCCCGTGGCCCCAAAACGGGCAGCTCGGAGAACGATGCTGACGTCTTCGGCGAACACCGCTCAGCTTCCTCCAAGGTGGTGAAGAAGGTGCGCTCCCCGGCAAAGAAGACTCTCGCCAAGTCTGCTGCCAAGGACCCTTCGACACCGCCGGCAAGTAAGGCTGTGAAGAAGAGGACTACCTTCACGTCCCGGCCGCCCACGGCTGACGAGCGACGTCTGAATGGCCGTGTTCCAGGCCGATCCCTGATCCCTTGGACCCGTAAGTTGCCCATCGGCATTGAGTGGGAGGGAAGGCCCAAGCCGTCCAATATGGTCATGGTCCTAACATGCAACGCGCGTCTTCAGGGCCCCGGATGGCGGAAAAGCTCTTGCTCAACTTGCTGTTCGAGCTTGGCAGAGTTAAGACGCACATCCCTTGGGACGTGGTCGCCCACCGGCTTCACCCGGGCTCCTCCGCCTCGGCCATCACGCAGTATACAAACCGGCTGCGTCGTGATCTCCTCGCAGAGGGGCATATCGTGCCTCCAATCAATGGGAGGAATCCTACCACGACCGTCCCCGAGTCTGAGATCCGCGGCTGGGTCCGTGATGAGTCCGAGGGCGCAAGCCAGGAGGCCATCCGCCCCGTCACATATGACGAGGAGATGGAGGACCGAAAGTACCCGCTCCCCTGCTCGTACGCCGGGAGGGATGAAGAGATCCGAGAGGCAGCGTTTCCAAGCCCCTCCGAGAGCTACAACTTCTCCCCTCGGCAGGCGGTACCTTGTTCCCCTGCCACGCCGTCGCCATTCGCTCCCCTGCCTGCCTCATCCCAAACTGGGCCCAGCTTCTCCCCCTCCAGATCCCCCTCCACCCGTCCGTTCCCGCAGGCTCGGAGCGATGGCAGCGGTTCCCCATCTGTCCCCGGGAACGAACGGCGGCGGGGCGGTGCCACCCAAGGCTGGCCTCACAGCACCAGCACTGGACAAGGGCATAGCTACTCTGCTTCCGGCTGGTTGAAGGTCTTCGGGTCCATGGGCACAGGTGACCTCGCTAGCAACCAGGTAATGACATCATGCATCCCGAGCTGCTGACAACCACCGTCGCTGTCCCTCATCATAATGTTCTGGTCGCTCACAGAATTTCAACAGTTCCTTCTGAACTGGAACTCCTCCGTCCAAGGTGGAGCCATTCAGAACAGCGCCATACAGAGCCGCCCCGCGCCGAGCAGCACCGCACAGGTCAGCCCACTTGGTGATGATGCCCCCGGCTGGAACAGAGCCAGCGCGGCCGCCGTGAGTTGCTCCGAGAGAGAGCCGTCTAGCAGCTTCCTCGGGGCGCCTACGGCCATCGTCTCTCCCCAACTGCCCTCCATGCTCTCGGAGCCAGCCGGGGAGTTGGAGCAAGGTGCCTCGAAGCTGTTCGGTGCTGAGACCCGGCCCATCAGCGACAGCATTGTGGAGGGCTCTTACTTCACGGATGCCCTGCCTGACAGCCAGCCGGAATTCTGTTACAGCTTTTCCGATGAGCAGGAGTCGCCGAGTGGGCTGTGTGGCATGGCGGTTCAGACAAGTCACTGGAGTCCTCCTAGTGGATATTCCGGGGCCGTCCCGGACCAGTCATCGGGCGGCGACTATGCCGGCGAGGCACAAGATATCACCTGTACATTCGATGGCTTATTCGTGAGTGATAATTTCTGTCCCGATGGAGGCTTGTGGCTGGCTGGCTGACACTCGCTCGGTAAGGACGACGGCGCTTTCGCCCATGACGCCTTTGAGGGTTGTGACTCCATCGATTCCGCCGATTGAGGGCGTGAAGATATATGTTTTCCTTTGGTTTTGCTTTAATTTTTTATTCTTGAGGGTTTGATCAAGGTTGTCACTACCATATCTATCACTCTCTTCCCTTTTTTCCCCCCCTTGCTCCTCTTGCGTTTCCTTTGTTTTTGGATCTGAGTGAGGAGTTTGGATATATCTTTGTTTGATCCTAGAAAGGATGGCTGGAAATTAAATACTGACGTGTGCACGATTACGCAGACGGGCGAGCGTTGCTTCTGGGACGATGATGATGATTTTGTTAAGACGAGCATGAGTTATCACAGCATTGGGCAATGTCTTGTATGAGCTCTATAATAACGATACTTGTTTCGTCACACATAACAGAGAACATTCCATGATGTAACACTGATTCTGCGGGGAGGGCATGAGGAAGTTCAGGGGGGTTTTTCTTCGGTAGGAGGACCTTAGGGTGAGCACGAGTACGGAGTACATGATACATATATAATATCACTGGATAGCACCTGTTGCAATTGTCATCGACCAGTACGTTTGCCCTGGCAACAACACAACAACAGCGGTAGTACAGATTACCTGTAGCACTGTCCTAATAGCAGTCGGAACTCAGACAAAGATTTGACAAAAAAAAAGAAGAGAAGAAAGAGTTTTATAAGGACGTATTATTACTTCGACTGTACTGGTGGAAATAATGAATACCGATTGCAAAATGATGGCAAGGCAACAAGGTGGATGCCTCGGCAGTATGCATGTACCGTAATCGTAAAATGGGCATCGTATCTCATTACTGAGGCGGCCTGGAATATTCCATGGACAGGCGGCGGATGTCGTTGGAAAGGAGTCGAATTGACACGGGACGACGCTAAGGCCCTTTCGGGTATTGCGTCCCAGGGCGTCCAAAGAGTTCTGGACCAATGGACGAATAGCCGACGGACCGTGCCAGTTTTTTCTGGGGCCGGGGTACGCAGAGAAGCTACTCCAATACTGCCGTTCTTCTTTTTTTCTCTTCCTCCAGGAGAAATCAAAAAGCTCGAAACTTCTTCCTTCAATCATCCTCTCTTCTCCCTCCTATTTATCTCGTCCCCCTCTTCCGCAGCACCTCACTTTTTTCTCCGTCCACTCTACAAGGCCGAGGTACACTGCTTCTTCTTGTAATACCTGTATTCTTTTGATACCCCCCCCCCCCTCCCTTTTCACACACAATGCAGCGCGCTGTCTCTTCGCGGGTGAGGGCTTCGGCTCTCCCTACTGCTGCCGCCAGGTACCGCGCCGGTGCTGGTCTCGGTCAGCAGATGCGCTTTGCTCACAAGGTACGATACATGTGATTTCGATGGAAAGAATCTTAGGGTTGATGGAATTGGTACGGTTGGCTGACACCTGGCCGTTCTCGTGAGTAGGAGCTCAAGTTCGGTGTTGAGGCCCGTGCCTCTCTCCTGGCTGGTGTCGACACGCTGGCCAAGGCTGTCGCTACCACTCTCGGTCCCAAGGGACGTAACGTCCTCATCGAGTCGAGCTTCGGCTCCCCCAAGATCACCAAGGGTAAGCAATAGCAAGACGTCCCCCACCACCCTTGGCTGCCTGGCCTTTTATTCCCCTTCCGCGCGCTCCGGGCAACCGACACTGACAAATAACGGCCAGATGGTGTGACGGTCGCCCGTGCCATCTCTCTCCAGGACAAGTTTGAGAACCTGGGTGCCCGCCTGCTCCAGGACGTCGCCTCCAAGACGAACGAGGTTGCCGGTGACGGTACCACCAGCGCCACTGTCCTGGCACGTGCCATCTTCTCCGAGACGGTTAAGAACGTTGCCGCCGGCTGCAACCCCATGGATCTCCGCCGCGGTATCCAGGCTGCCACCGACGCCGTCGTCGAGTACCTCCAGAAGAACAAGCGTGACATCACTACCAGCGAGGAGATTGCCCAGGTTGCCACCATCTCTGCCAACGGCGACCACCACGTCGGCAAGATGATCGCCAACGCCATGGAGAAGGTCGGCAAGGAGGGTGTCATCACCGTCAAGGAGGGCAAGACCATGTCGGATGAGCTCGAGGTCACCGAGGGTATGCGCTTCGACCGTGGCTTCGTCTCCCCTTACTTCATCACCGACACCAAGTCCCAGAAGGCCGAGTTCGAGAACCCCCTCATCCTGCTCTCCGAGAAGAAGATCTCTGCCGTCCAGGACATCATCCCCTCCCTAGAGCTCGCCACCAAGATGCGCCGTCCTCTCGTCATCATTGCCGAGGACATTGACGGTGAGGCTCTCGCCGTCCTGATCCTCAACAAGCTCCGTGGCCAGATCCAGGCCGCCGCCGTGAAGGCTCCCGGCTTCGGTGACAACCGCAAGTCCATCCTCGGCGACATCGCCGTTCTCACCAACGGTACCGTCTTCTCCGACGAGCTCGACATCAAGCTCGACAAGGTCACCCCTGACCTGCTAGGTTCGACCGGTTCCATCACCATCACCAAGGAGGACACCATCGTCCTCAACGGTGAGGGTACCAAGGATTCTATCTCCCAGCGCTGCGAGCAGATCCGTGGTGTCATGGCTGACCCCACCACTTCCGAGTACGAGAAGGAGAAGCTCCAGGAGCGTCTCGCCAAGCTCTCGGGCGGTGTCGCCGTCATCAAGGTCGGCGGCTCGTCCGAGGTCGAGGTCGGCGAGAAGAAGGACCGCTTCGTCGATGCTCTCAATGCTACCCGTGCTGCCGTTGAGGAGGGTATCCTGCCCGGCGGTGGTACCGGCCTCCTCAAGGCCTCTTCCCAGGCACTCAACGACATCAAGACTGCCAACTTTGACCAGCAGCTCGGTGTCACCATTGTCAAGAACGCCATCACCCGTCCTGCCCGCAACATCATCGACAACGCCGGCCTCGAGAGCTCCGTTGTCGTCGGAAAGCTGACTGACGAGTTTGGCGCCGACTTCCAGAAGGGCTTCGACGCCTCCAAGGGCGAGTACGTCGACATGATCTCCGCCGGTATCCTCGACCCCTTCAAGGTCGTCCGCACCGGTCTCGTCGACGCCAGCGGTGTTGCCTCTCTTTTGGGTACCACCGAGGTCGCCATTGTCGATGCTCCCGAGGAGAAGGGCGCTGGTGGCGGCGTGGGTGGCATGGGCGGCATGGGCGGCATGGGCGGCATGGGTGGCATGATGTAAAGAGAAGTGTACACGATGTTTGATGCATATGCCGAGATGCGGACGGGCGCCTTGTTTTGATTTTCGGGCTGGGAACAATGTGTCTGATGATGCAACGACTTGTCATCGCAGGGGACAGGATGGTTCCCACGGGTTTACGCACATCTCCGCTCTCTACTTGTACTTGCAGCGGCATCTACCGCTGCGCGCAAAAATCTGTATTTATATCCTATTGGAAAACATTTGTATTATACAAGAGCAAAAAAAAAAAAAGAAGAGCTTTCTTACTTGTAAAAGCATAGGGAAAACATAGGAAGGCAGAACAATATAACCCATGTAAACTATTCTACAGAATCCGGTCCCCCTTCCGTTGTGATGCCTATAATCTGTAGATATCTTGGAACGGGTAGCCGGACAATCGACTTTGACTACAAACAAACCTACTGAACCACGCACGAGTACTTGCATGGAAGGATTCATGCATTCTTATAGAACTTGCCTTGCAAACGCGCGTATGTACACTGCAATATTATTGCGAATCAGCTGGGACCTGAGCAGAGAAACTCGTCATCGGTAGCCAGAATCAAAGTCTGGCAGTGGGTCACGTGGCCCATCTCACGGGGCAACCCACCCCCACCATGAATGAGTGCGATTGGTGGTTAGTGGTAGTCTGTAGTGGACTTCTCTGCTGTGTGCTGAGGTGGTGTGTTTTTTTTTTCTCTCGTCCCGCTAGAGAATAGAGAGCTGTATCATGCTGGAGAGCTGGACCTATGGAGGGGTCATAGGGGGGGGGGGGGTAAAGCCAGCATAGCATCAACTAGCAGCAGCACTAGCTGAAGTCGCAGCAGCAGGTGCCACCACTACCAGCCGGGCCTCCCCGCGCGCTCCTGCCTGGTTCGCCCACTTCGTCAGTTTTCCCCTCCATCCAGTCCTAACTAGGACACCCGAACATCAACCTCTTCTTCTCTCTTCTCCTGGTTTTAAAGGCCTTCATCTTTCTTGCATCTTACAACGCATCACAAGCTGCAGGTACATACCATTCCTCTCTCCCCTGTAAGCCATCTTTTTTCCCCTAACGCCTGATATTGTCTATTTCCTCTTCATCTTGCTTTCCCCCTTTCCATTTCTTCGCACATATTTCTTTTGCCCGCAGTGAACCGTTCCCTCAACTGACAAGCTCAACCGTTCTACCCCTCCAAAGCTTAGGTTGCCTCTCACGCGCAAATCACCCTACTGCAACAATGGTATGTCGGACCGCCCTTTCAATTGTTCATCTGTTTTGCTCTCTACTTGTCTTTCGTTCGTCATTCTAACAGTGTTTCCCCTTACAGTCTCAATCCGGGTACGTCCAACAGTACCACCGCGCCACCTCCCCTCCTCCCCGCCCCCTCCGTTGCTACCCCGCCCCGCGCGACCAATTTCTGGCGACGACGTAGTCGCAGGGAGACGAAAAATCGAAAGGAAATGGATGATAGAAAACTTCATGAGGCTAACAGCTACGGGGAATTTTCCCTGTTGTTTTTTGCAGAGCTTCCGTTTCGCAGGAGTGCATCTCCGCCTACAACGAGCTCAAGCTCGAGAAGAAGCACAAGTTCATCATCTACAAGCTGTCGGACGACTACAAGGAGATCGTTGTCGAGGAGGCTTCGTCCGACAAGGACTGGGACAACTTCCGTGAGAAGCTTGTCAACGCCACCTCCAAGAGCAAGAGCGTACGTGTTTTCTACAGGAGAAGGAAGAATATCACTCTCTTCCTTTCCCACCCGCCTCCATTTGACTGGTTCTGCGACTAATGACGCAAATTTCGTGCAGGGTACTGTCGGCAAGGGCCCCCGCTACGCCGTTTACGACTTTGAGTACAACCTCGCCTCTGGCGACGGTGTCCGGTAAGGATTTTGCCACGATTTCTTCTCTTTTATGTCAGGATAGTTTTTGGCTTACGACCCCTACAGCAACAAGATCACCTTCATCGCCTGGTCTCCCGATGATGCCGGTGTTCAGGTACGCAAAGCTCTGATACAATGCTAGATACGTGCCAACTCACTGAACCCCCTCACAGCCCAAGATGATCTACGCCTCTTCCAAGGAGGCCCTCAAGCGCTCTCTCACCGGTATCGCCACCGAGCTCCAGGCCAACGACTCCGAAGACATTGAGTACGACACGATCCTCAAGGTCGTCAGCAAGGGTCTCGCCGGTTAAGTGTCGCAAGTCTGAAATAAATGCCGGCGCTGTCCATATGAGCGAATGAATTATTTAAGCTTCCTGGAGGTTTCTTCGTCTTTGAACAACTGATGATGACAATGATGACGCATTGCCCAAGTGTATGGTGAGACTCGTCATGGGTTTGGGTGGGGTGGTTTCCCAAGGAAGAAGGGTTCGTCGAGCGGTCACATTATGTGGCCCGCTGGGTGCAACATATTTTTCTGCAGATTCGGCCAAGTTTCTCCCAATGATGAGGTATATCGCACGTACACAAAAGGAAATGAAAGAAAAAAAAAAAAGTTATACACACGCCATCGATTAAAGAACCACGAGCGAATCGTCACATATGCCTATATGCTGAGCCAATATTCTTGATCATGCATGTTTTCTTGCGCTATACCAATTAATAATGCTAGGAAGGTTCTACTCGTGCTTTCGGCTAACTGCTCTGCCAACTTGACTTGAACAACGTAGATAGTTTGGCAGCTTCCTGCTCGTCTTTGAGGCGCTGCGTAAGGAAACCCTTGAGATCAGACCAGAACTCGTCAGTCTCCAATGCGGCAGCACCCACAGCAGCAGCAGCGGGTGATGCCGCCGCCGTAGCATCCTCCTCGGTCGGCAGTGGCGGAATAGCCGCAGCGCCGCCGATGATCATGATGGAGAACTCGACGGACGTGTGCTCTCCTTCACCCAGGACATCCTTGAGGACCTTGGTGTCGGCAACGGGCTTCTTGTTGTGCAAGAACTTGATCTTGTTGACGGGTATGCGGGTCTGAGAGGTGACCTGGGCCTTGATGTCGATTATTGAGGTGGTGAGGGGCAGATCAGACAGCTTGATGTCCAGGGGCGGGTTGCGCAGGGACTTTAGAGTGACCTTGACGGTGCGTTCTTGACCGGCGGCGACGGCGGCGGATCTGTTGGGTTTGCTCATGGGTTTGGACATGCGGGGGAGGATGTGCTGTTTTGGTGGTTTGATTTATTAGTATATCCATTTTCCTTTCTCCCATTTCTTTCCATCTATCCTTTCGGGGCGGTGGGAGGGGAAGCCTTGATATATATAGTAGATAGAGAGAGCGTACTGGAGGCCGAGCGGGAAACTTTCGTGCATCTTCGACGTGGTCGGCTGATAGTTGGAGGGGACGGGTGTCAAGAGTCGACACAAAGGTCTTGGCGAAGGAGACTTCTGCCATGGCTACGATGTTTTCTATATGGGTATCGTTAAAGTAAAAGTTCGACGGAAGAGGTAGAGTGGGTTTAGTTGAGGATATCAGTCGACGCGTATAAACATGGCTTCAAGTTGTAGAGCAAGCTTACTATCTTGAGGCGATTGGACATAACGTTCGTTATAGCTGAGTGGGCAGGGGGGGGGGGGGGGGGGGGGGGGGGGGAGAGGGGGGTCACGTGGAACGGTTTACTGATACGGAGTTTCACCGGTTCTTATCGGACCTGTGTCGCATGGATTTTTGCTACAGCAGAATTGGCAATGAAGTAAAATAAAAAAAAGTTTCGGCGGGGCGGTCACTGTCTTTACTTCAGTACATCGGACAAGACAACAAAAAAAAAATCTTTTTTCCCCTTCTTCTTTCCGCTCTTTGTTTCCTTTATCCGTTCCACTTGACTCTCCATTTTGCATTCGTTCAGGACTCTCATTGTTCTGTGAGATTCCGTTGACATAATGGGTGTGGGACGACGGATGAAGAAGCAGGGCCCGCCCGAGGCCCTGACGGACGAGCACTTTGCAAAGCTCAAGCGGAAGGCTGGACTGCCGGCCGACGAGCCGGATCAGACGCCTGAGAAGAAGCGCAGGAGGGCTAAGGAGAACGCCGCGGCTCCCCCTCGTAAGAAGACCAATGGTGTTGGTGTCCGTGGCGCCGCCGCCGATGCCGCCCCCAAGAAACCTGCGCTCAAGAAGACGACCAAACCTGAACCTGCGGCTCCGGCCAAGAAGGCCAATGGCAAGGCGGCGCCCAAGTCCAATAAGAAGCAGGCCCTGGCTGAGTCGTCTGACGACGATGATGACGAAGATATGGATGACGAGTTCGGCGCGTCTGACCTGGAGGACGGCGATGTGCCAGGGCTGGGAGACGATTTTCTCGGATCTGACTCCTCGGTGGTGGACTCCGGGGATGAAAATGGCGGCGGGCCTCGCGCCATGTTCTCGGACGACGACGAATCGGATGCGGAGGAGAAGCTGACGGCGGCCAACATTGAGGGACTGTCGCGCAAGCTGGACCGGGAAATGAAGGAGGAAGCGGACGCTGACGCGGAAGAGGTGCAACGCGGGCTGCAGACCAACATTGACGGGGAGAAGCCCAACGTGCTGGAGGACGAAGAGGCGTCGGACGACGAGCTGTCGGCGCGGACCAAGTCTCTGCTGGCACCGGACCTGCAGCTGTTGCGCACGCGCATCACGGAGAACGTGCGGGTGCTGGACGACTTCGCCAACCTGCACCAGGAGGGCCGGTCGCGCGGCGAGTACACGGACCAGCTGATCAAGGACATCTGCGCCTACTACGGCTACTCGGAGTACCTGGCGGAGAAGCTGTACAACCTGTTCACGCCGCGCGAGGCCTTTGCCTTCTTCGAGGCTAACGAGACGGCTCGCCCGGTGGTGATCCGCACCAACACGCTGCGCAGCAACCGTCGCGAGCTGGCGCAGGCCCTCATCAACCGCGGCGTCACGCTCGAGCCGGTGGGCAAGTGGTCCAAGGTCGGGCTCCAGGTGTTCGAGTCGAGCGTGCCGCTCGGCGCCACGCCCGAGTACCTGGCGGGCCACTACATCCTCCAGGCCGCGTCGTCGTTCTTGCCGTGCATGGCACTGGAGCCGCAGGAGAACGAGCGCGTGCTGGACATGGCGGCCGCGCCCGGCGGCAAGACGACGTACCTGGCCGCCATGATGAAGAACACGGGCTTCATCTTGGCCAACGACCCCAACAAGGCCCGTTCCAAGGGTCTGATCGGCAACATCCACCGCCTGGGTGCCACAAACGTCATCGTCTCCAACTACGACGCCCGCGAGTTCCCCAAGCCCATGGGCGGCTTCGACCGCGTCCTCCTCGACGCCCCCTGCTCGGGCACCGGCGTCATCGCCAAGGACCCCAGCGTCAAGACGAACAAGACCCAGCTCGACTTCATGCAGCTGCCCCACACCCAGAAGCAGCTGCTCCTAGCCGCCATCGACTCCACCTCCCACTCGTCCAAGACGGGCGGCTTCATCGTCTACTCCACCTGCTCCGTCACCATCGAGGAGAACGAGCAGGTCGTCCAGTACGCCCTCCGCCGCCGCCCCAACGTCCGCCTCGTCGAGACGAACATCCCCTTCGGGAAGGAGGGCTTCACTGCCTTTCGCGGGAAAAAGTTCGACCCTTCCCTCCGCCTCACCCGCCGCTTCTACCCCCACTCGTACAACGTCGACGGCTTCTACGTCGCCAAGTTCCAGAAGATCGGCCCCACGCCCGTCAGCGCCTCGGCCGCCGCCGCCTCCACGGCTGACGGCGCCGCCGCCGATGTCGTTGACAAGACTCCCATCACCTCCGAGGACGAGGACAAGGCTGCCGACGACGACTTTGGCGGCTTCGACGAAGACGAGGACAAGGCCTACATGGAGAAGGGTAAGCGCAACGCCATGCGCAGGAGGGGTCTCGACCCCAGGAGTGCTGCCAAGAAGCAGCCTAAAAAGCAAAGTAAAGAATGAGGGTCGTCGTATGTTCCATAGGTGTTTAATGCATTTGTCCCTGTTCTCATGTTTTTTTTTTTTCCCTCCCCGTCGGACATGCCAATTGATCAATCAAGACGATCTTTCTCACTCCAAACGTCATTGATACCGGTCTCATCGTACATCATCACTTCACTGTACTCAGATACACAGCGTAGACAGAATATACTAGATGGATAGAATTTTCTCGATAGAATTTTCTCTTAACAAAAGAAACTAAGTAAGGAGCGTAAACAGTTATGAACAAGTATAACTATAGACGAAAAGGAAAAGAACAAAGGAGATCGTAACCAGTCGTAAAGAACCGTCTTGTCCTCATCAGGTCGTGAAGGAGAAAGGAGATGATAAGATGAAAAAGAGTGACTTTTCGAGAAGACATTCTTCCCCACCTGAGATCTCTTGTTGTGTCAGTGGTAAATGTATTCCTCTCTCCATGAGAGAAGAATAAGAGGTAGATTGGGGCGTCCCCCAACCTCTCAACTGTAAAAAGTCGAAGATACAAAAGAAAAGAGTGCAGTTCTTCTCTCGTTAGAGATGGCACCTCGAAATGGAGGTGCAAGATGAACGTGCTCAGAGGCGAAAAGAATGTTCAAAAATGCAAACGCCAATGTCTGCATGCCCTTGGTGGAACAAAGAGGGCAACAGACAGTATGTTGTAAGAAAGAAACCCTGTGCATGAATTTCCCTTTCCAACCTCAACCCCAAACCTCTCCAACAAACTCTTTTGGTAGTGGTGATAAAGCAAAGCTTTTGGGGGTTACATTTCCCCTTTATCCCTCCCTAGTTGTCGTAAAAACGTGCGTCGATTCGATGCGAAAAAAAACGTCGTAACAGTCGTGTCGAAAAAAAAAGGTAGTAAAAAACAAAACAGAAAAAAATTAAAAATGTGTTTCAAAAAAAAAAAAAGCAAAAAGAAAAAAATGTGGTCGTAAAGTCAGATATGGCGTCGTAAAAAAAAAAAAGGGGGGGGGGGGGGGGGGAGGGTCGTCAAGAGCGCGAGAAAAAAGAGAAAGTAGATGAAATGGGGTGTCGATCGTCATGGTTGGTTTGTTGGGCAGGTAGGGGACAGATCAAACTGGCAGTTGGTCAAACTGAGACACAAGCTCGCGAATGGTCCATCGCCAGTTGTCACGGTCCCTGACACCCCGACCAGTCCACTTCTCGCACTTCTTGCGCCAGCGGTCCTCCTCCTCGCGCTGTCGGCGGATGAACTCTGGACCGACGTCGAACTCTTCGCCGACAAGCCAGTCGTCATTGATATCGCTGACGCGGCCGCTGCGACCGCCGTGCGTGCGGACACCCTCGTCGTCGGTTCCGTGGTTGTCATCCAAGTCGGGGATGTCCTTGAAAGGGTCTTCCTCGTCGGAGCTGGAGGCGGCACCGCTCATCTTGTCCGGAATGTCGCTGCCGAGGATGCCTGCGGTGCTGTTGTCGCTCTTGTGCTGCGAACCCAGCTTCATCCAGCACATGTTCTCCGGGTCGAAGACCATGCCGTTGACGACCTGGATGCCCTTTGTCGCGCTGATGTTGGTGATGAGCGCCGGCCGGGGCGTCGAGACCTCTTTCTCCCGGGCCGAGTGGGGTGTGGCTGCCGTGGGTGTAGGTGTCCCGACGGTTCGGGTGTCAAAGGCGTTGAGGGCGTTGTCGTTGCCTTCCCACCGGAAGGTCTCGGGGTTGTAGAACATTCCGTTGACCACTGTGTACACGTATCAATAAACCAGCTCGAAGATCGGGGAAACAAGAGAAAAGAACAGTACACACATTTCGACTCCTTGCTGTGGCCGAGGTTAGAGATGAGATGGGGTTTCAGCTGCGGCGGGCGCTTGGGTGGCTTCTTGGACCTCATGGTAGACGATGGCTGAATGCTCCGAGTGTTCGTGCTGTTGCCCTTGGCCGCAAGCGGCGGGCCGCGCTGAGCGTTGACCTGAGCTAAAGGTCCGCCCATGCTGGAGGTTGAGCGATGAGCAAGAGACGTCTCACGAGCGATGCGGCTTGCCGTCGTGTCGCGCGCAAAGTTGGGCAGCGAGGAGCCACCCCTGTGCATGGGGAACGTCGGCGTCGGCGTAGAGGTCCTGTCGGACGCGATGCTCTGGTGGCTTCTGTGTCGCAGCATAGGCTTCGTGCTGCTTGCCACGGGCTGCTTCATGAACTTCGTCTCGGCCTCCTTGGACGTGGGCAGGTCATCGAATGCATCGAGCTCATGACCGTCGCCAAAATTCTTCTTGTTCTTGGGCCTGCTAAGACGCTCCCACGTGTCGGCCGCCACACGGTACCGCTGAGGACTGGGTGATCGTAGTGAGGAGATGTTGCGCGACTGGGACCTGAAATCGATGGCAGTTTCCGAGTCGTACCGGCGGAATTGACGGCCAGTCTTGGCGGTGGCGTGGTGAGGTTGGGTCGATGCACCAGAGGGGAGGAAGCCCTTGCGAGCTGAAAGCGCGGGGCTGTCCTGGCCAAAGGTCCGCTGGCGGTCGACCGGCGTCTTGGGGCGCCCGCTAGATTGCGGACGACCGGACTCGCGAGACGGCGGCCTCTCGGCCGCCCGGAAGCTGGATTGCCTTGTCGGGGGGTTCAGGGCCCTGATGGCTGGCAAGGAGCGCTTCTGCTTCAGGAGCTGGGCGTTGGTCGTGGTCGGCTCGTTTCGCAGGGTGGGTGTCGACGCCTTGGGCCCCAGCTCCCTCCTGCTGGGTGTCGGAGGAGAAGCTTGTAGGGAGGAGGCAGAAGGGGTAGTAGGGGTAGGGATGCTCGAGACAGACGACTGGGTCGAGTGGCTGAGACGAGACTGCGGGCGACGAGCACGTTGGAAGATGGGGCCTCCGCTCTCGGACACGGGCTCGAGAGATGTCGAATGTGTGCGCTCATGGTTGAGGCGGGGGATGCGGGTGCTCGAGCTCGACGGCGAAGACGTGTTTGAGAAGGTGACGGACACTGCAGTCCTGGGGCGCGCAGGGCTGCTGGGCTGAGCGTCCTTGACTTTGATGTTCTTGTGGAGGGTAAGCTTCTTGGAATTGAAGACGTCCCCGTCGCCGATTTCCAGGCCATCCAGGAATCCAGGGCGGTCCGCCTCTGCGGGGCTGACAGGCTTCTTAGGAGGAGAAGACGGCTCGGCCGGTTCTTCGGGTATCCTCTCCGGTGAGCGGCTCCTGTGGCGGTGCTGCAGACGATCCTTGAAATTGACGGGACCAGCGGGTAGGACGAGTCCGTCAAAGGTCTCGTCTTCACTCTCGGCAGTGAGGGAGCTCGATATGCTGGGGCTGAGGGCTGAGGCCGAAGAGCTCCTGGTTGATCGTGCATCGCGCCAGGTGCCTCCATGTCTGGTACCAAGGCTACCTTCGTCCCAGTCGAGGTCGTCCGCCGTCGAGGATGGAGTCTTGGGGATGTCTCTACGGGTGGACAGGCGCAGAGTCCCGCTTGATGGCAGCTCCAGGTCCTTTTCGAAATCATCTGCATCGTCCTCCTCCTTTTGCGGCGTGGGTGGTGTGACCAGCGGTAGCGGCTTGGACTGTCGCTTGGTGACCTTGATGGTGTCGAATCCGCCACCAAAAATGTCGTCGTCGTCGTCATCCTTGAATCTGTTCAGGTCAACAGCCGAATTTGGCTTGATGTTGCTGGTCTGGCCCAACAGGTTGTTGTCGCCATCGTTATTCGACGGTGCGTCGTTCTTCTTGAAGGGGCTTCCGCTTCCGTCGTCGCTGAACTGGATAAGGGTTTCCGAGAATTCTGAGGGGGTGCGGGACTTGACCTTGAGCACCTGAGAAACATCGGGGAGTTCAAGGTCGCTTTCCCAGTCTTCGTGCATGACTGTGCGCAGTTTCCTGCCTCCCAGCCTCTTGATGGTACCGCCCATGAGGGCAGACGAGGGGACATCCTTCGGCACCGGTATGCCCGCCCTCTGCGCAGCGGCTATAGCGTCCAGGATCGACTTCTCGTCGTCGCCGGGGATCTGGACATGGCGCTCGTCTTCGCCGGCCCACGACTCGAGGTCAGAACGGAAGGACATGTGTGACGAGTTGGAGTCTCGTCTCCTGGGTGTGGGGGCATTGGATGCGATGGTTGAGCTGGTCCTGGTCCTGAAGCCGACGTCGTCTCCTTCGGTCATGAAGTCGCCATCGTCCCAGCACTCGATCTCCTCCTCCACCGGTCGTCGTGGTTTTAGGGACAGCGTCTCCATGGCTGCGGTTGTTGGGTTGCCGGCGACGGGGGGGACATGTGGCCTAGGGCCACGGGCGAAAAGGGCGGGTCTGCACTTTGTTGTCGAATGTTATGGCAGCTCCTTCTCGAGATTGGCGTGTATGTGCTCGTAGATGTGAAGGGGGAGAAGAGTGACAAAAGAAAGAAACAGAAAACGAAAGAGAGTAGCTATCTCGGGGCCTATAATGCTTGGGCGTGTGCGCAAATTCTTGTTCGGTGATGCTGAGGTTCGAAAAATGGTGGACTCGCCAATCGGTGGTGTTTGCTGGAATGGAGGCTGGGATGGGGGAATTTGGGATGGGGGAATTGGGGGGGGGTGGGAGGCTGGGGCTTTGGGCCGTCTGTATAGGCTCCAACGCCCCTCCAAGCGTAGTGGTGGCCGGTCTCTCACGTGATATAGAACTTGGTGGGCTGCGATTGGGCATGAATGATGACAAAGATAAAACGACGCGCCTGCTGTCCGCGTCAAGCTCGCGTTCAGATGTAGCGCTGCAGGGTATTCACGAATCGTGAAAAAATTTTAATTTGTTTTTTTCCTCGGGTCTATTCTCGGCTTGGGCTTCAATGGCTGTGCTGTTGAGACTTTAGGTAGGAGTAGATCTGGCTGCTCAGTAAACAAAGCAAGGCTGGAAGCATTGGCGCCTCTTTTCATAGTCTATGAACTATTCTTCTCGATAGCGACCCGATAGGCCCTTTTTCCAACAGTATATACTTACGCGAAGGGCAACTATCAATAGTGACTCTCTCAAAACAGCCCTCATACATGTATTGATACCATGTACAGACTACACGATACAAGTAAGTAGCGATAGTACTGAAATATTACATGTATGTTTCATCTATTACAGCACGAGCATCTGCATAATGAAATCATGGATGTAAGGCCTAGATGTATATTACCGTATACGCAACCACTGGGGTACCAAATATTCTGGTCAGACCATCCGCTCATCAATTGACAATTGACAATTGACAACTGGACTTGGACATCCGTGCACATTAATACCAGTCTACAGGCGTTATTATCAGCGCGGAATGCTTGCATGAACGCCTACTCGTACAAGTAATTTCCATCTTCAATGCGATGCCCTTCATCACATCTCCGGATATTGAGTCTTCATACGATGTAAACGCCCTCTCGGGCAATGCCCAAAGAGGCATGTCTAGCTTGTAACATCTCCGAGGCAGTGTCTTCTCGATTGACCTCCTAGCCCCTTTTGCGAACCAGCACCCTCTATTTCATACATTCTCGTACATGTACGACATAGGCAGGACTTCCGCAATGGCCGTGCCGCCAGCTTGTCGGTATCCACTCTGCTAGGGTTCTGGGGACTGTACGGTATTCGGACCCATATTACCTAGGGGCCGGGGATCATCTTGAAAGAACCCGATAGTACCTGGTATGTAGGCAAGATAACTTCGCGAGTTTGGTCAGCGGCTCTCGCCAGCATTCCAGAAGACTATGCGACTGGACAACCGACGTCACGAAGGAAGGGGGGAAGGAAAACGACTATCAACGACAGCTATTACTCGTATGTACAGCTACCGGTCCGGCGGGAAATGTGGGTCATTCCAGCTGGAGCCGATGCATGAAGTTGACCGTTTTTTCCCCTTCTTCTTCATTGATCGTAATCGAGCGCCAGGGGGGGGAGGGGGGCAGCGGGAGGATCACACCCGTACTCGGATCCATGACATGGCCCATAAGGCCAGTTCTTCTATTCTTACCAGTATTATCGACATCTTTAAAAGGGACATCCACCTCTCGTCCCTACAGGTCACGACGTATGAATATGTGCGACTAATATCATCATTAATGGCACCCGTACATCGTACATGGGTGATATTCGAAGCAGGTTGATAGCTCCCTTGTAGTGTCTAAATTCGCTGCCCCCTTTTGAGAGCCTCAATCCCGCCAACCCATGCATCCTCCGTCGGGATTCATTTCGTCCGTCCGTCGGGCTAATCCAACTCCGCTCCGTCCATCGCCCGACAGCATCATACGAGCACGTATTCCTCGTAAGGGCGCCACCACAGCAAGCAGCACGATCCTGTTATCGATTCCAGAAGTTAAACCCATATTACATCCGTTTGTGTTTGACTGGAGTGCCTGGACGCATCATATTCGCCAGCGCATACTACCGTTGGAGTTAAGTTCTAAGACAGAGTCTGCCCGACAGATGCCTCGCGACCTATCCAGACACACGGACGGATTCATCGTTGATCGGTGCGACCAACTCCGCTGGCAAGGGCCCATCCATCCCTGCCCAGAGTCCCGTACGTATTATGATTTATTACGTCGCAGTCATCATCTTGGGAGGACCCTCTCCCCCTAACCCTTTAACACGTGGTGTGCTCTGAGATGGGGAGGAGAGTGTTGAGCACATACACACCCAGGTAGCATCAGCCGATCGTACCACCAGCCATCGAAACCTGCCTCCTACAAGACTCGTGTCTCCCTGACCCGTTCCCGGTGACGAGACATCTCCTGTCAGGTCTCGTACAGCACGATCAACATGCGGACAGCTATCCCGACAATCTCAGCCACCCACACCCCACTATGGAGGGAGCGAGACCTCCGTCGCACACGCGTTCCCTCGGTCGGACAGCAGGAATGCGGAAACATCAAAGGCCCATGCATGTGCGTGAGAGGCAACCCGCTAGCCAGCACATGCGCGCTGCACGACGACGTGACGGGCTATCAGGAAGCACAAGACAGCCGCAACCACAGCCCGGCCGCCATCGTCGAGCACGTTGCACCAAATAATAAGCGGAGGAGGATGTCGGATATTCTGTCCCAGCAGCAGCAAGCGAAGAGGGCGCACCGGTCCGATATTCGCCTTGGGGAAGCAGAGACGGCGCCAGCTGGTTTGGATCTGCAACCGTCGACGTGGGGATGTGGTGGTGGCCTGCAGCAGCAACTGCAGCAGCAGACTGTCGACCCGTCGAGCCTCGCGCTGCCCGTCGACGAGACGGCAGACCTCGACCCCGACCTGTGGTTCTCACAGCAGATATCCCACTTACTACAGAGCGAGAAACCTAAACCCCAGAACCAGCGCCTGGACATCGCCCGGAGCAGGCGCAGTGCACCATCATCTTGGAGCTTCCCGGTTCCTGGGACTTTTCAGATCGCATGTCCAATATACAGCCGCATGCGTAACGACGCAGGCATGCTGTACCAGAATGGCCTGTAAAAAGAAAAGGAAGGTGACACGGTTCGATACTGTTCACGGGGATTGTCACATATCTGTGACATGGATGTCGCGTAAGCGTCTGGTAGTACGGGGCGGAACCAAAGTGGGAGGATTCAGAATCAATTAATTAATATTCTTCACCGTGGCAATTTGTAAATAGTAAAAAATCAACCATATTCTTGGCAGAATACCAAAAAACATGGACATCTTCCCACAGAAGCAACATGCATACAGTAAAGAAAGGAAGAGGAAAGCAGGGAGCGTGCTTAGAGGTATTCCTTGACCTGGTCTGTGGACCAGTTCCAGAACTGCTGGGCGACACTGTTGCCGTCAGGGAGAGGCTTGGCACCATCGGCAATGTCACGCCTCATGCTGAAGAAACGTCCCCATGGGCCGACTAATGGTAGTAATAACCTTGTTAGCTTTTGTTTTGGAGATGCACGCCTGAATCGCATGCACGCATGACATGTTTCTCGAAGAAGGGGGGGGAGGAGGGAGGTGGGGTGGGTTTAGTAAAGGATGGGAACCTACTCCATGCGCCCGTCTTCTCCATAGTGACTTCTGGGGAAAATCCAGCGAACAGTTCGGTGTAGGCTCCGTAGACGGAAGGGAAGAGCATGAACTTGGTAAAGGCCTGGAGAGCGGGCTTCATGTAGCCGGTCTGGTTATCGACGGTACGGTAGAGGTCGGAGTCGAGGTTTCCAGGGTTGGCGGCCTGGGGGGAATGACGTGTGTCAGCTTCCCCCTTTTTTTTCCCACGTATTACCGAATCGTAGTGTAAGATGATAATAAGACTATCAATCATCTCACCCATACGGGAAGAGATGATAATAGAACTATCGACCATCTCACGTCACACGGAAAGTGGGGAAGGGGAGGGATTGAACTCACCACGCTGACAATGTTGTCATCCTTGTGAAGGCGGGCATACTCAGTACCGTGGTAGTAGTTGCCGGCCTTGCTGTTGCCATAGAGCGTCATGGGCTGGTAGGCGTCGACGTACGACTCCTTGCCCTTGTTCAGGGCAGGCATGTCGACGCCGTTCTTAACGGAGTAGAGCTCCGTGGCGACGGAGGCAGTCCACACTACGCGCACGGCTCCAGGCTTCTCCTGGGCGGCCGTCGCCTTGAGAGTCGGGGTCAACAGTTGGGTGAAGAGGAAGTGGCCCAAGCAGTTGGTGCCCATCTGCATCTCATGGCCCTGGGCCGTCTTAGAGCCCTTGGGCGGCATCATGACGCCGGCATTGTTGATGAGCACGTCCAGCCTGGTCTCCTTGGCGACGAAGGCCTCGGCGGAGGGCTTGATGGACGCGAGGTCGGCCAGGTCCAGCTTCAGGAACTCGGCTTTGCCCTTGGAGTCAGGCAAGGCCGCCTTGATCTCGTCAATGGCAGCCCGGGCCTTGCTCTCCGTTCGGCAGGCCAGGTAGACATTTGCGTTGGCGCCGTACAGGATGCGCGCCGCTTCCTTGCCTACACCTGTGTTGGATCCGGTGATGATGCAGACCTTGAGGGGTCTTCAGCTGGAGAAGGGATGGGGAGGAGAGTGTGGGAATAAATGCTAACCTTGCCAGCGAGATCGGGGAGGTCCTTTTCAGTAAACTTGGGCTTTCCGGGTAGAATCTGCTGCATGATAGAAGGTCGCGCATAGCCTAGAGACAGCATGATGGGCGATTCGTCTGTTCCTGAAATGTGCAGTAGTGGTATATGGAGTCGTATGGGGGGGAGGAGAGAAGGCCTTTCTTGCTAATCCGTACTTTCCTGTTGATTGATAGTTGGAGATAGTTGGAGGATTGAGAGAGAGAAGATACACGGTAATAGCCTCGATTCACAGGAGGCAGGAATGGCCCAGTGTCGTAAGTAATATTTACTATAACATTAAGCTACTATCAGGAATACGTCGTCATGTGGTGGGCGGTAAGTGCAAACTCCGTTTACCCCTCGGATTTAGGAATTACCAGAGGTCAGACAATCGGCTGTCAACCTTGAGCTCCCGTACATCACCATATATGTGACTAGGGGGCGATTGGCGGCGGCGCTGGCGTTGCCACCGCTCACTATTGACTACTGAGACTCCAGTACCTGTACCTGTACAGACTACAGATTATGATAATATGTAATAGTAGCAGTAGCGGTGGTATTGATTGATACAGTAGTCATAGTCATGCTCAGTACACAGCTGTCTACAGACAGGTTTTGACAGGGTCTAGAAGACGTGGACCTGAAGCTATCCTGTTTGCCTGTCTCATAATATTCTGTATGTATCGATAGCACAGATCCGGGCCACCGGATTTGGCGTCGGCACACTGAATCCCGGTGGGTGATTGTTACGTGTCGTATTGGAGCCCTGGTAGGCAAGGGGGGATCCTGATGGTTTACGGTGACACGCAAACTACGTGGTGTGCTCCGTTTCCTGGCCACGCCGTCGATTCAATGACTGCAGTGTTTTGATTCACGCCAAGCGTCACGCCAAGCGTCACACCAAACGTCCACGCTACAGGTACAGTCAGTATAACGAATCCTATGCTGCTCCAGTACGGCTCTGGTGGGAAAAGTGCCATCAACTCACAAAGGCTCGGTATGCTAACGTACAAAATGGTGCAGGTCTATGGAAGGCCGAGCAGGTAATGATGCTGATACCATACGGATATCAACCGTTGAACCCCGAAGCCCGATGTGACTCTGTTCCACCTACTCCTTGCAATATTCATCTTAACAGTAACACTGATAACACTACTATATATTATTCACTCATTCGAGCTCTCTGAAAAACGGGATGGGGATTGCTCCGGTATATATGCATACACGTGTCCAAGACACAGAGACTACGCGACGACACACCGGCATACAGAGGACGGATGCTCCGTACCTCTGTCGCTATGTGGGGGGTATTAGAGGTAGATACGATACGTCTTGACAAGAGAGGAGAATGAAGGTTTTGGGTACGTCTGCGAACTCCTCCTCAAGGTGGGGCAAACGCGCACATTCCGAATCTCCGGGGACGTCTACTCGACGCTCGTACTTCTATGCAGGACACGAATACTTACAGCGCATCAGAGACCGTGGGTTGTTCCCCCAATTCCTTGATATATGGGTACGAGTGAAGGAGAAGGAGGCAAAAAAAAAAATTCAAAAAAAAAAAATCCACAACTCCACACGCACCTCGGCATGTTGAACAGAGTATTGATCTGTACTGCGCAGCTAGTTGGCAGCTTTACCGGTAATAATACTCCATTATTGGTATTCGTACTCCGCAAGTACAGTAGTAAAGGATCCTCCTCCTTTTTGCGGTGCTTGCCCCTCAACCTCGGCCCAGTAATACGGGTCCGAGTCCTGTTTGTCGACCGCATTTTTGCCTCATCGAATGTTCAAGAACCCGCTTGCCTAGATGCATAGTAATCATAGTACTGCTATGGTCCTCTATTGCCATTGTCATGAGGGGGGAAGAGGTGGAGATGATGAAAAGCTGATTTCAAATCCGTACATGGAGTGGATGTGGGAAAGGGAAGGAGAGAATAGTGTGCCGCAGTCCATTTTCCCCCCTTTTTTGCCATGGAAAGCTGCTCAGGCCAGGGCATGAAGTAGTATTTAATACCTTTGAGATGACGCAATAGAGCCTGTTTATCAGGGACATGTATTCCCTGCTGTCTTCGATTTCCCTCCCCCTCTTCTTACTTGTTTCATTGGGAAGACAAGGTTGAACAAGAGAACACAAGCTACCATCATCTTTTTCGCTCTTCACCACCAACACACCCACAAACACACCATCGTCATGGCCCCCACACCCAATAAGACTCTCGTCTTCAAGAAGATCCCCGAGGGATTCCCCGTGGTCGGGGAGCACATCGCCGTCGAGGACCGCCCCATCGACCTCGACTCCCCTCCCAAGAATGGCCTGATCCTCGAGGTCCAGCAGGCCTCGTTCGACCCGTACCTGCGCGGCAGGATGCGCGGACCCGGCGGCAAGTCGTACATCGGGCCCTTTGACATCGACGCGCCCATCCCCAACGGCACCATCTCCAAGGTCCTCAAGAGCGACAACGCCGACTTCAAGGAGGGCGACCTCGTCTCGGCCGCCACCGCCATCGCCGAGTACGCTGCCGTCTACGATGTCAAGGCCCAGAACGTCCGCAAGATCAGCAACCCCCACAACCTCGACGTCGGCTACTTCCTCGGCCCCCTGGGCATGCCCGGCCTGACAGCCTGGTCCGGCCTGCACAAGATCGGCAAGCCCAAGAAGGGCGAGACCATCTTCATCAGCTCCGCCGCCGGCGCCGTCGGCCAGATCGTTGGCCAGATCGCCAAGAAGGAGGGCCTTACCGTCATCGGATCTGCCGGCTCCGACGAGAAGGTTGACTTCGTCAAGCAGATCGGCTTCGACGAGGCCTTCAACTACAAGACCGAGAAGCCCCTCGACGCCCTGCACAGGCTGGCCCCCCAAGGCGTCGACATCTACTTTGAGAATGTCGGCGGTGAGCACCTCGAGGCTGTGCTCGACGTCATCAACCCCCATGGTCGCATCATTGCCTGCGGAATGGTAAGGCTCAGATCGCGTGCTAAAAAATAAAAATAAAACCCTAGAAATATATCGAGACTGACAGTTCCCTCTCCAGATCGAAAGCTACAACGCTCCCTTGGAGAAGCGCTACGGCGTCAGGAACCTCGTCAACGCTGTCATGAGGCAGGTCACCATTCAGGGCTTCATCGTCGGTTCGCCCGGCTACGGCGATGTCTACTTTAAGGAGCACCAGGAGAACCTCTCCAAGTGGATCGCCGACGGCAGCGTCAAGGCTAAGTTGGACACGACCGAGGGTATCGACAATGCTGCCTCCGGCCTGGTCGGCATTTTCAAGGGCGAGAACTTTGGCAAGGCCGTCCTGAGGATCCGATGAAATGTCCAATGAGTACCTATGAATAGTACGAGTCCACATGAAGTTGAACGATATAGAACGTACAAGGATGATCAAGTCTTAATCCAGTAAAAACCCAGTATTTATATTACCATATATCTACCTTTTAGCGTCTTACGTGTGCACCTTAAAATCAACTTTAGAAGTTGGAGGGGTGCCTTCCATTTCTGGACAGCTAAAGCTGATGGTGGGACTGATGCCTAGAATGCGGAGGAGCTGCCTGCAACCGTGAATTCAATCTTGCATCACACACACACACACACACAGACCCAACACAGTAAGACATTGAGCTCAGCACCGCATATATATACCTTGCATCATACCCTTGACGACTTGTGATGGTCTCTGCCACTCTTCACCACCAGCATCAACAACCCTCAGATACCGTGTGCCCCACACAGGGTAACCCATCCCTTGGGAACTCCTCACAAGAAGCCTCTCACCTTCTGCCGCCACCTCATTGATCATGGGTCATCCGGGCAGGGTCCTCAAGTTCGCCCGAAGCGACGACGACTCCCAGTATGTCCTATTATACGTCGACCCCAACGGGCCCAACCCTTTAGACGTCAAGATCCAGGCCACCGAAGGCGAAGCAGAGTACGGCGCAACATGTGAGCACCGCTCCCACTGTGTGAGCCGCACAGCAAACTTACATCCAGCAAGTCAGGCAAAACGCCATTGATTCATTAATGGTCAAGAACTGCCCCGTATCCGCACCAGAATGGCAGCAGATTGTCGAGAACCTGTTCCGCCAAGAACAACCCGCAGATATACAAGCCGTCGCCACAGTAACCCCGGACTCTTCCATGTCCATAGTCGTTCGACGGTCAACGCGGGGAGTCATAGTAAGTCACACACATCATCCTGGATACCCTGTTTGATCTCCAGGGAAGCAAGCTCATACAATGAACAGCAACGCCTCGGCTCGTTCACACTACCAGCCGTACCCGGCGGCGAGCTCAACGTACTAGACTGGTGCGCCACAGCTGTCGACGCCGCAGCCGAGAGCAAGCATGCCGCCATGGAAGAAACCCAAAGGGTTCGCCAGATGGAAACCGAAGTGGCCAACCTGAAGCGCCAACTCGAGGAGCTCATACAAGCCAAGGACGAGGACGAGACTGCGCTTTTCCTCAAGTTCCGCGACCTGCTCAACGAGAAGAAGGTCAAGATCCGTGAGCAGCAGAAGATCATAGCATCAACTAATGCTGCCGGCGTCCATGGCGATGAGAAGTCCGAATCCCCCTCTGAAGCCCCGGCCTCACAGACGGCACTGCCAGAGAGGAGTCGCAAGGCGGGCCGATCCAGGGACGCGAAGAGAAAGGCGGCTGCTACACCTGTCCCCGACGAGGAAGAAGTTGAAGAATCTCCCGAGCCTATGGACGTTGAAAAGGTCAAGTCGGAACCGGAAGAGACTGATAGCGGAGGCGAGACGGAGGCCACCGAGTCTGCTGATTCCAGCGAGGAAGATCCAGAAGGAGAAGAAGAAGCGCCGGGAAAGACCATCGACAGGGGACCATCCACACCTTCTGCTAAGCGTCCAGAGCCACCTAAGAAAGCATCGGCACAGCCGCCGGCTAAGAGGAGTCTACCCTTTGTTAAGAGCAAATCGAAGCCCCAAGCTGCGCCCAGACCAATAACTGCCGGCGCAGATGATGACACAGATTCAGATGATGAGCTCTAAAACGACCTTTCTCGTTTATTAATATATATCTACCCCATCTTCCTATTCCACAAGCCACCATCCCTTATTCAAGAAATTGACTAGGAGAGGAAAAGAGGGATTGTGCTCCGTACATTTTTTTAGCGCCTGTCATCGGCGGCGAAGATGTGAGTCCACCAGACACGGTAATGTCTCTGCTTGCCGAGCTCGGAAATTTCAGCAATCTCCTTGTCAGTCAGCTTGAAGGTGGGCAGCTTATCTAGGTAGCCCTGCAGCCTCTCGCGCTTGGCGCTCGTAGTGATGACGATAAGCCCTTGGTCGAGGACCCACCTCAGGCCAACATCGGATTCGGTGACGTTGTACTTGTCTGCCAGCTCGGTCAGGATGCCATCTACGGGTCCGCCCCTGGACGAGGTGAGGGGGGTCAGGGGCGAGTAGACAGAAGTGGCGATGCCGTGCTTGCGGTGGTAGTCGATGAGCCCGTCGTGCTGCAGGTAAGGGTGGTACTCGATCTGGTTGACGGCGGGGACGACCTTGGCCGTCTTGAGGAGCGATTCCAGGTGCTCAACCAGGAAGTTGGACACGCCGATGGACTTGGCCCGGCCAGCCTCCTTGAGGGCCTCGGCCTCGGCCCACCACTTCTGGTTCTGCTCGTCGCTGCCGGCAGCAAAGGGCGAGTGGAGAAGGTACAGGTCCACGTAGTCGACGCCCAGCTTCTTGAGGGACTCGTTGAAGGATTCGGTGAGGGTCCTGTCCTTCTTGCCCTCGTGCTTGGTTACGATGTAGAGCTTCTCCCGGGGCACGCCGCTGGCCCTGACGGCCTCACCCTGCTCCTCCTCGTTCCCGTACACTTAGAGGCAGCAGTGTCAGCAAGAGATGAGCGGGGGATTTTCACCCAAGAGACCACAACGTACGCTCAGCGCCATCGAGGTGAGTGTATCCAAGCTCTATGGCCGTCTTGGTCACCTGGACGATGGCATCGTCGAGAGGCCCAGCCGTGCTCTTGTACCGAGCTGTTCCGAGGCCATAGGCGATCTGTCATGTCTCACATGTAAGTTTCTTCTTCTTCTTCCTCGGATCTCAACGCGTTGTCTCCTTACCGTGGGGATCTCGTTGCCATCGTTGAGCTTGATGGTGGGAATAGAAGGAGCCATGGCTGAAGTTGAGAGAGTGCGTATTACGGACTGTTGTGATTGTGGTGAATTGAGACTTTGAAGATGAAGCAGCAGTGGTGGTGGAAACAAGACAAGAAGAAAGCTAGGGGGTATGCCTCTCTTTTATAGTGCTATATACGCATGTATATATATAATGATGAAATAATAACACAGAGCAATGAGGTGCTCTGTCTAGAAGACGAGTCGGGTGCGCGTCGATGCTGTCCATGGTACCCCCTCCACCTCTTGAGGGGTGGGGGGGCCGGGGGCGGAATACAAGAGCGGGGTTCCCTGATCCGAACCTGACAAGGTATCCCGTCAGATTTCTTGCGTGAATGAATACATGGAGGTTCTTGGTGAGGGTCTCCTACATCCCAGTCCTATTGCTGTCTACGCTGATGATTGTTAATCCAGCCGAAATCTTCATCGTCTCTGTATGTTTGGATGGTTACTAATGATAGTATTAGTCAGTCGCGATTACTAACATCGGTAGACGTACTCAAGTTTAGCATCGAATCTTCCATCTGGACAACGGGAGCCACAAAAAGACGTCATTCTGATCGAGTAATATTGCTGGAACACTGTACAGAGAGCGCATCTGACCTGCTACCCTCTACCTATTCAAGTATGGCAGGGCTGAATAATATCACGGAGAGAAGGAGATCCCAAGTTGTCATCATGAACGTGGGTGCCCCGGGCAGGCCCTGTTCAGGTCTTACCTGCATGGTGGTTGCACGACCGTTGTCATGCAACAGTTCCGACCTCGATCGGGCAACATCAGGGTGTAGTCGCTAGGCGAGTGAAGAGGTATTATTGCTCAGTCGAGTTCACGCTCGATTCAACTTGAACTAGTTCCATATTCCACCAGCTAGCTTGTTTCCTGTGCCGTATCAATGATACCGCCATCCGGTAGGATAACCTCGCCGGAACGCACCTAACCTTTCTTGAATCCGGGAAGGTGAAGTGCCTCGTTTCATCGGAACAGCGTGACCGTTCGTGTGGAAAGTAGAAGACTTTTCCTAGGTGGCTGTTATGCATACTAGTAATACTGCATGTAATACTTGCGAGGTGTCGAACTACTAGTGCAAGTAGATGGTGGTCAGAGGGCACGTCGGCCTGTGACCGGAGTGTTGGTAGTGCCCCACCTTATCGGCGGCGCTCGCACAGTGGTGATTCCACATCAGACAAACCGCTCCGTCTATTACGTATCTATGCAGCTTCTCAACGAGTCGTCGCCACATATCCTGTGACATGGTTTTAATCAACACCGAATGATACAAGTCATGTTTCTTCTATTTTTCCTTTTCAAGCCGTCGGACTGTCTCTAGACACCCTACACATGTAACTTTCACAATCTCGATATTCGAACGGACTGGCGATTCTGCTGTTGATGACATCCCGCCTATCACTAGTCTCGAGGAGAGCTGCGAGCTTACCAGCATCACATCACTGGGCAGCACACCGGCCCTACCATCGCACACCTACTGGAATCATCACAGTCGCGGCCACACACCACGGCACGATGGCATCGGGCGTTTCCGTGAGGGACCTGCCCAAAACGTGGCGCTTTACCGAGGCGCTGCCTGCCGACCCTGCCTTCCCTACACCCGCCGACTCCCACAAGCTGCCCAGGGACGAGTTCAACCCGCGCCAGGTGACTGGTGCCATGTACACCTGGGTGCGTCCCGACCGCCAAAAGAACCCGGAGCTCCTGTCGGCCAGCCCGGCGGCCCTGCGCGACCTGGGCATCGCTGCCGACCAGGTGCCTACCCAGGACTTCCTTGACCTGGTGTCGGGCAACAGGCTGTACGGCTGGGACGAGGAGAAGCTCGAGGGCGAGGGGTACCCCTGGGCTCAGTGCTACGGCGGCTTCCAGTTCGGACAGTGGGCCGGCCAGCTGGGTGACGGCCGGGCCATCTCCCTCTTCGAGACGACCAACCCGGCCACCGGCCGCCGGTACGAGCTGCAGCTCAAGGGCGCCGGGCGCACGCCCTACTCGCGTTTCGCGGACGGCAAGGCCGTGCTGCGCTCGAGCATCCGCGAGTACGTCGTGTCGGAGGCTCTCAACGCGCTGAAGATCCCTACCACGCGCGCCCTGGCCCTCACGTCCCTACCACACTCCAGGGCTGTGCGCGACAAGTTCGAGCCGTGCGCGCTCGTGCTGCGCTTCGCCGACTCATGGCTGCGCTTGGGAAGCTTTGATCTCCTGCGCGCCCGAGGAGACAGGGGCCTCCTCCGAAAGCTGGCTACGTATGTGGCCGAGGATGTCTTTGGCGGCTGGGACAAGCTGCCTGGTCGTCTGGATAACCCGGAAGAGCCCGCAGATGTGTCTGAGCCCAGGAGGGGCGTGCCGGCTGAGGCGATCGAGGGGCCCGACGATGCGGCCGAGAACCGCTTCACCAGGCTGTACAGGGAGATTGTGAGACGCAATGCCGTCACCGTGGCCAACTGGCAGGCCTACGGTTTCATGAACGGCGTCCTGGTGAGTGACTTTCTCCTTCTTTCGCGAGACCTTTGCCAAGACGACTACAGAAGAGTCCGTGTTCTGGCTGACCGTTGGCGATAGAACACGGACAACACGTCCATCTACGGTCTCTCCATAGACTACGGGCCATTCGCCTTCATGGACAACTTCGACCCGTCGTACACGCCCAATCACGACGATGGCATGCTGCGCTACTCGTACAAGAATCAGCCTACCGTCATCTGGTGGAACCTCGTCAGGCTCGGCGAGGCCGTTGGTGAGATGATGGGCGCCGGCGCCAAGGTGGACGACCCGTCATATGTCGACGGCGGCGTCCAGGATAGCCAGGAGGACGGGGTTGCCCGACTAGGCGAGAAGCTTATCATGCAAGCCGGCGAGGAGTACAAGGCCGTCTTCCTGGCCGAGTACAAGCACCTGATGATGGCCCGCCTTGGGCTGCGTCAACTCAAGGACTCCGACTTTGAGGAGCTGTTCAGCGAGATGCTCGACGCTCTGCAGGAGCAGGAGCTCGACTTCCACCACTTCTTCCGTCGCCTCAGCAACATCAAGCTCGACGAGATTGCCACGGACGAGGCTAGGAAGGAGAAGGCGTCGGTGTTCTTCCACGCCGAAGGCCTGACTAAGACGGTTCCAGAGCGTGACGCGCGGGTGCGACTAGCCAATTGGCTTGGCAAGTGGAGGGCACGGATTGTCGAGGACTGGAGCGAGGGAGGCGACAGCGTCCCGGCTGCAAAGGATGAGGAGAGGATAAAGGCCATGAAGGCTGTCAACCCCAACTTCGTCCCGCGGAGCTGGATCCTGGACGAGGTCATTCGTCGCGTGGACAAGGAGGACGAGACAGAGGTCCTGGACAGGGTAATGACTATGGCCCTACATCCCTTCGAGGACAGGTGGGATGGCCAGGTCTTTGAAGGCAAGACGTACAAGGGTGACGCGGCGGAGGAAGACAGGTGGACTGGCGAGGTGCCACGGTTTGAGCGCGCGATGCAATGCAGCTGCAGCTCTTAAAAGAAAGAGGCTGCTCCATACAGTACTACGAAAATGTACGAGATATAGTAGTAGTAGGATGTAATAGTGTTGGGCATGTAACAACCTTATTGGCGGTGAAGCGCTGATCGTCACACATCACAGAAATAGCTCAAGGGGGGGGGGGGGTGAGGGAATGTTACGACCGCCGGTAAGAGGCAATGCTCACAAAGCAGTAAAAGCTCTCGCGTACTTCCATAAACGGCGTAAATTTTACTCTTGAGCACAAGATAGAGGAAGACTCGATTGGAAAACATCCAGGTTCTTACGCTGGTTGTTCAAGCTCACCTACAATAAAGTGTGCCCGTGTACAATTTATAATTTGGTGAGGAAAGAAGAAGGGAAAGGGAAGAAAAAAATTTAGAAAGTGTTGGCGGTAAATAAAGTGGCTTGTCGGCTATGGGGAAGTATGCCTCAGGCAACCACAAAAGTAATCAGGCGATGATGAATTGGCTCGGGCCAATGACCGTTCACGTAACATAATCCCAAGCCGGGGAAGCCTTAGTAAGCTCCACAATAACCCCAAACAACCCGGAGAAACCAGGGCACCACTGCGGAGGTGAGCCTGCTGGAATCCCTCGATACGTTGCGTTACCCCAAGAACGCTGAGTCCTTTTACCTTGTTATTTTGGTAACTCTCTTCCCTCCCCCAGCAATCTCGAATCGTCGTCATATGCAACCCCTTGTTTTCCCACTTGCTCAGGGAGATAAAAAAAATGCTTCGACACTCTTTGGCTCGTTCGGCCTTGCGGACGGGCAGTCGAGCTGCCCGTGCCTCGAGGGCATTCGCGACGACACCCCATCGCTCGGCTGAAGTGGAGTTGACGATTGGTGAGCCCACGTCGTGGTCCATTGAATCCTGGGGAAGCCATTACTGACGAATTGAGGTTTTCAACATAGATGGCAAGAAGGTCTCCATCGAAGGTATGATACGACTTATACGCCGATGCCATCTGCTCACGTACACCCTTTGATTGCTGACACCCCCTCGAAGCTGGCTCCGCCCTCATCCAGGCCTGTGAGAAGGCTGGCGTCACCGTCCCTCGGTAAGCCCACGACAGCCACGACAGGAGATATGATATAGAGTCATGATTGCTAACAACGGAAATGCTTCTAGTTACTGCTACCATGAGTATGAAACCCCACTTATACCGATTGGCTCCCTCGCCCCCGCCTACACGTCCTGCCTTCTCTCCTCGAAACTGACAAAGACGACAGGAAACTGATGATTGCGGGTAACTGCCGCATGTGCCTGGTCGAGGTCGAGAGGGCTCCCAAGCCCGTTGCCTCGTGTGCATGGCCTGTCCAGCCCGGCATGGTGGTCAAGACTAACTCGGCCCTGACCCACAAGGCCCGCGAGGGCGTCATGGAGTTCCTCCTCGCCAACCACCCCCTCGACTGCCCCATCTGCGACCAGGGAGGCGAGTGTGACCTCCAGGACCAGTCGATGCGTTACGGTGCCGACCGTGGACGTTTCCACGAGACCGGCGGCAAGCGTGCTGTCGAGGACAAAAACATCGGTCCACTTATCAAGACGTCGATGAACCGGTGCATTCACTGCACCCGCTGCGTGCGTTTCTCCAACGACATCGCCGGCGCCCCCGAGCTGGGGACCACAGGCCGTGGAAATGACATGCAGATTGGCACCTACCTCGAGCAGAACCTCGATTCCGAGCTATCGGGCAACGTCATCGACCTGTGCCCCGTCGGCGCCCTGACGTCGAAGCCCTACGCCTTCCGCGCCCGTCCCTGGGAGCTCAAGCACTCCGAGTCGATTGACGTGCTCGATGGCCTGGGCTCCAACATCCGCGTCGACTCTCGTGGCCTCGAGGTAATGCGCATCGTGCCCCGCCTCAACGACGACGTCAACGAAGAGTGGATCAACGACAAGACACGCTTCGCTTGCGACGGTCTCAAGACCCAGCGTCTGACCATGCCCCTCGTCCGCCGCGAGGGCAAGTTCGAGGCAGCCGACTGGGAGGAGGCCCTGTCCGAGGTGGCCCGCGCCTACGAAGTCATCAAGCCCCAGGGCAACGAGTTCAAGGTCGTGGCCGGTGCCCTGACCGACGTCGAGTCGCTCGTCGTGGCCAAGGACATGGCCAACAAGCTCGGCTCCGACAATCTGGCCCTCGATACCCCGACGGGTAGCCAGCCCATCGCCCACGGCGTCGACGTCCGCTCCAACTACCTATTCAACTCGCAGATCCGCGGCATCGAAGAAGCCGACGCCATCCTGCTGGTGGGCACCAACCCCCGCCACGAGGCCGCGGTCCTCAACGCCCGCATCCGCAAGCAGTGGCTCCGCTCCGACCTGGAGGTTGCCCTCGTCGGCGAGACGTTCAACTCCACCTTCGAGTTCGAGCACCTGGGCGTTGATCATGCCGCCCTCGAGCAGGCCCTGGCCGGACCCTTTGGCAAGAAGCTCCAATCCGCCGAGCGGCCCATGATCATTGTGGGCTCGGGCGTGACAGACCACGTCGACGCCAAGGCCTTCTACGAGACGGTGGGCGCCTTTGTGGAGAAGAACGCCGCCAATTTCGCCACGGCCGAGTGGGACGGCTACAACATCCTGCAACGTGAGGCCTCTCGCGCGGGAGCCTTTGAGGTCGGCTTCACCACTCCCTCGGCCGAGGTCGCCGAGACCAAGCCCAAGTTCGTCTGGCTCCTCGGCGCCGACGAGTTCAACGAGGCCGACATCCCCAAGGACGCCTTCGTCGTCTACCAGGGCCACCACGGCGACCGCGGCGCCCAGCTTGCGGACGTCATCCTCCCCGGCGCTGCCTACACCGAGAAAGCGGGTACCTATATCAACACCGAGGGTCGCGTGCAGATGACGCGTGCCGCCACGTCTCTTCCCGGCGCAGCCCGCACCGACTGGAAGATCCTCCGTGCCGCGGGAGAGTTCCTCGGCGCCCCGCTCCCCTACGACGATGTGGCGGCCGTGAGGGACCGCATGGTCGAGATCAGCCCCGCCCTCGCGGCCTACGACGTCGTCGAGCCCGTCGCCCTTCGTGGCCTGTCTAAGGTCCAGCTCGTGGACCAGAACAAGGGATCTAAGGCTACTGGCGAAGCCCTCAAGAACCCCATTCAGAACTTTTACTTCACAGACGTCATCTCCAGGAGGTATGTCCCCACTCTCTCCACCCTTTCGTTCCTCATCTCCCCTTCTCCACCTTTCCTTCTCTTCTATTGTTACCTGTATTCCCTAGAAGGAGGGGAAAGAAAACAACAGTTGCTGACTGACACTTGTCCCAGCTCCCCCACAATGGCCCGGTGCTCTGCCTCCAAGGCTACGGGCGACCCTCGGACAAACTTTATGGCCCCTGGTATCGAGGCTGAGAGACCCATGGGCCAGGTTGAGTACGGTGCATAGAGAGAGCGATTAGGAAGTCATGTTGCAAGTTTAAAGTAGAGGAGGAGGAGGAGGAAGAGCCCGTGTTTGTTTTTTTTTCTCGGTATTTTGGTTTTCCTGCAAAAAATTGATTTAAGCCGTAATGTGTCTCTTTTGTACATATAGGAAGTTGAGTTAGAAGACAATCTAAGGCAATCAAGTAATTCGATTTTCCCGCATCTCGGGTTTTTTTGGTTGGGGGGGAAACAGCTACACCTTAGTACCAGCACTTGTTTGTATCCGTGAATCATCATGATGAAAAGCAGTGTAAATAACATGACCTCCGCCTCTTGGTAACATACATGACAGTAAAGCGAACAAAAACTTCCCGTATACCAGATAGTAGTCAAAGCACATCCACCCCTGTTTGGTGAGATGATGCGCTCCGCCACCGTCCCCTCGCCTTCATGCTTCACGTTGCGCCATCTCCAACTGGGCAAGATATCTCTGTCGTGTCGCGGCAACATACGCATCGTAACCTTTCAGGTCAACAAGCTCGCCGGCGAGGACACTTTCGATCTTGGCAACCCACACCTCTTTCCTTGACAGCGGTGGCAGCACACGGCCGGGAGGACCTCCTCCGGGGCCCCCTCCTCCAGGCGGTACATCGCCGGCGACGTGACGGGAGAAGTCCGGCGCGCGGGCGATGCTCTGGCCGACCATCTGCTCCATGGCCGGGGTGGACTCGGTCTCCATATTGGTCATCATCATGTCCAGATCCTTCTCGGTGGCCGTCGTCGCCGCCACCTCGTTTATATCGCTATGACTTTCTGACAATGGACCAGCAGGAGCAGCAGCAGCAGCAGCAGCACCTCCTCCTCCTCCTCCTCCTCCTCCTGCTGCTGCCGCCGTATTGGCCGCCGAATCCCGCTTGTCGTCCAGGTAGGCGTCGCGGGCCAGACGGGCGCATTCTCTCCGATAAAGAGCCATGATGTTCATGCGTACCCGTCTGGCGTTGGCGTCGAGGGCCTCAAGGGAGGCCCGGATCTCCTCGGCGCGGACTGCCTTGGAGGATGGCGGGCCCTTGGGCGGCTTGGGCGGCTGCATGAGGAAAGAATCGTTCTCGATGGACGTGAAGATTGCCGGGGAGATGGTGGTGAGTTGTGGGATATCATGTTGTTGGTACTGCCGTTGTCGGGGCATCATTTCATTCTTTTTCGTTCGTTTGTTTGGAGATATCTTTTTTTAATGTATTTATATATGTCACCCCCCGACACTTTTCATCTTTTTCATCTTTCTTTGCTGTTGTTTCTGTTTTCTCTCCCTAGATGCGAGGCCCGGCTGCTCAACGTATAACCGTTCATGTATTGGGGGGAGAGGGTTGGCTTCAACCCGTCGACGGAGAAGGGATGAAAGCGTTTGGCTTTGCGTGAGGCGAACAATATGAATGGATGTTCCCGTGAAGCTGAAATCTAATGAGGGGCGGTCATACATAGTTATACAGATTACATGGACATTCAAAGCTCACGGACCACATCAATGACCCTGTCGTCCATATTACGTCATCATAATCAAGGGTCTTTTTTACTTCTTAATCGTTTCAAAAGGGGGTATTATTTATTAATCTTCGTTCATGACCAAGTATTGAAGTTCAAAAAAGGGCTCCGTTGATGCGACAAAGTAGAAAACCAAGCCATGTGTTGCTTTGTGTGTGTGTGTGTGTGTGTTTGTACGATATATGCTGTGAACCATATGAAGGTTCTCCGTACTGGTATGGTCCCCTTTCATCTGCAAACAATACAATCATATGCAATGCGTACAACCGATATGGGGTTATAGTGCGCCATCGCCCGGGCCTTCCTGCAGCCCCAGATCACGTCACGCGTGGCCTTGTTATATTGGATACCTGTGGGAGACCTGTCCGTCACCCTCCAGTCCAGGTGTAACCCAGTTCCAGGACTTTGCTCCTGTGTTGGGCTGCTGCCCATGTATGCAGCATGGGTGCGGGCATCGGCGCGGCGCGGCGCTGCATGCTTTTGTTTGCTTGCTTTCCATCCCCGGGACTAGAGGAGGAAGCGTCGTTATTGTTTGTGTAACGCAGGAGACATGCGAGGCTTTTCTTCCGCGCATGTTGGTGGTTGGCGAGCGCACATCAATCACCTGGACGGGAGGATATTCCTGATATATTCCCGTAAGAGCCGCAGTGCGGCACGAACCAGGTCCTCTAGTCTCCTGTCCTTGCGCTTGCGCAACCAGAGTAGCACAAAGGCCAGTATGGCGCAGTCGACGAGGAGATGCTTCATCACGGCATAGAGCCACCGCATTATCCAGGCAGGGTAGCTGTTTTCCTTGCGGGACCTCCACTCCCTTCCCGTAGTGATTTGTTCGCGCAGAGCGGCCACTTCGGCCGACAGGTTTGTGATGGCGCGCTCGATCCTGCGCTGCCAGCGACTGGTGACGGTGCTCTCGCCCCTCCTCTCGAGTTGGTCGTCTTCGTCCTCGTTGTCAAGCTCCATCTGTCGCTGCGATCGCATTTCCGCCTCGTCCTGCTCACTCATGGGGCTGAGAATCTTCATGGGTCCGTCTGATCCGCTGGCAGGGTGTTGCATGGTGCGTTGTCGTATGGGGATGGGGATGAATCCACCGCCGCCGCCGGGGTTGGTGCTTCGGCTGGCTTTGGGAGATGCGTCCGATGATGTGGGCGAGTTGTTCTTGATCTGGTTCCAGACAAATTCGAGCTCTCCGACAAGTTCCTTGGCATCCCTGGGGTGGCAGCCATGTTAGATACGAGATGTCTCGTCAGGATTTTGCAGACGTGGGACTCACGCAGTGTTGGCGTATCGATGCATCGTCTCAATCAAGGCCTCGATGTACCGCCCCTTGGCCTCCGTGCGCGTCAGTCCTCTCTGCGCATTCCATGCATCCCACTTGTCCCGTTCGCGCTGGATGTCCTGGTCTGTGACGCCGGGGCCGACCGTCGGGCGCTCCATGACACCATCGACGTCGCCTTCCATGGCCTGCTTATAGAGGCCATATAGACGTAGTCGGTCCGAGGGGGGCGGCCGGGATGCGCCCGTCTTCGGAACCTTTTTCACCGTGTTGAGAGCATGTACAAACACGCGATCTGGTCGCCGTTAGAGAGCAGGAGCACGGAGAAGCATGCGGTTCAATATACATACCAACCGAGTCAGCCATTCTGGGTTTGCACCTGCACGCGCGCGCAATGTAGAAATTATGTGTGTGCAGGGAGGGATGGAAGGATGAAGGAGGAGGAGCAGGCTGAGAAGTTGGGAGTTGGTCGCTCGAGGTGGTGGAGGCGCTATATGATGTTCGAGATAACGGTTAACCCCTCCGGACATGCGCTGGCGCCGGGATAGGAGCAGGTCTGATGTGCGCGCGATAAAAGGAGTAGCGTGACGAGGGCCAGCCCATGAATGTCAAGGACGAAGTACGGGAGGCGGGAGATTCGTATCTAACCCATCGGTGTTGTGTGCTGGAGTTGCGTTGCGTTGGTCAAGTTAGGTTTTGGGGGGGGGGGGGGGGGGGGGGGGGGGGGGGGGGGGGGGGGGGGGGGGGGGGGGGGGGGGGGGGTGCGCATGGGCGATTGCGGCGAGGATAAAGGTGTGGTATTATCTCGGGATCTTATGGAGTTCCAGTCAGTTTGGACCTCGGCGCGTTTGGGCGTCCAACAAGCAGCCCAGCCGTCCGGTCCCACCCATCCAATTAGCAATGGTGCAGCGTGCGTGCTCCCGTGGACAGATGTTGCAGTGGGTGAAATGGAAGAAAAGAGTGCTGGGGCGTGTAAATCGTTAGGGTAACATCGGCTGCAAGGGGGGCCACGTCCACACGTCCAGCAGCGCCCAAGGCCCAAGGGAGGAGTCTAGGGGGGCTTGACAGCTCTGTCTTTGCGTTCCCCACGTCATTAAGCCTGGTATTATCAGTGAGACACGTGAAGGGATATGTTCATGTCAATAGTCGCTTGAAAATGGCTACCACGGAGCAGTTCCCGTACTACTAGTACATGTGGTAATAATGGTTCTTTTTCTACATTCTTTCATGCGTTGGAAATGATGCTATATTATGCGCCAGCATTCCTTTGAAGAAAATTGAAAACACATGAAAACACAGGGGAAAAGAGGGGGACAGAAAACGGATCGACACATGGGGACGTCAGTCAACGAGTCGTCCACAGATAATAGATCTACGACGTTATTCCTGCTTCCAAAACCTCGGCTGCCGCTGCCGCCATACTCTGCTGCTTCTTCTGGCAGTAAATCTTCAACTGCTTCTTATTCTCTATGGCCCGCATGGCCGCCTTCTGCCCGGCCTCCTTCTTGTTGAGAGCCGTTCCCCACCCTAGCAGCTTGTCGTTCTCGCCCCAACCCGTCAGGTACACGCCCACCGTGAACAGTGGCAGACCGAGATATCTGTCCTTCTTTTCTTTGCCCGGTATATCCTTGTATTTAATGTCGATTCCTTTGACCACAATGAGCTTGGCTAGCTGTTCCTTGGGAGACACCTTCTTTTTCGTAGTCGCTTCTTCTCCGTCTTGTGTCGCCGATGTCGGTTCTACTCCTCCTTGCGCATCTCCTGATGCTGGTTGTGGCGCTTCTGCCAATGCGTTTGGCTTCTGCTGGCTGCTGCCGCCATCCTTCTCTTCGCGCACAATGTGATCCTTGATGGCCATGGACCAGACATCCCTGAGCCACTTGATGCAGTTGGCCAACCCGTTTTCCTTGTCGTCGAGGATGACGGCCGCCACATAGGCCTCAAACATGTCACCCTGTGTCTTGATGACATCCTTGTCTGACGAACGGCCTCGTCCGGCTCGCTGGGCGGCCAGATCCTGCTTGAAGTCGGGAGGGAGGATGGCCTTGGCGTCCATGTTGTAGTCGCGGAAGAAGCGCGACAAGGTAATGTTGCGCACCAGCTGCTCTCGCACCTGAGAGCAGCGGCCCGACGGCATGGTCGGGAACGTGCGGTCGATGAGGGCCGTAGCAATCAACTCGAGGTAGGCGTCTCCTAGCCATTCTAGGCGTTCGTAGCCATTATGCCCCGCGACTCCTGGGTGAGTGAACGCCTGCCGTTCCAGGGTGGCGTCCTTGATCTTTGGTAGCGGCGGCATCTCCCGCGGTATGTCTGCCACTGTCCAAGGCTTGACCGTCCACGATGGAATCGGTGCGCATTCGAGGGGTGAACCCGAGACGTCATGATTGTCGCCAATTTTGCTGGGAATATTTTGCAATACTTCAAACGAGCCGCTCAGTTCTCTGCTCAGGGTTCCCAGCTCCGCTGCATGCGAGAAGGGCGATGCCGGGTCCTCGTTCTTCTGCCACGCTTTCAGTGCTTCGAGGTAGGCTATAAGTTCATCCGCATTTGAGGCGATGTCCTCGAGGGCCCTCGCGGTGACATCACCTTCTAGACGCGGCCTTTTGCTGACATCGTTCCCCCTTCTCGCCTCTGAGTGTGGTCGTTTGCTCATTGCAGGGAGCTGTGATTCGCGCTGAGGCTGTAAGGTGTAGAGGCTGCCGGCAGCTCTTCGCAGTAGGCGGCAACGTATGGCTTCCAGATGCGTGCGCGAATGAGTTCGGGCATCCAGAAAGGCGTATCCGCTACAAGTAAGTGCCTGTAGAATAAGCGAACAGACACCGAAACGACAAGATGATGTAAAAACGAGTTGTGATGCCCAGACCAAACTTTTGAGTGACAAGAAAATCGCCTAGGTAAGAGACCCTGGACCCACATCAAACATCCTACCCAATCACAGTCACTATTGGCCAACCTCGCGACATTGAATTTGATGTCCGAGCGACGACAATTGTCGACAAGCTTCATTCTTCGACGTCCGCGACGCTAATGACGCCAACATGAGTGTCCCACGAGCACGAGCATTGGATCTTATGAAGGTGAGATAGGGAACCTCACATCGGACAGAATCACTCCCTAACAGCCACATGCAGGCGCAATGCCAGGTCTTCGCGACTACCTACAACCCCCAGGGCATCCGCATGGGCAACAAGGTCCTCCGACAGCGCCTCCGGGGTCCTGCCCTGGCAGCCTACTACCCGCGGAAGGCCGTCACCATCAAGGATGTCAAGCGCATCTTTGGCCCCCATCTTACGACCTGGGACGATGCCGAGGAGGACCGATTCGAATACATTGAAGAGTACGAACTGCGACCCGGCCCAAACCCCTTGGCCACCGTCCCCTGTCCTCGACGCATGCAACTGACACATCCGGTACTACCACTAGGCTCAAGCAACGTGGAAAGGGAAACCCCAAGAAGAAGAGTGGACCTCCTGCTGGTAAGATGAACTCCCCCTTGTCCTGTCACCAGAGCTGGGATAGAAGCTGACCTCCTTTTGCAGCCAAAGCCGCACCAGGTGGAAAGAAGAAATAAGGGTAGCGTCTCGGTCTACGCATATGTCAGGATACTCGTCAGTCGATCGACTTCGTTCTGCAGAACTGTACGATACATGTGGAGGGGTCTTCAAGGGAATAAAACAGAACGGGGAGCGAATCGTCGCCGAGACTGGGTGCTGTCTGGCATGTATAACGCGAGTGTGTTGTAACAATACCACAAATTATCTTTGTTGTACATCACTGCCAGCTCACCTTCTTCATTCTTGCCTTTTCGTCTATTAACCTGTTGAGGTAACCGTTCCTTGGCTCGGCACGCGAATCAGTGACGGCAGACCAGAGGATGGAATATCCAGAGAATGGGAATCAGAGAATGGCGTGCCTGAGGAATAAGGGAGGCTCGGTTTTTACGAAGGAAGGCAAGGCCCGGCTATGACATATGCCCTCCAGCCCTGATACCTTTGTGGCCTTACAAAAATCAAATCTGAGCGCGAGCAGCTGGCAGAATTCTGAACGGACGGCAGGAGCAGCTCTAAGCTCTGGGCCTCGCACCTGGCTTGCCATCTGAAGCTGCAGAAGTTTCACAGTCACTGTTTGGTAGCAGAAAAAATTCTTCTCTCTTCCAAAAAGGAGCCCCGAAATTCATCCTTGACCATAGTCTCGTGTTTTCCAGCCTCGACCATCTCTTTCCTTAACATCTCTTTCCCTCTCAAGTCAGTTACGCAAAAAAACTCTCGCATCTTCTGTTTTCTACTCACCCTTTCCAACGTTTGAATAGGTAAGATGCCCCCTCGTCTGCCGACTACTACTACCTGCCTTGTGGCGGTTATGGCGTATGAAGCAGCCGCAGCAGCAGCCTCCCAGGACGACTTCCTCGACAATATCAGCTGTACTGACCTTCTGTCTGCAGGCCTCAACGGTACCATTTCCATTCTTTTCCACAACCTGTGCCTCTTTCCCATCTCCACCCCCATGATCTCTTCCAGTATACGGCATTGTTTCGACTGCCAAGTTTCGTCCGCATTCTCTGATCTAGTGGACTCTTCTTGCGTGCGATCTCAGCAATCTTGTTTCTTTCTTTAAAATCTTCTTTTGGTTCGGCACTCTGCTCGTACATTCTCTCGTCTTGGGGCACCTTTGAATTATGTCCCCCAAAGGGAATGTGTCCCCTGCTCCTCAGCAAGACACTCCCATCGAGTGTGACACTCGGGGCGTGAAGAAACATCGTCTCCCAAGGCCCATGCAAGGTCAACGACTTGTAAGCCATTCGTTGTCTTCACAGCATGACGGTTGTTCGTCTTATGATCGAAAGCACAACGGATCAGCTCCCTCGTCGAATCAAGATATATCGGCCCTTGTGACTTCAAAAATGGCCAATCAATCTGTCAACAAGGTCAAGACGCCCTCCACTGTGATGAATGACAGGTTTTGCTGACTTCCTCCACAAACTTCCTCCACACAGACGTTCAAGATGAAGAATGAGACAGGCGAGATGAATGACATCTACCCCATGGACAAGCTTCTGGCCAAGCTCTCGGAGCAGCAAGAACTTCTTACCAAGCAGCAAAGCAACTCTCTTCGAAACAACTACGTTGATGGAGGCAAAGTTAGCCCCAGGACTCCGGATCTTACCTCGTCGACCAACTCTCTCCCTATCACGGCCGCTACCGAGAGTTTTACCTCCACGGCCCCGACTACCCGGCCTGCCAGTGCATCCCTCAACAGTCAGCAAGAAGAAGACGAGGAAGTTCTCCGCCTAAAGATACAGCTTTCACAGGCTCATAATCACATATCAAAGCTTGGTGATGAGTTGGCATACTCTCGTACGACGCTAAAGTCGGACATGGATCCCATGGGTCCCATGGCACCTGGTGTACCCGAGGCTCCGTCTCAAAGCAAAAGCCTGTTTCAACCAAGTGCCTGGTCGACAGCTGGAAACACTCAGTCAGATGCAGGTGAGAACTCCATGGCCAACCACTCGGGCCGCAACAGGGCTCTATGGGGTAACCCTAGGACGTCTGTGGCCAATTCTCCCCTCCATGCCCCGATCCCTGAGGCTTCTCCAAGCACCTGGATCGGCGGGCGAGGCGCTTTCAATAGCCCCTACATGCCTCATGGGCCTTCTTTCCACCCAGTCGATGCCCCCCAGTCCGACCGCCTCACCCCTGAGTCCGATGTTTTCATGCGGCCCTCTGGAAGTCGTCGTGGAAACGGATTTGAGAGCAGGATGGGCACTCCGCACCACTATGGGGGCCCCTACGGAGCATACAACCCACCAGACAGCCATTATGATCTTATGATGACCAACCCCATTCCTGGAACGCCAATCCCATCGGGCCCTATGGGTAGTGCTCCAGGCATGCCACCGGTGCCCATGGCCATGTTTTCATCAGCCCAGCAGCAGCACCTGGCAACTCGGCTGTCCCCGTATGCCTCGGAGTTTACATCGAGAACCCCATGGAAAAACGAGGTATGTATGCAGGAAGATCATCTTTTACGAAGCACATTTCTGACCGGTTCCAGGGGACTCCTTCGGAGGGTGCTACATATCTCCCCCCTACGGAGCCACTCAACTATCGCCGGCTGCTTGATCGAAACGTCAACTGTAACTAGAAGTACATTGTTGACAAGATCGTCTGCAACAATGACCAGCAAGCTTCCATTTTCCTCCAGCAGAAGCTCAAGGTAGGTACCCCGGAGCAAAAGTATGATGTTGTCGAGGCTATTGTGGCCCAAGCCTACCCCTTGATGGTCAACCGATTCGGCAACTTCCTGGTTCAGCGTTGCTTCGAGCACGGAACACCTGAACAAGTTATCAGCATTGCTGAGGCTATTCGTGGAAACACGCTTAGCCTGTCGATGGATCCATTTGGCTGCCATGTCGTCCAAAAGGCCTTCGACTCGGTACCAGAGGAATACAAAGCCATCATGGTTCATGAGCTCCTGAGACGCATTCCGGAGACTGTCATTCACCGGTATGCCTGTCACGTCTGGCAGAAGCTCTTTGAGCTTCGGTGGACGGAGACGCCGCCGCAGATCATGAAGTACGTCAACGAAGCTCTTCGAGGGATGTGGCATGAAGTGGCTTTGGGAGAGACGGGCAGTCTGGTTGTCCAGAACATTTTTGAAAACTGTCTCGAAGAAGACAAGGCAAGAACCTTCGAAAAGAGTTTTTTGGGAAAGCATCCGTCCAGCTAACGTGTTCCTACAGAGACCCTGCATCGAAGAAGTCCTCGCCAATATTAACATTGTGGCACATGGTCAATTCGGCAACTGGTGCATCCAGCACGTATGCGAGCATGGAGCCCCCCCGGACCAAAGCCGTGCAGTCGACCATGTCATACGGTACGCAGCCGAGTACAGCACCGACCAGTTTGCATCCAAGGTGGTGGAGAAGTGCCTCAAGATTGGAGGTGCTGAATTCCTTGGTCGATACCTTGATCGAGTATGCGAAGGCCGACCTGACCGGACGCGGATCCCACTGATTGACATTGCCAGCGACCAGTACGGCAACTATCTTATACAATGGATCCTGAACAACTCGGCATCGCAGCACCGTGAGACGGTTGCGGCTCATATCCGCAAGCACATGGTTTCTCTCCGAGGGTCCAAGTTTGGGTCCCGCGTTGGTATGCTCTGCACCAACCACTCGGTGGCTACCCGACCTGGACCTGGTGCTGGGCCTGGGATGGGAGGCCGTGGAGGTGCGGGGTCTCGATTCAATAGCTCTGGCAGCTCGTTCCGATGAAGGGACTGTTAACAGTCTTTTTCTAAGGCGAGGTGAAGTCGGCCTTGACCTATCGCTTATTTGACTTACCACCTATGGAGCAGTTTTTTACGTTTTTCTTCTTCTTTTTCCTTTGTCTGATTGCATCAACTGGCCGAATGTCAGCAGCTCGGATATCTTTCCTTGTCAAGATTGCCTATCAGAGTTGAATTTGTCGGTCTCTTCTTACTCAACATTTTCTGACACAGGTCATTCACACATTACATGTCATCCTAACCCCCTCTGGGCTACAGCTTGGCAGGGTGCATTGGACACATTATAGTTATGCATTTTGCATTATTGGGGAGAGATATTTGTCCCTGTACAATGGGGTATTTGTCTATTATAACAGGTTGGTGCTGGAGGGGGAGAATGCAGCTTCAACGAAGCGGCGGCAGAGTGTATACAAATGGTTAAAAGTTGAAAAGATGGACAAGGGGGAATATTTTGATATGAAGAAAAAAAGGTATTAAGACTCGAGAGAAGAGACGCAAGGAATATGAGGCAAAAGGCGGTCTAGTCTAGCATTTGCAAAGCCAACAATGCAGAATTTACATGTTTGCTTTCCATGATTCAGAGACTTTCTTATGTGTTCGCCAGGGCCAAAGTGAGGATTGGCTTCGAGGAATCTGGTAGGACCCGGTGCAATATGCGAGTAGATCATGAAGCGTACGGAGGGTATATATGGCCGGTACTATGTTCTAGTCACCATGTTTTGGGGGTGTTTCATGCATAAGCAGCCGACTTCTGTGCATCATTAGTACCGGCCGTGTCCGTGTCCAGATCTGGGAAGGTTGAGTCGAGTATCTCATTTGTCTCGAGATGGGCGACTTGTGAGTCGGTATCCCTTTCCCAGGGTTTGCGTGGGACAGGTCTAGAGCCGATAGGTTTGACAGACTATGGTTGGGATATTGAAGATGATTAGCATGTTGTTGGTATATGAGCTGTGAGCGAAGCGAGGGAGGAGCGTCATGGCATGGTGTATATGACATGTACGGCAATGACGTGGCCTGGTAATACTCCATGGTATTGTATATGCGGGATGTTTCGAGGTGGATTTTCGAGATGGTGTTCACGTAGATGGGGAGGAGGGAGGGGCAAAGTTGGAACATACAGGGTCTCTAACGATAGTGTTTGGGATATGTCGGATACCTGGGACTGGTTTCCCCTCTTGGAGAAGCTTGATCATTTCGGCGAAACCCATTGGGTAGGCAGGTTGATCTGACTGCTGCTGCTGCTGCTCTTTGAGAAGACGTTCCTTGTCAATGTAGAGGTCTGCCTTGGGAGCAGCCTGTTGCCAGTCTAGAATAGGAGTGGAGGTGATGTCATTGGTGGTGTTGGTGTTGGTGTACTCTTCAGGTAGTACGTGAGGTGGTTGATGGGTAGGGTGATTGGCCAACCAGGTTGTATAACGGGAGAAGTCAATGGTCACGCCGATCTTCTGAGTATAGTAGAAGATGCGGGCGTGGGTGGCCATGTCGGACAGGGATGCTTGGGAGTTGTTTGGGGCGTCTGGTTTACCGAGGATGGCGTAGAGGCCGGCCTTTGTTGTGTGTATGGGGAGCCAGGTCAGCATTGTAGTAATAGTACTCGTACGATGATGATGAGTGGTTTCATATTATCAAGGTCTGGTATTGATGAGTGTATGAGATAGAGAGAGGGGATACGTACCAGAAACGTCTTGTCCTTTGTCCATGGGTATGAGTCAAAGGCGCGAAAGACGTCGTCGTCGTTTGTGAGGAAGCGGATACGCTCTGCGGCCGAGAGGGGTGGCGTGGCCGACATCGTTCCTGGTAATCTGGACTTGAGTAGTCGTAGAGTTCTGAAACGAGCTCTATGTTTGTGGAGAGAAAAAAAGAAGAAAGAAAGATTGGCCTCTGAACTCGTATGCTTCTTTCTTGTTATCTCTTGTAAGTTATAGATGGCACCTCGATCGTGTCCAATCAATGCAAAAGTCGTAACCGGGGAGGTTTTTAGAAGGGGATAAGAAAAATAATCTCGGTAGGTGGTGTCTGCAAGGAAAGGAGTGAGCGGAGGAGATGCATGTGAGAGAGGGACGGTTGTGTACGGAGTAACAGTACTGATATAATATTACTACTCAACTACGATACTCGTAATACTGTATTATAGAGTAATGATAATAATACTCCGTACATGTACCGTAGCTCCAGCTCTCTGGTGGATCCTC